ATAATTTAATTAATATGGATGACTATTATGTCACACAGAGTTTGTCATTCCACAGCTGTGTTCATTTTATTGCTATCTTGATAGGGGGCCTGGATGATAGCAAAGAGCACTTTTTGTCCCGCTGGGCACATACTCTTTTCAACATCTATTCCAAGTTGTTTCAATGTAATTTCAGTGTAAATGACTTGGAAAGAACGTTGATTCAACCAGTGTGTGCCCAGTGCAGTAACCTAACCACTTGACCCAGTTCCTGATCAAACAGTAGATTGAATCAAATCAAATGTTATTTGTCACGTACACGTGTTTTGCAGATGTTATTGCGGGTGCGACAGTGCAGGAATATCTAACAATTTCACAACATTACCCAATACACACAATCTAAGTAAGGAATGGAATTAAGAATATAGGGTCCCCTGTAGCACAGTTGGTAGAGCATGGCGTTTGCAACGCCAGGGTTGTGGGTTCGTTTCCCACGGGGGGCCAGTATGAAAATGTATGCACTCACTAACTGTAAGTCGCTCTCGATAATAGCATCTGCTAAATGACTAAAATATAATACATATATGGACGAGCAATGACAGAGCGGCATGGACTAAGATACAGTAGAATAATATAGAATACAGTATATACATATGAGATGAGTAATGCAAAATATGTAAACATTATTTAAGTGACTAGTGTTCCATTTCTTAAAGTGCCCAGTGATTTCTAGTCTACGTCTATAGGCAGCAGCCTCTAATGTGCTAGTGATGGCTATTTAACAGTCTGATGGCCTTGAGATAGAAGCTGTTTTTCAGTCTCTCGTCCCAGCTTTGATGCACCTGTACTGACCTCGCCTTCTGGATGATAACGGGGTGAACAGGCAGTGGCTTGGATGGTTGATGTCCTTGATGATAGTTTTGGCCTTCCTGTGACATCGGGTGCTGTAGGTGTCCTGGAGGGCGGGTAGTTTGCCCCCGGTTATGCGTTGGGCAGACCGCACCACCCTCTGGAGAACCTTGCGGTTGCAGGCGGTGCAGTTGCCGTACCAGGCGGTGATACATCCCGACAGGATGCTCTCAATTGTGCATCTGTAAAAGTTTGTGAGGGTTTTAGGTGCCAAGCCAAATTTCTTCAGCCTCCTGTTGCGTCTTCTTCACCAGTAGCGAAGATGCACTACATGACCGAAAGTATGTGGGAGATTAGCCCTGGCTCGCAGTCGGTGTTCCAATTCATCCCAAAGGTGTTCGATGGGGTTGTGGTCAGGGTTCTCTGCAGGTCAGTCAAGTTCTTCCACACTGATCTCGACAAACCATTTCTGTATGGACCTGGTTTTGTGCATGGGGGCATTGTCATGCTGAAACAGGAAATGGCCAAACTGTTGCCACAAAGTTGGAAGCACAGAATCGTCTAGAATGTCATTGTATGCTGTAGCGTTAAGATTTCCTTTCACTGGAACTAAGGGGCCTAGCCCGAACCATGAAAAACAGCCCCAGACCATTATTCCTCCTCCACCAAACTTTACAGTTGGCACTATGCATTGAGGCAGGTCGTGTTCTCCTGGCATCCGCCAAACCCAGATTCGTCCATCGGACTGCCAGATGGTGAAGCGTGATTCATCACTCGAGAACACATTTCCACTGCTCCAGAGTCCAATGGCAGCGATCTTTACACCCTCCAGCCGACGCTTGGCATTGCGCATGGTGATCTTAGGCTTGTGTGCCGCTGCTCAGCCATGGAAACCCATTTCATGAAGCTCCCGACGAACAGTTATTGTGCTGATGTTGCTTCCAGAGGCAGATTGGAACTCGGTAGTGAGTGTTGCAACCGAGGACAGACCGAGGACAGCACTCGGTAGTCCCGTTCTGTGCGCTTATGTGGCCTACCACTTTGCGTTGCTGCTCCTAGACGTTTCCACTTCACAATAACAGCATTTACAGTTGACCGAGGCAGCTCTAGCAGGGCAGAAATTTGACAAACTGAGTTGTTGGAAAGGTGGCATCCTATGACGGTGCCACGTTGAAAGTCACTGAGCTCTTCAGTAAGGCCATTCTACACTGTTTAGCTATGAAGATTGCATGGCTGTGTGCTCGATTTGATACACCTGTCAGCAACGGGTGTGGCTGAAATAGCCGAATCAACTAATTTGAAGGGGTGTCCATATACATTTGTATACAGTGGGGAGAACAAGTATTTGATACACTGCCGATTTTGCAGGTTTTCCATACTTACAAAGCATGTAGAGGTCTGTAATTTTTATCATAGGTACACTTCAACTGTGAGAAACAGAATCTAAAACAAAATTCCAGAAAATCACATTGTATGATTTTTAAGTAATTAATTTGCATTTTATTGCATGACATAAGTATTTGTTCACCTACCAACCAGTAAGAATTCCAGCTCTCACAGACCTGTTAGTTTTTCTTTAAGAAGCCCTACTGTTCCCCACTCATTACCTGTATTAACTGCACCTGTTTGAACTCATTACCTGTATAAAATACACCTGTCCACACACTCAATCAAACAGACTCCAACCTCTACACAATGGCCAAGACCAGAGAGCTGTGTAAGGACATCAGGGATAAAATTGTAGACCTGCACAAGGCTGGGATGGGCTACAGGACAATAGGCAAGCAGCTTGGTGAGAAGGCAACAACTGTTGGCGCAATTATTAGAAAATGGAAGAAGTTCAAGATGACGGTCAATCACCCTCGGTCTGGGGCTCCATGCAAGATCTCACCTCGTGGGGCATCAATGATCATGAGGAAGGTGAGGGATCAGCCCAGAACTACACGGCAGGACCTGGTCAATGACCTGAAGAGAGCTGGGACCACAGTCTCCAAGAAAACCATTAGTAACACACTACGCCGTCATGGATTAAAATGCTGCAGCGCATGCAAGGTCCCCCTGCTCAACCCAGCGCATGTCCAGGCCCATCTGAAGTTTGCCAATGACCATCTGGATGATCCAGAGGAGGAATGGGAGAAGGTCATGTGGTCTGATGAGACAAAAATAGAGCTTTTTGGTCTAAACTCCACTCACTGTGTTTGGAGGAAGAAGAAGGATGAGTACAACCCCAAGAACACCATCCCAACCGTGAAGCATGGAGGTGGAAACATCATTCTTTGGGGATGCTTTTCTGCAAAGGGGACAGGACGACTGCACCGTATTGAGGGGAGGATGGATGGGGCCACGTATCGCGAGATCTTGGCCAACAACCTCCTTCCCTCAGTAAGAGCATTGAAGATGGGTCGTGGCTGGGTCTTCCAGCATGACAACGACCCGAAACACACAGCCAGGGCAACTAAGGAGTGGCTCCGTAAGAAGCATCTCAAGGTTCTGGAGTGGCCTAGCCAGTCTCCAGACCTGAACCCAATAGAACATCTTTGGAGGGAGCTGAAAGTCCGTATTGCCCAGCGACAGCCCCGAAACCTGAAGGATCTGGAGGAGGTCTGTATGGAGGAGTGGGCCAAAATCCCTGCTGCAGTGTGTGCAAACCTGGTCAAGACCTACAGGAAACATATGATCTCTGTAATTGCAAACAAAGGTTTCTGTACCAAATATTAAGTTCTGCTTTTCTGATGTATCAAATACTTATGTCATGCAATAAAATGCAAATTAATTACTTAAAAATCATACAATGTGATTTTCTGGATTTTTGTTTTAGATTCCGTCTCTCACAGTTGAAGTGTACCTATGATACAAATTACAGACCTCTACATGCTTTGTAAGTAGGAAAACCTGCAAAATCAGCAGTGTATCAAATACTTGTTCTCCCCACTGTATATAGTGTTTCTAGCATGCATGCGTTTACATGCACACGAATAATTAGATATTAAGCTGATTATGGAAATTGATGAGCTCATCTTCAGCCAGCCATTGTGTTCTCTTGATTAACAGACATGTCAGAGAAGAAGGAGTGATCTAATCATTCTCAGAAAACAATGTCCAACTGATGGCCCTATGTCCCCTACAAAACAAGTCCCCTACAAGTTAGAATGACACTCTCTATCACAGGGTCTCTGCTAATAAATGTATCAAAATTGAATAAAAAGTCTGTATGAATGCAGAAAACACCACTTACAAACCAGATAGTTTCCAATAGGAAATTAGATCAGCGATTCTTGTAAGTTGGGACAATCCTTTTCCGACAGGGAAACTCTTTTTATAGTTGATTTTTTTTTTTTTTGTTGCATTATTTGAGCTTAAAATGTACATTTAGGGGAATTTATGAGGGAAAATATTTGTTTTGGATATTCTGAAAATACTTTCAATATTATTGATTTCCATGTCGGCTCCAAATACCCCTGTTCGGAGCAAAGGATCCCAATTTCAAACTCTTCAAAAAAGTGTTTAAAATTCTAAAACCTGTCAATAATGGATATAAACTGAAAAATTATCATATGTAGTTGTATTGCATATTTGAATAATATAATGTTAGAATTAAATAATCAAGGCCTTTAAACACTTGTTGGATAATAATTGTAAAAATGTATTGCCTTTTATGGTGTCTGACGGAGTTGACAAATCCAGTTAATTGCATTCTATGAGAAAAAAATGTTTGTTCCTTTACATGGTGTGATAGCTGATACTTAGGTCTATCAAAAACTGCGCTACGCCACTGTCTATCTTCAAGGAGATTTGCCTGCTAGCTAGCTTCGGAACTGTATGATTTCATTTTCTCTGTTTCTCCTATGACTCCTTGATAAGGTAGGCTATAATCATCCCTTGTAGTTACTGCAGTTTGCAGATAGATATTATTGGTCTATTCCGGGGTCACGAGTACTATCTGCACACCGGCCAGTCAGAGTCCATCTGCAGTGTGTGTGACGTGTGTGTGTGTACCAGCCAAGTCATAGGAATGTAGAGGACTGTGTGTCATATCATATGACTGAGTTTGGTGACAGTGTCCTGTCCAGTTTTCCATCTCCCTTGCCAGACCCCCCAATGTTGGTGTGTGTGTGTGTCATCAAACTGAGCGAGAACTATGATCGGAACTCATTGCCACAGTGTGTACCTGTGTGTGTGTACATCATAGGGCTTAGAGCCACAGATAAGATTTACAGATAGAGAGGGAAGAAGGGAGAGTGGGGTTATACTGCCATCTCACTCACTTGCTCTCACACAGGGACTCAGATAGGCTGGTATACTGATTTTCTCTGCACTTACTCACAGAAGCAACAGGGTCATGATGACCCAAAGCCTCCAGAATGGCTTCACTCTGGAGAACCACTACCTCCAGGATCTGAAGGGGCCTGTCCCTGTGCCCACTCAATATGCTCCAAGGCTGGGTGTACGCCGGGGGTCAGGCCCTGTGGAGCCCCATAAGGACCAAGAGATCCAGAGGAATCGATCTGGCACTGTACCCGCTCAGGGTGCTCCTCTCCTGGGCTCATGTCGTGGGCAGATCCCTGCTCCTATGGATGTCCAGATGTGCCAGTCTATACAGCCATGCCATGCGGATCACCAAGGAGACCTGAGTGCTGGGCAGCTACTCAAATGGATGGACACAATCGCCTGCCTCGCTGGTCAGTATATACAGTGTGTCTGTGTGTGTGTGTGTGTGTGTGTGTGTGTGTGTGTGTGTGTGTGTGTGTGTCTGTGTGTGTGTGTGTGTGTGTGTGTGTCTGTGTGTGTGTGTGAATATATGTGTGTGCATATGGCTGTGTGTGCGTGTGTGTCTTTGTGTCTGTTCCCATGCAAAGAAGACAGAAAAGTAGTTATAATGTAAAGTTCATGGGAACAGTTTCAGACAGAATATTTTTTAGTCTGCTATTCCCATCTGTAGCTAAATATCAGGTGGAGAGTTTCCTCTGGTGTAAATGCTGAGCAAATGTTAACAAGATAGAGACTAGGAACAGTGTTAGAGTTCAGCAATACAGGAATATAAACTGATTAGACGTCAGGGGTAGTGTCTGCCACCTCACAGACACACCCCCACACACACCACCTCAGTTCCACAAGTAGGGTGTGTGTGTTAGAGCTGCCCTTCAGTGGCCATCGCTGGACAGACAGGGTAACAGCAGTGCACTGACCCCTCACCTACTATCATTCCCCTGCGTGTGTGTGTGTGTGTGTGTGTGTGTGTGTGTGTGTGTGTGTGTGCACAATAACACATAAGAGATTTGTGTTATCCCCCATGAGGATGTTAATGATTGATATGTCACTGTAATTGTAGTTCGGCCCCAGTTGGAGAGATGAAACATAGATACTGTAAATATATAGATAAACAATGTGAGATAACAGTGTGTGTGTGTGTCCCTTAGCTGAGCGTCATGCTGGAATGGCGTGTGTGACACTCTCCATGGACGACATCCAGTTTGAGGAGACTGGAAGGTACGCGTCAATCAATCAGTCGAATCAATCAAATGCATGTAACGTTTTTAAAATGTCAAATGTTTTTTGCAGAGTTGGTCAGGTGATCACCATCAAGTCCAAAGTCAACAGAGCATTCACCACTAGCATGGAGGTAAGACAACACACACGCACACACCCGCGTACACACACACACATACTCACACATGTACAATTATTATATATATATTTTTTAATATAACAATTGTGTGTAGGTGGGAATCCTTGTGTCAGTGCAGGATGTGAGGGAACATGTGGAGAGATTGGTGTGTGTGGCCTACTCCACCTTTGTTGGAAAGCCAGCGGGACCACAGAAGGTGTTATTGCAACCGGTGGAGAATCTGTGTTCTGCAGAGGAGCAGTTGCAGCATTCTCTGGCCTCAGAGAGACGAAGACTCCGCCTTTACAATGAACAGACCTTCAGTACCCTGCTACAAGACTACCACACACTAGCCAACGGTCAGTCTCTCTCTCTCTCTCTCTCTCTCTCTCTCTCTCTCTCTCTCTCTCTCTCTCTCTCTCTCTCTCTCTCTCTCTCTCTCTCTCTCTCTCTCTCTCTAACCACATCTCTGTATTTCTCTCTCTCTCTCATTCTCTCTCTCGCTCCTTTCTCACATCTCTCTATGAGTGTGTGTGTGCACGTGTGTGTGTGTGTGTGTGTGTGTCAGCCTGGGATATTGTGTCCAAATCTGTATCGCTATCTTGACTTGGATTATCTTGTCCTGAATGGAACTATAATTGCCCCTTGAACTCATTTTCAAGGGGCAATTATAAAAAAACAAATACCTTTGTAGCTGAGGAAGAGGCGAGATAGAGAGAGTTTGCTTGGTACTGTGCTCCGACAGAAAGGACGAAGTGTCAGCCAGAGGACATACTTGTCATACTTGAGTAAAAGTAAAGATACCTTCATAGAAAATTTAAAAGTGAAAGTCACCCAGTAAAATACTACTTGAGTAAAAGTATTTGGTTTTAAAAATACTTAAGTATCAAAAGTAAAAGTAAAATAATAAACCATTTCAAATTCCTTATATTAAGCAAATCAGACGGCACTTTTTAAAAATACATTTTTATTGACGGATAGCCAGGGGCACACTCCAACACTCAGACATAATTTACAAACGAAGCATGTTTAGTGAGTCTGCCAGATCAGAGGCAGTAGGGATGACCAGCTATGTTCTCTTGATAAGTGTGTGAATTGGGCCATTTACATATCAAATCAAATCTAATTATATTTGTCACATGCGCCGAATACAACCGTAACATGAAATGCTTACTTACAAGCCCTTAACCAACAATGCAGTTTTAAGAAAAATAAATTAAAGAGCAACAATAAAATAACAATAACGAGGCTATATACAGGGGGTACCGGTACCGAGTCAATGTGCGGGGGTACAGGTTAGTTGAGGTAATTGAGGTAATATGTACATGTAGGTTGAGTTAAAGTGACTATGCATAGATAATAAACAGCAGCGTAAAAAAATGCAAATAGTCTGGGTAGCCATTTCATTAGCTATTCAGCAGTCCTATGGCTTGGGGTTAGAAGCTGTCAAGAAGCCTTTTGGAACTAGACTTGGCGCTCCGGTACCGCTTCCCGTGCGGTAGCAGAGAGAACAGTCTATGACTAGGGTGGCTGGAGTCTTTGGCAATTTTTAGGGCCTTCCTCTGACAACGCCTGGTATAGAGGTCCTGGATGGCAGGAAGCTTGGCCCCAGTGATGTACTGCGCCGTACACACTACCCTCTGTAGCGCCTTGCGGTCGGAGGCCGAGCAGTTGCCATACCAGGCGGTGATGCTACCAGTCAGGATGCTGTCGATGGTGCAGCTGTATAACTTTTTGAGGATCTGAGGACCCATGCCAAATCTTTTCAGTCTCCTGAGGGGGAATAGGCATTGTCGTGCCCTCTTCACGGCTGTCTTGCTGTGTTTGGCCCATGTTAGTTTGTTGGTGATGTGGACACCAAGGAACTTGAAGCTCTCAACCTGCTCCACTACAGCCCAGTCAATGAGAATAAGGGCGTGCTCGGCCCTCCCTTTCCTGTAGTCCACAATCATCTCCTTTGTCTTGATCACGTTGAGGGAGAGGCTGTTATCCTGGCACCACACTGCCAGATCTCTGACCTCCTCCCTATGGGCTGTCTCATCGTTGTCGGTGATCAGGCCTACCACCGTTGTGTCGTCTGCAAACTTAATGATGGTGTTGGAGCGTGCTTGGCCACGCAGTCGTGGGTGAACAGGGAGTACAGGAGGGGAATAAGCACGCACCCCTGAGGGCCCACCCCATGTTGAGGATCAGCTTGGCAGATGTGTTGTTGCCTACCCTTACCACCGGAGGGCGGCCCATCAGGAAGTCCAGGATCCAGTTGCAGAGGGAGGTGTTTAGTCACAGGGTCCTTAGCTTAGTGATGAGCTTTGAGGGCACTATGGTGTTCAACGTTGAACTTAAAAAAAAGTCATCAGGGATTTATTTGAGGGTGAAATTTAAACCACAGGATTATGTAATCATGGTAACCACATTTCAACATACAAAAACCTTGGATAAAATATGTTGAATTTGTACTTTTAAAACAATGTCAGATTTTCTACGTTATATCCACTATCAGAAAGAACAAACATAGGAAGTGTTGCCCAGACTACTGGGAAATGTATCTATCTACAGCTACACTTTGGTCTCCCATCCAAGGTATTAACTAAGCCCAGCTATTACAGTGGGGGAAAAAAGTATTTAGTCAGCCACCAATTGTGCATGTTCTCCCACTTAAAAAGATGAGAGAGGCCTGTAATTTTCATCATAGGTACACGTCAACTATGACAGACAAAATGAGAAAAAAAAATCCAGAAAATCACATTGTAGGATTTTTAATGAATTTATTTGCAAATTATGGTGGAAAATAAGTATTTGGTCAATAACAAAAGTTTCTCAATACTTTGTTATATACCCTTTGTTGGCAATGACACAGGTCAAACGTTTTCTGTAAGTCTTCACAAGGTTTTCACACACTGTTGCTGGTATTTTGGCCCATTCCTCCATGCAAATCTCCTCTAGAGCAGTGATGTTTTGGGGCTGTCGCTGGGCAACACAGACTTTCAACTCCCTCCAAAGATTTTCTATGGGGTTGAGATCTGGAGACTGGCTAGGCCACTCCAGGACCTTGAAATGCTTCTTACGAAGCCACTCCTTCGTTGCCCGGGCGGTGTGTTTGTGATCATTGTCATGCTGAAAGACCCAGCCACATTTCATCTTCAATGCCCTTGCTGATGGAAGGTTTTCACTCAAAATCTCACGATACATGGCCCCATTCATTCTTTCCTTTACACGGATCAGTCGTCCTGGTCCCTTTGCAGAAAAACAGCCCCAAAGCATGATGTTTCCACCCCCATGCTTCACAGTAGGTATGGTGTTCTTTGGATGCAACTCAGCATTCTTTGTCCTCCAAACACGACGAGTTGAGTTTTTACCAAAAAGTTATATTTTGGTTTCATCTGACCATATGAAATTCTCCCAATCCTCTTCTGGATCATCCAAATGCACTCAAGCAAACTTCAGACGGGCCTGGACATGTACTGGCTTAAGCAGGGGGACACGTCTGGCACTGCAGGATTTGAGTCCCTGGCGGCGTAGTGTGTTACTGATGGTAGGCTTTGTTACTTTGGTCCCAGCTCTCTGCAGTTCATTCACTAGGTCCCCCCGCTCACCGTTCTTGTGATCATTTTGACCCCACGGGGTGAGATCTTGCGTCGAGCCCCAGATCGAGGGAGATTATCAGTGGTCTTGTATGTCTTCCATTTCCTAATAATTGCTCCCACAGTTGATTTCTTCAAACCAAGCTGCTTACCTATTGCAGATTCAGTCTTCACAGCCTGGTGCAGGTCTACAAATTTGTTTCTGGTGTCCTTTGACAGCTCTTTGGTCTTGGCCATAGTGGAGTTTGGAGTGTGACTGTTTGAGGTTGTGGACAGGTGTCTTTTATACTGATAACAAGTTCAAACAGGTGCCATTAATACAGGTAACGAGTGGAGGACAGAGGAGCCTCTTAAAGTAGAAGTTACATGTCTGTGAGAGCCAGAAATCGTGCTTGTTTGTAGGTGACCAAATACTTATTTTCCACCATAATTTGCAAATAAATTCATTAAAAATCCTACAATGTGATTTTCTGGAATTTATTTTCTCAATTTGTCTGTCATAGTTGACGTGTACCTATGATGAAAATTACAGGCCTCTCTCATCTTTTTAAGTGGGAGAACTTGCACAATTGGTGGCTGACTAAATACTTTTTTTCCCCACTGTATATTTGTTACCAATGTGCTATCATGAAAATGATTGTTGAGAGATCTCCACTTAAAAACAAAATAGATTCACTGTTGCTATCGAAGTCATTCCAAAGGGTAGGTTTAACAGAGCAAATGAAATGTGACCATATTTTATCAATCATCATTGATGCTATATAGGCCTATATAGCATTTGGAAAGTCATCAATAGCAATTGTTTGAATTCAACCCAGAATTCAACTAAAACTAGACAATACAATAGGCCTAGGGTTTCAAGCTTGATTCAAAATGTAATGATATTAGTGATATTGAATTGTGTTTGTTTGTCAACGCAACCAAATATCAACATTTGACGGAGATGTATCTTCTGTTTGGATAGTTCCATTTGTGCCACTGACTTAGTCTGGCTTTAATTCCAGATGGAACTGTCCAAGCAGAAGATATATGTGTTGACAACCGAACACAATTCCATATCACTTTTAAAAAACAATAAGTAGTCTATTAACTTGTTGATAAATTAACAAATGATATATTAGATTCATGTCTCCAACTCAAACAAAAATAACAGTTAAAGAATGGCTCAGATGGAACTATCCAAGCAGTATATACATATCCTTTAAATGTTGATATTTGGTTGCGTTGTCAACCAAACACAAGTCAATATTACTTTTGTAATACAGTAAATAGCCTAAAGTTAAGACTATCTTGCAAACTAATGTAACATTCAACCTTAAAATGAGTAACACATCCATGACCACATTTTGAGGTTACTATGACTATACATTTCTTCTTATGTAATCATATAAATCATGCAAGTTTAAGATAGCATGCATATATTTTTTATTTATTCTATTTTTATTACCTTTATTTAACTAGGCAAGTCAGTTAAGAATGACGGGCTATCAAAAGGCAAAAGGCCTCCTGCGGGGACGGGGGCTGGGACTAAAAATAAAAATATAGGACAAAACACACATCACGACAAGCGAGACACCACAACACTCCATAAAGAGAGACCTAAGACAACACAGCATGGCAGCAACACATCACAACACAGCATGGTAGCAACACCACATGACAACAACATGGTAGCAGCACAAAACATGGTACAAACATTATTGGGCACAGACAACAGCACAAAGGGCAAGAAGGTAGAGACAACAATAAATCACGCGAAGCAGCCAGTCAGTAAGACTGTCCATGATTGAGTCTTTGAATGGAGAGATGGAGATAAAACTGTCCAGTTTTAGGGTTTTTTGCAGCTCGTTCCAGTCGCTAGCTACAGCGAACTGGAAAGAGGAGCGACACAGGGATGTGTGTGCTTTGGGGACCTTTAACAGAATGTGACTGGCAGAACGAGTGTTGTATGTGGAGGATGAGGGCTGCAGTAGGTATCTCAGATAGGGGGGAGTGAGGCCTAAGAGGATTTTATAAATAAGCATCAACCAGTGGGTCTTGCAATGGGTATACAGAGATGACCAGTTTACAGAGGAGTATAGAGTGCAGTGATGTGTCCTATAAGGAGCATTGGTGGCACATCTGATGGCCGAATGGTAAAGAACATCTAGCCGCTTGAGAGCACCCTTACCTGCCGATCTATAAATTACATCTCCCTAATCTAGCATGGGTAGGATTGTCATCTGAATCAGGGTTAGTTTGGCAGCTGGGGTGAAAGAGGAGCGATTACGATAGAGGAAACCAAGTCTAGATTTAACCTTAGCCTGCAGCTTTGATATGTGCTGAGAGAAGGACTGTGTACCATCTAGCCATACTCCCAAGTATTTGTATGAGCTGACTACCTCAAGCTCTAAACCCTCAGAGGTAGTAATCACACCATTGGGAAGAGGGGCGTTTTTCTTACCAAACCACATGACCTTTGTTTTGGAGGTTTTCAGAACAAGGTTAAGGGCAGAGAAAGATTGTTGGACACTAAGAAAGCTTTGTTGTAGAGCTGGTCTGTGGAGATCCTCACAATTGATGTAATAATCTGCGCAATATCTCGAACACCATTGATCACTTGCACCATGATGTACTTTAATGTAATCTCAACTGGAATCCAGGTAATCTGCTATTAGATGAAGCACATTGATAAGTAACACAATCTGTTGTATAAATAAACAAAATATCTGACACTGTATTCCCATTTGAACTTTGCTGTGCTTTTAAATGGTTGAAAGTGCAGTGATAACACATTGGAAATTCAACCAACTTTTGGCTGTTTTTTTTGAGTGGGTGAATATAGGTTGTAATCTCATTGATCAACATCTCAACCAAATATTACCCAATTATCCACGTTGAAATGACGTAGTGTACCCAGTGGGTTGTCTATGTGTAATGCTCTCTGTCAGAGCCACATGATGAATAAACTTACATCTTTGTCTGAGGGCTATTTCTGAGTTGGTGATTAGCTGTACTACACGTGTCATTACATCTCTTTTTAATCGCCATGTCTGTATCTGTTCCTCCCCATCAGGTAACTGTTCCTCTCCAGGTGTGTGTAGCAGGAGAGACCCGCTGTCTGCCGTGTCCACAGAGTTCACGCGTGTAGAGAGCATCGAGCTGGTCCTGCCTCCACACGCTAATCACCACGGCAACACCTTCGGAGGACAGATCATGGCCTGGATGGAGAACGCAGCCACAGTGGCAGCCAGGTAGATACACACACACACACACACACACACACACACACACACACACACACACACACACACACACACACACACACACACACACACACACACACACACACACACACACACACACACACACACTCACACATGCACACACACTCTACTAACCCTCTCTGTCTCTCTCTACAGTCGTCTGTGTGGCTGCTTCCCCTCTCTGAGGTCTGTAGACATGTTCCGTTTCAGAGGTCCCTCCTCTGTAGGAGACAGACTGGTCTTTAAGGCTATGGTCAACAACACATTTAACAACAGGTAACATGTCTAAGCATCTGTGTTACCTTTCAGATAATAGGATCCTATGAAAATGTATTTAGCACCGTATTTAAAATGTGTGTGTGCCTGTGTGTATAGTATCGAGGTAGGTGTCCGAGTGGAGGCCTATAACTGTGAGGAGTGGACTTCGAACAAACCGCGTCACATCAACAGTGCCTTCCTCATCTACCAGCTGGCTAACACATCAGGAGATGCACCTGCCTTCCCCCAAGTCACATACACCACCCAGGACGGGGAGAGGAGGTATCTGTCTGCCATTGTCAGGAAGAGAATACGCATGGCTAGAAAGCACATCCTGTCCTGTAAGGAGGAGGCTCCTCTCTCTGTCCCCTGGGATAAAAGCAACCAGGTACTACAACCATGTAATGAACATGACACTACCAGCACGCATCGTTCTAGCTAAGATAGCCTTGTACCTGACTGTTTTTGCATTCAACCACATTGCTGCCATGCAGTGGTGTAAAGTACTTCAGTAAAACTTTAAAGTACTATTTAAGTATTTTTGGGGAGTATCTGTACTTTACACTACTATTTATATTTCTGACTACTTTTACTTTTACTTCACTACATTCCTGAAGAAAATAATGTACTTTTTACTCCATACATTTTCCCTGACACCCAAAAGTACTCGTTACATTTAGAATGCTTAGCAGGACAGGAAAATGGTCCAATTCACACACTTATCAAGGGAACATCCCTGGTCATCCCTACTGCTTCTGATCTGATGGACTCACTAAACACAAATGCTTTGTTTGTAAAGGATGTCTGAGTGTTGGAGTGTGCCCCTGGCTGTCCGTAAATTACTCTGGTTTGCTTAATATAAGGAATTTGAAATTATTTATACTTTTACTTTTGATACTTAGGTATATTTAACACCAAATACTTTTAGACTTTTACTCAAGTAGCATTTTACTGGGTGACTTTCACTTTTCATTTTCTATTAAGGTATCTTTACTTCTACTCAAGTATGACAATTGAGAACTTTTTCTACCACTGCTGCCATGCCAGATGACAAGTTCGTTAAAGCTGAGATACACTTTTAGTTAAGCGTCATTATTTCCCAGCTGACTGTCTATCTCCTATCGCCCCCTGCAGGTGTATCTGGGCTATAACAACGTAGCTGCTCTGACTGTACTGGCTGGGAAACAAGACTGGGAGGCCAGCAGCATCAGTGACAGGGTGAGAAACACACACAAATGCATGAACGGAGACATTATATGGCAATTTTGTAAAGGATACTCTCTGTCCTTTTTGGACACCATTTTGCTTTTACGTTGTCCTTACTCTGTTGTATGTTTGTGTATCCAGGTCGGTGTGTATGTCCATGAGGAGGCGGAGCTGCTTTGTGTCCAAGTTCAGATGGAGGTCATGACCTCTGCCCTCCATGCCTTCACCCTACTGGTTGACCTCACACTGCGACCTCTTTGGGACACACACTACCTGTAAGTATGACCGACACAGAGCTTTATGTTCATTAAACTAACTAAACAGTTAACTTATCACGTCCCCTTCTTCCTGTAGGAGCTGTGAGGAGGTGGAGAGGGCGGATGAGGAAGAGACGGTGTATCACATTAAATGCTCCCCCATCAATGGAGGGAAGAGCCGAGACTTTGTGTTCCTGCTGTCAAAGAGGCAGCCCTGCAAAGACGGGTAATGTTTCCTTTAGAATAATTTGTGTGTGTGTTCCTGTCTTCTACAGTGGCGATGGTTATGTGATCATTCTGATTTCTGTAACTGTATGTGTGTTCCTCTTCTACAGTGACCCCTATGTGGTAGCCCTGAGGTCTGTAACTGTGACGGCAGTTCCCCCTGTGGAGGGTTTCCTCCGTAGCGAGGCCAAGTGTGCCGGGTTCCTCATCCACAGCCTGGGACTCAACAGCTGCAAGGTGAGGCAGTCACATATGCACACTCTAGTGATGGGAAGTTTGGCTCGTTTTACTGACTTGGACCTTTTCGAGTCATTCAGTTAAAAGAACAAATCTTTAAACAAATGTTGTTAATTTGATTCAGTAATACCAAGAGCATGCAAGACCCCTACCGGCGAACGATGAACTGAAAACTTGAGTCATGATTCTACAAGCCTCTCAGAGTCACATCTCATTCACCATAAGAGGCTTTTTGGCGCTGTCATTTGTGACAGACTTGTAAAAGTGTGATTTAAACAATGTAAATCTGTGATTGCTAGGCATACATATATGATTGTTCCTTGATTCCTTTGAAACGAGGTCTAGTTTGCGCTACAAACTATTAAAAGCTATCTATGAAAACCTGAGACTCTTACGAACACACACATGTTTTGCTCTATGACTCTCAGAAGCCACACAAGAGTTGTTAGAAGGTAAGGGGATCATAGGAAATCCCAGGACATAGTGTCTATAATACTGTAATAAGCTCACAGTTGCTGTCACAAACTCCAAACTCCACACAGTTGTCACTGACTAGTAGGATATTCATTTCCCACAGAACAAACCATTTCTGTACTTACAGCATTCTTATCAATTATTTTTTAATCTGTTTTTTTTTTTTCTTTGGCAGATCTTGTTTTTTTAATTGACAATTTGTCAATAAAACTCATGAATGCAACTGTTTATGTCGTATAGTGTTCTACTTGTAACCCTGGTTGTCCTGAAAATAAAATGGTGAAACAATTCATTGTGAGGCTTAATATAAGTGCTGGACATGCAGATAAATGAAAGTAATTTAAATAAAATCTTATTTTTGCTGAGGTCTCAGGACTGATATGGTTAATACACACAGTATAATAACTTGTTAGCTTTCATCACGTCTTCATTAACCCTCCACAGAGACCTCACAATTCATATAAAATGTGTTAACACCATGTGTGCATGTGTTATTCTTTGTTCCAGGTGTGTTACTACAACCAGGTGACGTCAGGTGTGTTGCCATATGTAGCAGGTAACCTGGCAGGCTGGTCCAAGTCTATGGAGGAGACGGCTAGCGCTTGTATCACTTTCCTGGAGAGAGACCTCATCACTAGCGTCTTCTGATACACTAAACATGAGTCTATGATGGTGAATTGATACAGCGGAGAATCATGATTCTAAACATGTCCATGGCTGCTAATACAGGTGTTACATTTACAGTAACCCACCATGTATTTGTGATGTTTATGTAACAATTCAGAGCAAATTTAGCTCATGTATGTGGTGTAGGTCTTATTTCATGAATTTTGCTATAAATATTTCAGATGTTGATGTGAGTAATGTACAGTAACATAATGACACTCATAATGACAACCTATTCTGTAAATAACAAATAAAACCAATATTTTTTTTACATTTGTTTCTCTTTGACAGCCGGATGAGATGGAAGAGATAGAATACATCACTAAACAGGACACACACAACAAAGAGGGCTAACAGACATAAAAACACATATTTAGATACAGGAAAGGACAGTGGGACTGTTTAACTCCTCCTTTATTAAAACAAAATCCATCATATACTAAATAAGTTCATAATATCAGTTGTATTATATCATTCACATAGTACCAACACACCTCTCCTTCTCCTGTGACATCAGACCAAGGCACTACCCAGGCTACATTCAGTATGTAAAAAACGTAATGCAACGTTCAGTTAAATGGAAATGGAGGTGTTCTGAATGACATATTGAAAAACGGGGAGGGGTTGGGTTGTGGGTTCAAAATCCATCCCTGCCCTTTAAATATGACACTCATTGATTCAAGCCACACCCTGCCACACGCACCAAACAGAGGAAACGTACCTCAGTCTGTTCAAAAATGTTTTTGGGAAACGTGTCGTTCAGTACAAGCCATTACGGAACGTAGCAAACATTTAATCTAACTGAACACACCCCTGTTAGCTAGGGTACAGCACACCACTGTCACGACCCGGTGCGAGAAACAGTCACTAATAATTGTCAGAACCCAGAAGATGAGGCAGACACAGCAGTACTAGAGATGGTGGTTTAATAAAGAACAAAATCTTCAGGCAAAGAAACTAAATCCACAAAGTCCAAAAATAAAGCCAAGAGGCACAAAGAGGAAAACCTCCAAAAAAAACAAAAGAAATTCCACAAAGTGGTAAAAAACAGCAGGGAAAAACAAACCTCAAAAGACTACTCAAACAAAACACAAGAACTAAACCAGAGAACCTCTGGAAAATCCCACCAGAGAAATATCTATATAAAACAAGGCTTGGGCTGGGGCTGGGTGCTAACTTACAAACACTGAGCAAGGAACTGAGGAACACACAGGGTTTAAATACTAACAAGGGAATGACCTACAGGTGCAAACAATAATTAGAGCAAGAAAAACAAAAAGGTACAAAAAAAGTGCAATGGGGACATCTAGTGACCAAAACCCGAACAGTCATGGCCAAAACCTGACAGAATCCCCCTCCTAGGAACGGCTCCTGACGTTCCTACCAGCCTTCTCAGGGTGGAGGGCCCTGAACTGACGAATGAGGTCAGGGTCCAGTATGTCCTTGGCAGGAACCCAGGAGCGCTCCTCGGGACCGTAGCCTTCCCAGTCCACCAGATACTGCCAGGACCGCTGCACCCGGCGGGAATCCAGTATCCGGTGGACGGTATAAGCCGACTGGCCACCGATGACACGGGGCGGAGGGGGAGGTCTGCCTGCCGGGATAAGGGGAGAAAAAAACAACAGGTTTTAATAAAGAAATGTGAAATGTTGGATTGATCTTAAGGGATCTGGGTAAGTGCAGGCGAAAAGTAACGGGATTGACTCTCCTGGCAATCTTAAAGGGACCGATGAACCTCTGGGACAGCTTGCGAGACTCCACCCGTAGTGGTAGGTTCTTAGTTGAGAGCCATACTCTCTGGCCGGGGTACAGGGTAGGACCGGGACGGCGACCTCTGTTGGCTTGTCGTTGGTACTGCTGAGAGGAACGCAGAAGATTAAGACGTGCCTTCTTCCACGTAAGCCGACAGCGTCTGATGAACCTCGAGGCTGAAGGCACTCTGACTTCTGCCTCCTGGTCCGGGAACAATAGAGGCGCATAGCCAAACTGACACTCATGTGGGGACATACCAGTGGAGGAGGAGCACAAGGTGTTGTGCGCGTACTCGGCCCAAACAATGAAGGATGACCAAGTGGACGGGTTGTTGGAAACCATGCATCTGAGGGTGGTTTCCAGCTCCTGATTCATCCTCTCAGTTTGGCCATTGGACTCCGGATGGTACCCTGAAGATAAACTGGCCGTGGCCCCTATGAGTTGGCAGAAGACCTTCCAAAACCTTGAGGCGAACTGGGGACCTCTGTCGGAAACCATATCTTGCGGAATCCCAAAGACTCGGAACACATGGTTAATCACCAACTCAGCTGTTTCCTTGGCAGAAGGTAATTTGGTCAAAGGAACAAACCTGGCCGCCTTAGAAAACCTGTCGATGATGACTAGGATCGTAGTATTACCATGGGACGGAGGAAGGCCAGTAATAAAGTCCAACGAGATATGGGACCAGGGTCGGTGGGGAATAGATAGAGGGTGAAGGAGTCCTTGAGGGCGGAGGTGAGAAGATTTGCCCTGGCAGCACACGGAACAGGCCTTGATGAAAGTGGCAACGTCTTCTTTTATGGTGGGCCACCAGAACTTACGCTGGATGAACTCCAAGGTGCGGCCTACGCCCGGGTGACAGGTGAGGCGAGAGGAGTGCCCCCACCGAAGGACTTGGGACCTTGCTGCCTTGGGAACAAACAACCGATTAGCAGGACCTCCTCCAGGGCCCGGTTCGATGGCTTGAGCTTGTTTCACGGTATCCTCCACTTGCCACGAGATCGGAGCCACGATCTTAGCGGCCGGAAGGACAGTCATGTCAGTATCTTCTCGAATGGCAGGAGAGTAGATTCGTGACAAGGCGTCCGGTTTGAGATTCTTCGACCCGGGTCTATAGGTGAGGATAAACTGAAATCGGCTGAAGAAAAGAGACCATCGAGCTTGTCTGGCGTTCAACCGCTTCGCCTGCTGGATATACTCCAGATTCTTGTGGTCCGTAAGCACTTGAAACGGTTGAGAAGCCCCCTCGAGCCAGTGTCTCCATTCCTTCAATGCCATCTTAACCGCTAGGAGTTCACGATCCCCCACATCGTAATTCCTCTCGGCCGGGGTAAGCCGGTGAAAGAAGAAGGCGCAAGGATGAAGCTTCTTGTCTTCACCCCTCTGAGACAGGACGGCTCCGACCCCAACCTCTGATGCGTCTACCTCCACCACAAAAGGTTCATCCGCCGTTGGTAGTGTCAGGATGGGAGCAGAGAGGATGCGCTGCTTGAGTCCTTGGAAGGCCGTCTCAGCTTCTCTTCCCCACAGAAACCTTGTGTTGCCACCCTTGGTTACCGCCGAGAGAGGGGCTGCCACCGAGCTGAAGTTCTTGATGAACTTGCGGTAAAAGTTGGTGAAGTCCAGGAAACGCTGAACTTCCTTAACGGACTTGGGGGTGGGCCAATCCGCTACCGCCTCTACCTTCTTGGGGTCCATCTGGACTCGTCCGGGTTCCACTATAAATCCCAGGAATTGTACTCGAGAGGAATGGAATTCACACTTCTCCGGCTTAACGTACAAATGGCTGTCTAGAAGGCGTTTGAGCACTTGTCTGACATGCTTAGTGTGTTCTTGAAGGGAGCTCGAAAAGATGAGGATGTCATCCAAGTAAACAAACACAAAGATGTTAAGCATATCCCTAAGCACATCGTTTATGAGCGCTTGGAACACAGCCGGAGCGTTGGTCAGGCCGAAGGGCATCACCGAGTATTCGTAGTGACCAGTAGGCGTGTTGAAAGCGGTCTTCCACTCGTCCCCGGGTTTGATCCGCACAAGATGGTATGCGTTCCGCAGGTCAAGCTTAGTGAAGACAACTGCTTCCTGGAGCAGCTCAAAGGCTGTGGCCATAAGGGGTAGCGGGTAGCGGTTACGGACGGTTATGGCATTGAGTCCCCGGTAGTCGATGCAAGGTCGTAATCCACCGTCTTTCTTGGCCACAAAGAAAAACCCTGCTCCCGCCGGCGAGGTAGATGGACGCATAAGGCCTGCTGTCAGAGCGTCCTTGATGTAGGTATCCATAGCAGCTCGTTCGGGAGGAGAAAGGGAAAAGATCCGACCCCTGGGAGGGCAGGTCCCCGGCAACAGGTCGATGGTGCAATCGTAAGGTCTATGGGGTGGTAGTTTGGTGGCCCTCTGTTTGCTAAATACCAGTTTGAGGTCATGGTAACACTCGGGAACTCGGGACAAGTCGATGGATTCTAGAGACTCGGAAGGAGAACTCTGGGAACTCGGGAAGATACAAGTGGCTTGGCACGTAGGACCCCACTGCTTGATAGTGCCCACAGACCAGTCGATGTGAGGGTTATGGCTGTGAAGCCAGGGATAACCAAGGACGAGAGGAAACTCGGAACAGGAGATCAGATGAAAGTTCATCACTTCCTGGTGTTGGGAAACTGAAAGTCGTAAGGGGGTAGTGGCACGAGTGACAAGTCCAGATCCCAAAGGACTTCTATCCAACGTAGTAACCCTTATGGGGTCACTTAGAGGTTCAGAAGGAACGCCATTCTCCTTCGCCCAGATCCCATCCATGAAGTTACCTGCGGCTCCAGAGTCTACCAAGGCTTGAAGAGAAAACTCGTGGTCGTCCCAGGAAAGGGTAACAGGAATGAGCAGGCGGGAGTTGGATGGATGGGAGGAGGTTATGTTTCCCGTTACAGTCCTCCCAGGCCTGCACGGGAGAGTGCGTTTCCCTGGAGCCCGGGACACGTGGAGCGGAAATGGCCCGGTTTGCCGCAATATAGACAGCATCGCTCCCTCATCCGGCGGTCTCTCTCAGCCTGGGAGATGCGTCCAACCTGCATGGGTTCTGGTGGAGCCAGCGAGGATAAAGGTGGAGACTCGGAGCTGGAACCGATAGGAGCTCGGGTGAGCGGTCTATGGTTTTGTTCTCTCTCTCTCAGACGCTGGTCTATGCGTGAAGCCAACTTGATAAGGGACTCGAGGTTGTCCGGTGGTTCCCGAGTGGCCAGTTCATCTTGGATGGTGTCAGAAAGACCCTTCAAAAAACACACTGTGAGCGCCTCGTCGTTCCAGCCACTTGCTGCTGCCACAGTGCGGAACTGGATGGCATAGTCCGTCACGCTGCGCCGACCTTGGCGGAGAGTCAGGAGCTGTTTGGCTGAGTCAGGGCCGTTGGTAGGACCTTGAAACACTCGCTTGAATTCTTCAGCAAAGGTAGAGTAGCTGGCACAGCAGGGACTTTGGGCATCCCACACAGCAGTAGCCCAGGCTAGGGCCTTTTCCGACAGCAGGGTGATGATATATGCTATCTTGGACCGGTCGGTGGGAAACGACGATGGTTGCAGCTCAAAAGAGAGAGAACATTGGGTGAAAAACCCCTTACAAACACTCGGGTCCCCTGAGAACCGTTGGGGAGGCGGCAGACGAGGTTCAGCCAGGGGATTAACTGTCAGGGGTCCTTGAATCGGATGAACTGGAGCAGAAGCGGTTGCCGGGGCAAGTCGATCCGAAATCTGCTTTATGGAAGTCAGCATCTCTGACAGAAGTTGAGAATGTCTAGCCATTAAGGCCTCTTGCTGAACCAGAGCAGCTTCGTGGTGTTGGACAGTCCCCTCATGGTGGGACAGCATGGAAAAAAGATCCTGGGTACTGGCTGCCTCTGGGTTCATAATAATGGCTCAGTGTTTCTGTCACGACCCGGTGCGAGAAACAGTCACTAATAATTGTCAGAACCCAGAAGATGAGGCAGACACAGCAGTACTAGAGATGGTGGTTTAATAAAGAACAAAATCTTCAGGCAAAGAAACTAAATCCACAAAGTCCAAAAATAAAGCCAAGAGGCACAAAGAGGAAAACCTCCAAAAAAAACAAAAGAAACTCCACAAAGTGGTAAAAAACAGCAGGGAAAAACAAACCTCAAAAGACTACTCAAACAAAACACAAGAACTAAACCAGAGAACCTCTGGAAAATCCCACCAGAGAAATATCTATATAAAACAAGGCTTGGGCTGGGGCTGGGTGCTAACTTACAAACACTGAGCAAGGAACTGAGGAACACACAGGGTTTAAATACTAACAAGGGAATGACCTACAGGTGCAAACAATAAATAGAGCAAGAAAAACAAAAGGTACAAAAAAAGTGCAATGGGGACATCTAGTGACCAAAACCCGAACAGTCATGGCCAAAACCTGACAACCACAGTGTCCAGTCCAGTCTAATCTAGTCTCATCCATATGAATCATATACACTACCAGTCAACACTCTTTCCAGGGTTTTTCTTTGTTTTTACTATTTTTTACATTGTAGAATAATAGTGAATACATCAAAACTATGAAATAGCACATATGGAATCATGTAGCAACCAAAAAAGTGTTAAACAAATCAAAATATATTTTATATTTGAGATTCTTCCAAGTAGCCACTCTTTGCCTTGATGACAGCTTTCCATGCTCTTGACATTCTCTCAACCACCTTCATGAGGTAGTCGCCTGGAATGCATTTCAATTAACAGGCGTTCCTTGTTAAAAGTTAATTTGTGGAATTTCTTTCCTTCTTAATGTGTTTGAGCCAATCAGTTGTGTTATGACAAGGTACCAGAAGATAGCCCTATTTGGTAAAAGACCGTCCATATTACGGCAAGAACAGCTCAAATAAGCAAAGAGAAATGACAGTCCATCATTACTTTAAGACATGAAGGTCAGTCAATATGAAAAATGTCAAGAACTTTGAAAGTTTCTTCAAGTGCAGTCGCAAAAACCATCAAGTGCTATGATGAAACTGGCTCTCATGAGGACCGCAACAGGCAAGGAAGACCGAGAGTTACCTCTGCTGCAGAGGATAAGTTCATTAGAGTTACCAGCCTCAGAAATTGCAGCCCAAATAAATGCCTCACAGAGTTAACAGAAACATCTCAACATCAACTGTTCAGATGAGACTGCGTGAATCAGGCCTTCATGGTCAAATTGCTGCAAAGAAACCACTACTAAAGGACACCAATAATAAGAAGACACTTGCTTGGGCCAAGAAACACAAGCAATGGACATTGGAAATCTGTCCTTTGGTCTGATGAGTCCAAATGTGAGATTTTTGGTTTCAACCGTCGTGTCTCTGTGAGACCCAGAGTAGGTGAACAGATGATCTCCGCATGTGTGGTTCCCACCATGAAGCATGGAGGAGGAGGTGTGATGGTGTGGGGGTGCTTTGCTGGTGACACTGTCTGTCATTTATTTAGAATTCAAGGCACACTTAACCAGCATGGCTACCACAGCATTCTGCAGCGATACGCCATCCCATCTGGTTTGCGCTTAGTGGGACTTGTTTTCATCAGGACAATGACCCAACACACCTCCAGGCTGTGTAAGGGCTATTTGACCAAGAAGGAGATTGATGGAGTGCTGCATCAGATGACCTGGCCTCCACAATTACCCGACCTCAACCCAATTGACATGGTTTGGGATGAGTTGAACCGCAGAGTGAAGGAAAAGCAGCCAACATGTGCTCAGCATATGTGGGAACTCCTTCAAGACTGTTGGAAAAGCACAGGTGAAGCTGGTTGAGAGAATGCCAAGAGTGTGTCCTCAAGGCAAAGGGTGGCTATTTGAAGAATCTCAAATCTCAAATATATTTTGATTTGTTTAACACTTATTTTGGTTACTACATGATTCCATATGTGTTATTTCATAGTTTTGATGTCTTCACTATGATTCGACAATGTAGAAAATATAACAAATAAAGAAAAACCCTTGACTGAGTAGGTGTCTAAACTCTTGACTGGTACTGCAAATATTTGTCTTAAAGTTGCACCATGCAGAAATTGCTCCAGCATTTCCTGGTTGCTAAAACTCTAATAGTTTGCCTAATTTCAGTTTATGTGACAAAATAAGATAGTATAGTGTAGAGCATCATTGAACCATCGAAACCGCTGTGAAATATATTTTCCATAACCAAAAATATATATTTTTCAGCTGTTTGAAGCTGGTGTACAAAACCGAAAGTAAAAGACGCAAAAAAAGTACGAACGGGAGGCATAGAAATAGCGCACATAGAACATATATACCGCTTCTTGGACTTGCTTTCAAGTAGAATGATAGATCTATAACTCACATTTCTATGTGAATTTGGTCGGGTCGCCCAAAAACGTACATATTGCCACTTTCATTTCTGATATTTCAGGGGGTGCTGCAGCACCCTCAGCCCCACGGCTATGTCCACCTCCTCTCCCTCCTCCTGTTCTAAACTGGCTCCAGGGTGTGGCCTCAGCAGGGTTGTGTTTGTGGACATTGTTGGCTCTGGCCCATCGCGTCATGGCACAAACACCTGGGGTACACAGATAGAGAGAGATGAGGGAGAGGAGACAGATGAGAGAGATGAGAGAAATAACCATTGGGGAGTATGATGAATTTCCCTCTATTGTCTAGACTAACAAAAGCAGTGATTTATGAACAAAATCTGGAGCAGAATGTATTTCACAGCAATTCAGAAACAGATTAATTTTGTTAAATAATGTGATCAGAATAAATGTAGCTTGTATAAACTAACCTAAAGTGTGAAGCTATTGCCGCTTTCATGTGCTAGTCGGAACAAGGAAACTCTGAAATGTACGACTTGCTAACTAGTTGAATGCGGTCTGTGTATACAGTAGTGTAAAGTACTTAAGTAAAAATACTTTAAAGTACTACTGAAGTCGTTTTTTGGGGTATTTGTACTTTACTATTGATATTTTAGAAACAATTTACTTTTACTCCACTACATTTCTAAAGAAAATATGTACTTTTTAAGCCCATACATTTTCTCTGACACCAAAAAGTACTTGTTATTTAGAATACTCATGCAGGACAGCAATATGGTCTGATTCACACACCTATCAATATAACACGGAATCAGTGTTGGAGTGTTCCCTGTCTGTCCATAAATTTAAAAAAACAAGAAAACCCTGCTGTCTGGTTTGCTTAATATAAGGAATTTGATGTATAGCATTTACTTTTACTTTTTACTTTTACTCAATTATGACAATTGAGTACTTTTCCCACCACTATATTTAAGTATACCTAAAACCAGATACTTTAGACTTTTACTCAAGTAGTATTTTACTGAGTGACTTTTACTTTTACTTGAGTCATTTTCTCATTTTCTCATTGAGTCATTATTATTATAAAAAAATGTAAGGTATCGTTACTTTGACTCAAGTATGACTATTGAGTACTTTTTCCACCACTGCGTGTATAACTACAACCAGTTCGCAAGTTGGACATTTCAGAGTTTCCTAGTTCCGACTAGCACGTGAACGCGGCATATCGCTGCCACGTGTTTACTGTTTAACCGCAAGTCACAGTCTTCTTCTTCCTTAGGTGGAAATGACAGGAAAATGACTCGCGCACCATCTGTTGTTGAGGTTGAGAACTTAAAAGCAAGTGATCACACCTGCACCTGTTTTTTTGTGATTGCTGCCCCGCCCACTCTTTGACTGGAAGGAGAGCAAGTGCATGAATTTGTTTCTTTCGTTCTTTTCTCCCATCATTGTTGCAACATGCTTTGGTTTCTGATTTTCTACTGGTTTATCCAAGGTAGGACCAGTAATTTTGTTTTTGTGACATCCTCACTTTTGAGTGTTTTCTATTTGATGTAGGCTAGACCAATCCCACTGCAGGTGCCAAATGGTTGACCATGTTATTGTGTAACATGTATCATGTTTTCCTTCTGTATTGCAGTGGGCAGTGTTCTCATCGACAATTCCACAAATGCTACTACTTCAAATGCTACTTTCCCTGCCACAGGTAGGTAGGGTTGCATTGGGGACCAGTTATTTTGTTAGTTGATAAGCTGATAGCTAGGCCTATTTTCTGTTTTCCATTTTTCAATTTATGTTGGCCAGCCCCACTGCAAAACTATGTTCTTGTATTGTTTCTCTGTAATATTTTATTTTCTTTCTGTATTTCAGTGGGCAATACTACCATCCCTAACAATTGTAAAAATGCAACTTTCTCTGCAACAGGTAGGCCTCTACTGTGATTCTCAAGTCAGTCTCATGATGTGATGGGCCAAAAGAAACAATTCAATCGGTTGTCTTCAAGTTTATGGCTTATCAATAAACATAATGATATTACAAAATTAGTAAACAATTCCTTTTAGGTTCTACTGCCTCAATGGGGCCATGTCACAGACAAAATGATTGGGTTAAAACGGCTGAAACCAGAGAAGGTAACACATTTATTAGATGAAGGGCACTATCCTGGACCTCTACCATGAGGTCTGGACTTTAATGGCACTGGAGGTAGGGACTTGTAACCAGTACATGTTGTGTCAGTGTGGTTGTTTCAGACCTTGTCTCTGTTACAGAGGGCTTACAGCTCGACCTTGCTATCACGGAGGGAGACATTCTGATTTCGGTGAGTCTGATCCCTGCTTTCTATACTGTTACTGCGTCTTTTAGGCTGACGAATCAGATTGATACCAGCTTCTGGTATACACAGCCTGAAAGTGATGACTGCAAAATCATTCAAGCCAGATTGTTCAATAAAATTACATTTGAACTTGCGCTACTGGTTGTCCATTGTGATGGTTATTCAGATGGTTGAAATTTGAGACAAAATATCCACAGGAAAATACACAATGCATGCATACTAACTGAAGTCAGCAGGTGTTTACATGTTTTTGCACGTGTGCCAGGTGATAGAAATTTCTACTTAATTACCGCCACACTAAAAAGTTGGATAAACAGTTATTTCCTGTGGATATTTCGAACATCTGAAGTGACCAACACCACGGACAACCGGTAGAGTAAGTTTCAATGTCATTTTATTCAACATTCTGGCTTATAAAGAAAACTTAAACTATCTTGTAGTCATTCGTTTCAGGCTGTGTATACCAGAAGCTGGTACAGAGCCTTGTGAAAGTATTCATACCCCTTGACTTATTCCACATTTTGTTATTACAGCCTGCATTCAAAATGGATTAAATTAAATAAAATCTATCCCATCTACACAAAATACCCCATAATTACAAAGTGCAAACATGTTTTTTGACATTTTTGCTTGTTGATTGAAAATGAAATGCAGAAATATCCCAGAGTCAATAGTTCGTAGAAGCACCTTTGGCAGCGATTTCAGCAGAGTCTTTCTGGGTGAGTCTCTTAGAGCTTTCCACACCTGGATTGTGCCACACTTTCCCATTAAAAAAAAAATATATATATATATATATATTCAAAATTATGCAAGCTGTTGATCATTACTAAACCATTTTCAGGTCTTGCCGTAGATTTGTCAAAACTAACTCGGCCACTCGGGAACATTCTGTCTTGGTAAGCAACTCCAGTGCAGATTTGCCCTTGTGTTTTAGGTTATTGTCCTGCTGAAAGGTGAATTAATCTCAGTGTCTGGTGGGAAGCAGACTGAAACAGGATTTCCTCTAGGATCTTGCCTGTGCTTAGCTCATTCTCTTTCTTTTCTATCCTGAAACTCCCCAGTCCTTAACGATTACAAGCATACCAATAATGTGATGCATCTGCCACTATGCTTGAAAATATAGAGTGGTACTCAGTAATCTATTGGATTTGCCTGTAACATTACTTTGTATTCAGGACAGAAAGTGAATTGCTTTGCCACATTTTTTGCAGTATTACTTTAGTGCCTTGTTGCAAACAGGATGCATGTTTTGGAATAAGTTTATTCTGTACAGGCTTCCTTTTCACTGTCAATCAGGTTAGTATTGCAGAGTAACTACACTGTTGTTCCATCCTCAGTTTTCTCCTATCAAAGCCGTTAAAGTCTAACTGTTTTAAAGTCACCATTGGGCTCATGGTGAAATCCCTGAGCGGTTTCCTTCCTCTCCGGCAACTGACCTAGGAAGGACACCTGTATCGTTGTAGGGACTGGGTGTATTGATACACCATCCAAAGTGTAATTATTAACTTCACAATGCTCAAAGGGATATTCAATGTCTGCTTTTTTTTTTAACCATTTACCAATAGGTGCCTTTTGCGAGTTATTGGATAACCTCCCTGGTCTTTGTAGTTGAATCTGTTTGAAATTCACTGCTTGTCTGAGGGACCTTATAGATAATTGTATATGTGGGGTACAGATGAGGTAATCATGTTAAACACTATTGCACAGTGAGTCATGCAAATAATTGATTTGTTAAGCACGTTTTACTCTTGAACTTATTTAGGCTTGCCATAAAGGGGTTGAAATACTTATTGACTCAAGACGTTTAAAGATGTTTTTAAAAAATTAAACATAATTCCACTTTGACATTGTTTGTCGTCCAGTGACGACAATCTTAATTTAATCGTAGTGGGCGTTTCCAATGGCACGGTTTTAGAGGCCCTCTTGGCCGCAGAGACAATGTTGCTGTTTTAAAGCTAATTTCCTGCAATTATGCACATTTTGCAATTGCTTATTCCTTGTTCTGATGCTCGGTGTGACTCAAACATTATACAATCAATGGGGGCCCCTATGCCATGACATCTTTGACATTTTAGATTCTTCTGGACTGTAGTTTATTTTGTTAGTTCTAAAAGATCTTTAAAATAAATGTATACAACATAAGGAACACTTTCCTAATATTGAGTTGCACCCCATTTATACCCTCAGAACAGCCTCAATTTGTCAGGGCAAGAACTCTATAAGGTGTCAAGCGTTCCACAGGAATGCTGGCCCCATGATTATTCCAATGCTTCCCACCATTGTCAAGTTGGATGGTAGTGGATCTCTACTCCGACATAGCTCGTTCCATCTCATCCCAGAGATGCTTAATTGGATTGAGATCTGGTGACTGGGCAGGCCACTGTACTAAGCTGAATTCACTGTCATGTTAGTGGAACCATTCATGGACAATCCTAGCCTTGTGGCATGGGGCATTATAATGCTGAAAAAATCTATTCACAGATGTATATACTGCTGCCATGAAGAGATGCACCTCATTTTAAATTGTGTTCAAATATCCTGTGGCATTCAAACGTTGCTCCACCACAAGGGGCCCACTGTGTGCCATGAAAACGCACCCACATCATCACACGACCACTGCCACTCACCAGCCAGCAATGTTGACACGCGGCATGATGGATGCATGTACTCGTGGTTTTCTCCGTACCCTAGTCCTCCCATCAGTGTGTTATGGCAAAAAACGGGTTTCATCATGCCAGACAATGTTTTGTCTGGTCCAGCGTTTACTTAGTCCACTGCAACAGTTTCTTGTTTTTTGCTGAAAGAAGTGGAACTCTGTAAGGTCGTCGGCTGTCATACCCCATTCGTGTGAAGGTACAACGAGTTGTGCATTTTTATGGGTCTTTGGGCACAAACGTTGTGCTGGACTGTCTGTTGCGCTGCATAATTCGTGTCACCCATTTTGACCAATTGCCTGCATTTGGCTTGATGTCCTTTGGGTGGTGGACCATTCTTCACACACAGGAAACTGAGTGTGAAATACCCAGCGACGTTGCATTTCTTGACACTCAAACTGGTGCGCCTGGCACCTAGTACCATACGCTGTTCAAAGGTACTTCAATATTTTGTCCTGCCCATTCACCCTCTGAATAATGATAATTTATATACACGATCCATGTCTCAAGGCTTAACAATCCTCCTTTAACCGGTCTCCTCCCCTTCATATACACTGATTGAACAGGTGACCTCAATAAGGGATCATTGCATTCACCTGGTCAGTCTGTCTTGGAAAGAGCAGGTGTTCCTAATGTTTTGTACACTGTACATTGCTCCATTATCTTTTCTATATACTTAGTCTGGTTTTAGTCGTTTAATTTTACACAAAGGTTTTACCATTTTAGAATTTATAAACATTCATAGGGGAAAACGCTGAAATAATTTAATCTCTGAGGCCTATACTCTAGCGACAGCTGGATTTAAGTCGAGGTGTTGATTTGTCCTACAGGAAGACCGATTAGCTGTGAAGTCACTTTGGCCGGTGAATGAAGGCGTGACTTCTATCCCCTACAAGATCAACGATGATCTGGGTGAGTGTCGAAGACAGTAGGAGAGGTGAACACTGTAAAACACTAGATGTTTTCCAATACAGTGGGAATGATATGCGCCGTCTAATGATAGATTGTCTCTGATCCACACAGTGGACAGAAAGGAAACTATGCTAGCAGCGTTCAAGATGATTTCAGACCAGACGTGTATCCGCTTCCACGAATACACCAATGAGATTAACTACATAGAGTTCATCTCTGGGACAGGGTGAGTCCAAAGTGGGCACATTAACACATTCTCTCCATCCCAGCAGTTTACAGTTAACTCACAACCTCTCCTCCCTTTTCCTGTGTTCAATCCTTTATTTTTTCCCTCTTCCTGTCATATCCTCTCTTACTCCTCCCCCTTCTCTCACCTTTTTCTCTTTCTTCACAACACTCTAGCTGTGCGTCATATGTAGGTTTTCAGGGCGGGGCCCAGCATCTGTACTTCGGTAGCGCCTGTAACGAGGGGAACCTGTGTCATGAGCTGATGCATGCCCTGGGCCTGCACCACGAACACACACGGCCGGACCGTGACCAATACGTCACCGTACAGTGGGACAACGTGGTCACAGGTAACTCGCACCAACACAACATTCTAAACCACCTGACGGGCATTGCATGTGGATCAGGGGCAGGGATGGTCAATGTATCCCACGGATAGCTGCAGTGTGCAGGCTTTTGTACAAGCCCAACACTAACACAGCATTCACAACCAGCAGTGTTCATCAGTCACACATCTGCCTCCTGTAACTATCTTGCAGGAAAAGAAAGTAACTTCATGGTGAAGGAAGGAGACACTCAGGACCTGCCCTATGACTACGACTCCATAATGCACTACGGAACGTCAGTCACACTCTGCTTATTCCCACAAAAGGCCTAATTTTACTCACCTTGTTTTTAAACTGCTATCAATAAGTAAATATTCATTTTACTGGGCCTGTGTACAGTATCCAGTTCCAGTAACATTTCCCTGTGCGTCCCAAATGGCTCCCTATTTAGTGTACTACTTTTGACCCGGGCTCTGGTCAAACTAGGTGCACTATATTGGGAGTAGGGTGACATTTGTGACGCAGTCTTTATGTTAAAGTAGCAAGTTCTCTGACTGGGGGGGTATTGTTGCGTTTCTCCTGGCAGATATTACTTCTCATCAAACCAGAACCCCACCATTGACTCCAAGAAGAGGGGAGTCCAGATTGGACAGAGAAATCACCTGAGCCCCCTGGACATAACACGCCTTAACAAACTCTACCAATGTGGTAAAGACGTGCACACAGAGAGACAGGAAAAATATCAGAATTGGGCTGCCTTTGTAAATGCAGCCATCATATCACACTGTATTCTAACCATGTTCATGTCCCGTCTTTCCCAGAATAACAATGCACAGTTTAGCACTTATAACACCATCGATGAAGATTCCAATACCACTGCTGTCGACTGAAGATTCCAACACAAAAGGCACTGACATCTAACTTCTCTTCACGACAATGAATTGGAGTTGGACAAGTCCCTTAAAGCTTTCTGATGATGTATTCTACGTGTCTCTGTTTGCATGCAGTAGTTTGCTCTTGCTGCCATGAATTAGGCCTATACCACTGCACTTGTCTTGGAAATAAATACAATTCCCTATACTGAAAAGAATCCAGTCGGTATGATGTTGCTTGCAGTGTTCTATTTCATTCTATGATGGGTCTTCTCAGCTATGTTCATCATACATCTCAAGGTGGGACCAGAGATTCAGTAGGGCTAGCATAGCAGGAGAGACGACTTAAATGAATGGTGATTTACACCTTGAGCTTGGCCGAACAGCTAAGCAGTAGAGGCAACACATTTTTGAAAAACAAAGGCGCTGTAACACAGGACTTAGACAGCAGAATGTCACCCTCTAGAAGGGTGTACTACGAAATAGGTTTGAGGAGTTGGCGAGGTAACTTTGGTCAACTCTTGAGCTCAACTCAGGATAACCGGTAGCATGAAAGGGGTCACCTTTTAGCCAGGTATACTAAATAAAAATATAAACGCAACAATTTAAAAGATTTTACTGCGTTACCGTTCATATAAGGAAGTCACTCAATTGAAATTAATTAGGCCCTCATCTATGGATTTCACATGACTGGGCAGGGGTGCAGCCATGGGTGGGCCTTGGAGGGCATAGGCTCACCCACTTGACAGCCAAGCCCACCCACTGGGGAACCAGGCCCAGCCAATTAGTGAGTTTTCCCCACAAAAGGGCTATATTACAGACAGAAATACTCGCCAGCACTCGTCTTGGAGAAGGAGAAATGCTCACTAACAGCGACGTAAACAAATGTGTGAACAAAATGAGAAATAAGCTTTTTGGTCATATGGAACGTTTGTGATTTTATTTCAGCTCATGAAACATCGGACCAACACTTTACATGTTGTGTTTATATTTTTGTTCAGTGTGCATTTCCATGGCAACAAATCCTTAAAAAATAACCTGCTCTGGGGCAGGTTAACTCATATATCCTGAATGAAGTGCCTGAGATGCGAGTTAGGACCAATGAAGTCAGATTCCCTCACTCTCGCAAAGATTGCATCATCATCCCCTTGACCAATATTGGTAATATTAAAATACCTATGATCCATTTGAAAGTTCATGCACAGTAAAACTTTTGTATGACTATAAAAAATGTATCGACATGAATGGGGTGAAAAGGTGCTCGTGCATTGATAAGCACATCAGACATTAACGACAGATAAAAGACTGCACTTTTGCCCATAAGATGGCTCTACTTTTGACTATTTTACACCATAGCCTGCTGAATTTGCAATAACTTTTCTAGAGCAAAGGCATCCCCATACATAGGTTGTTTGCTCCTAGCAGAACTCAGCTAGGCGATGCAAACTTCTGTGCTCGCACACCCTAAAGACATTTGCTTGATAAAGTAGAAAAAAAGTGGCAATATTACTGTTTGTCTCTGTTGAGCCTCCCTAGTAACAATATAGCCAGAAACACTTCCTCAAAATATAAACATCAAGAAATCTGTAATGAATTTTTACGTTTTTGCCGAGGAGGACTTTCTCGCGCAATTTGACATCAGCTTAGTGCAGTACTTCTCAAGTGAAAACATTTGCATGAAAACTAGTAGTCCACTGCAGACATTAGGGCCTAGCTGGTGCTGTGCTCTCTCATCTCTTTCGTTGAATGACAGCAAACACTTCATTGAATAATCTCGTCCAAAGTTCCCACCCCTACTGTGAACCAATCACCGATGAAGGGGTGTAGACTTCGACTATCAAACTTACTTGCCTCAATAAAAAAAATGTGTGCGCGAACAGCAGAATTGTATTTATTTAAAAACTATACATTATATGCGCAAACTCTTTCGACTGGGAAGCATGTGACAGACTTTAGCTACATGGGTTCTATACTACACTATGGACAGTACTGTAAACTACTCTATACTACGGATGCACACTAACACTGTCTATACTGCACTATGCATGAACAGTAACACTGTCTACATGGTTTCCCACTGTAGATATTTATTTTATCTAAATGGAGAGCCCAACATCCACAAGAAGATATTTATTGTATTTTAATTTTTTTGAAAAAAAAATAGGTAGATCAGCTTTAATATTGCAGATATATTGTAACTTCCATCAATGTAATAGTCTGCGTCACTTCCAATCCCCCATATGTTGTTTTTTCTCACAAATATATAAATGATATATACAGTGGCCTGCAAAAGTATTCACCCCCCTTGGCATTTTACTACCTGGAATTAAAATTGATTTTATGGGGGTTTGTATCATTTGATTTACACAACATGCCTACCACTTTGAAGATGCAAAATATTTTTTGGGGGGAAACAAACAAGAAATAAGACAAAAAAACTGAAACTTGAGCGTGCATAACTATTCACCCCCCCCCCCCCCCCCCCCCCCAAAAAAAAAAAAAAAGTATATACTTTGTAGAGCCACCTTTAGCAATTACAGCTGCAAGTCTCTTGGGGTATGTCTCTATAAGCTTGGTACATCTAGCCACTGGGATTTTTGCCCATTCTTCAAGGCAAAACTTCTCCAGCAATCTTTAAGTCATACCACAGATTCTCAATTTGATTGAGGTCTGGGCTTTGACTAGGCCATTCCAGGACATTTAAAGGTTTCCCCTTAAACCATTCAAGTGTTGCTTTAGCAGTATGCTTAGGGTCATTGTCCTGCTGGAAGGTGAACCTCCGTCCCAGTCTCAAATCTCTGGAAGACTGAAACAGGTTTCCCTCAAGAACATACATTCAATTAGTATTTGGTAGCATTGTCTTTAAATTGTTTAACTTGGGTCAAACGTTTTGGGTAGCCTTCCACAAGTTTCCCACAATAATTTAGGTGAATTTTGGCCCATTCCTCCTGACAGAGCTGGTGTAACTGAGTCAGTTTTGTAGGCCTCCTTGCTCGCACACGCTTTTTCAGTTCTGCCCACACATTTTCCATAGGATTGAGGTCAGGGGCTTTGTGATTGCCACTCCAATACCTTGACTTTGTAGTCCTTAAGCCATTTTGTCACAACTTTGGAAGTATGCTTGGGGTCATTGTCAATTTGGAAGACCCATTTGAAACCAAGCTTTAACTTCCTGACTGATGTCTTGAGATGTTGCTTCAATATATCCACATAATTTTCCTTCCTCATGATGACATCTATTTTGTGAAGTGCACCAATCCCTCCTCTAGCAAAGCAGTTGGGATGGTGTTCTTCGGCTTGCAAGCATCCCCCTTTTTCCTCCAAACATAATGAGGGTGATTATGGCCTAACAGTTCTATTTTTGTTTCATCAGACCAGAGGTCATTTCTCCAAAAAGTACAATCTTTGTCCCCACGTGCAGTTGCAAACCATAGCCTGGCTTTTTTATGGCGGTTTTGGAGCAGTGGCTTCTTCCTTGCTGAGCGGCCTTTCAGGTTATGTCGATATAGGACTCGTTTTACTGTGGATATAGATACTTTTGTACCTGTTTCCTCCAGCATCTTCACAAGGTCCTTTGCTGTTGTTCTGTGATTGATTTGAAGTACGTTCATCTCTAGGAGACAGAACGCATCTCCTTCCTCAGCAGTATGACGGCTTCGTGGTCCCATGGTGTTTATACTTGCGTACAGATGAACATGGTACCTGCAGGCGTTTGGAAATTGCTCCCAAGGATGAACCAGACTTGTGGAGGTCTACAATTTTTTTTCTGAGGTCTTCGCTGATTTCTTTAGATTTTCCCATGATGTCAAGCAAAGAGGCACTGAGGGTGAAGGTAGGCCTTGAAATACATCCACAGGTACACCTTCAGTTGACTCAAATTATGTCAATAAGCCTATCAGAAGCTTCTAAAGCCATGACATAATTTTCTGGAATTTTCCAAGCTGTTTAAAGGCACAGTCAACTTAGTGTATTTAAACTTCTGACCCACTGGAATTGTGATAAAGTGAATTATCAGTGAAATAATCTGTCACAAACAATTGTTGGAAAAATTACTTGTGTCATGCACAAAGTAGATGTCCTAACCGACTATGGTTTAATAACAAGCAATTTGTGGAGTGGTTGTAAACTTAAGTGTATGTAAACTTCCGACTTCAACTGTACATATCCTTTAAAAATATATATATATTTCCCTTCATTGCTTTCCAACCCCACCACCCCTTCCCTAATTGGAGTAAACTAGTGAACAACAATGCTTAGGCCTCTACTTCCAGCTTATACATCAAATATACATTTAATGGACACAGTCAATTTTACAATAATTCTATTTTGTTTGTTTTTACTCCTGAACTTCATCTACCCTCAACCTCGCCAATCATTTTCATGATGTCCTTCCGGTTTGCTTCTATATGCCATATCTTTCTAACTGTGCTCTTTCACAAAAGCTCTCAACCTATATACTTATTATGGACATAGTATGCTTTACATTAGTTATCTTGTTGTTATCATTTGTTGTTAGTTGTTATTAGTCCCATCCTTCAGCTCCATTCAACACCTCCCATCTATCTCTTTACACCATCCATATTGGATTTTGATTTGCCATATATTTTTCAACTGTACTGTGATTCACAAAAGTTCTAAATCCACAACAAGATATTAGAGATGGGCCAGAGAACACATAGGACTGAACTAAACATCCAGAAAGTCTGACCGCTCTACAACTGTGGTTGTTTGACATGCAATACTCTTTTTGACCAGATGGCATCAGATACATGGGCTACACATACTAAGACAGAGGGGCAATGTTTTGCTGTCTCGGATGCCTTATCTGAGATTGATGCGTCTTTCTGTCAATAGTGTGCAACTGCAGCCCGCAATTCGGGGCATTCATGCATGAGGGCATTCCTGCATCTGCAAGAAAGCCCCCCCCCGAGAGACGTTTAGCGGCATCTGTTGTTGAGGTTGATGACTTAAAAACAAACGATTACACCTGCACCTGTTCTGGCGACACAGGAGTTTGAAGTGGAGGGAGTACAGGGCTTAGTATATCATTCGAGGAGGCTAAAAAGAGATTTCAACTTGGAAAAGTTTAATATTATCAGAAGGAGTCGGGTAATTTGTTAAGGGAGGAGGATTGGAGGGAAAGAGAGAGGAGGTTGAAAAGACAGGGAGGCAGAGGATGGGTTTGTATCTGTTGAAGCTAGCAGTAACAAGGGAGAGGGTATGTCGAGGAAGATTGGTGTCAAGTTCAAACAGAGTGGGCTGGGCATGAGTTCGAGTTCTGGAGGTGAAATGGAAGGTGTAGGAGGTGTTGTGAGGAGCTTGGAGCCCGATCCTTGCATTGATGGACATGGTTATGATAAAGATACGTTTGGTCCAGTGGGAGTGAGATTTTTGAAGAGGGTGGAACCAGGCCTTTTGGCTAATTCATCAGTGGTTTCAGGTTGGGTGGAAAAGATGATGGGTGCTGTTGAGTCGGTGAAGGTAACCCTAAGTGGAGGTGTCCGGTGCGAGAGAGGCAGGTTGAGGTGGCCAGGGTCATTGTAGTACACATGATGTTGTATGATGAGACAGTGAAGAAAGTAGAGGAGGTTGGATCAAGGGTGAGAGATTCTGAGAGGATCCCTGTGAATAGCAGATCTGTGCCAGAACAGAGGGATAGGCCAATGAGTGATATATGTTTCAGTAAGGTTGGCTTCTTAGCATTCATAGCAATGGTTATCAACTGTAACGCAGAGATGGAACGTAAGTCATAGAAAATAGATGTTGTGGTGGCAGTTGTAGAGAGGTATTTGGGGGTACGAGATTTGACTTCAGAAGAGTTAAAGGGTGTGTTGAGTGGTAGTGTCCGGTCCTCTCGGGTCGTTGGCCTGTGTTAGGATCAGATAGGGTTAAAGTAGTGGAATAAGGTGGTGGGTTTCAATGAGTGTAGGGTTAGTTGGTAGGGAAATTAAAAATATATTTTATTGCATTCTTCTCGTTTCCCCTTTTCCCTTATTGTATCACAAAGTGTAAGGGATTTATACTATAGTTCAGTTGGGGGCGGTAATGCAACATATTGGATGCCAACCGTCTCTAAACCTCAACGAAGAAGAAGAAGAAGAAGAAGAAGAATGCACCTGTTCTTTTGTGATTGCTGCCCTGCCCACTCTTTGACTGGAAGGAGAGTGAGTACACAATTTGTTTGTGCAGCTGCTTTGGTTATTTTCTCCCAAATCCTGGTGGACAATCGTCGTTGCAACATGCTTTGGCTTCTGATTCTCATCTGGTTTGTCCAAGGTAGGACCAGTCATTTTGTATTTGTGACATCCTACTTTTGAGTATTTTCCATTTGATGTAGTCCAGCACAATCCCACTGCAGGCACCAATTGGTTGACCATGTTGTTATGTAACATGTATTATGTTTCACTTCTGTATTTCAGTGGGCAGTGTTCCCATTGACAATTCCACAAATGCTACTACTTCAAATGCTACTTTCCCTGCCACAGGTAGGTAGGCTTGCATTGGGGACCAGTTATTTCGTTAGGTGATAAGCTGAATGCTAGGCCTATTTTCTGTTTTCCATTTTTTATTTAACGTAGGCCAGCACCACTGCAAAACTATGTTTTTTCTGTATTTCAGTGGACAATTCTACAAACCCTATCAACAATTCTACAAATGCGACTTTCTCTGCCACAGGTAGGCCTCTATTGTGATTCTCAAGTCAGTCTCTTGGCGTGATGGGCCTAAAGAAACAATTCAATCGCTTGTCTTCAAGTTTATGGCTTATCTATCAAACATAAAATGATATTGCAAAATGAGTTTAATGTTCACAATTCCTTTTAGGTTCTGCTGCCTCAATGGGGCCACGTCACAGACAAAATGATTGGGTTAAAGCGGCTGAAACCAGAGAAGGTAACACATTTATTAGATGAAGCAGAACCTGGACCTCTACCATGAGGTCTGGACTTTAATGGCACTGGAGGTAGTGACTTGTAACGAGTACATGTCGTGTCAGTGTGGTTGTTTCAGACCGACTCTCTCTGTTACAGAGGACTTACAGTACGACCTTGCTATTGTGGAAGGAGACATTATGATTTCGGTGAGTCTATGATCCCTACTGTCTAGGTCCTGTTACTTCGTCTTTTAGGCTGATGAATCAGACTGTGATACCAGCTTCTGGTATACACAGCCTGAAACTAATGACTGCAAAATCGTTCAAGCCAGAATGTTGAATAAAATTACATTTGAACTTACTCTACGGGTAAGTTTGAAATTCACTGCTCGACTGAGGGACCTTTAAAGATAATTGTATGTGTGGGGTACGGTGATGAGGTAGTCATTCAAAAATCATGTTAAACACTATTATTACACAGTGAGTCCATGCAAATAACTGTGCCTTGTTATGCACGTTTTTACTCCTGAACTTATATGGGGTTGAAATACTTGACTCAAGACATTTCAGCTTTTAATTTTCAATTAGTGTAAACATTTCGAAAAACATAATTCCACTTTGACATTATGGGGTATTGTGTGTAGGCCAGTGATGACAAAATCTCAATTTAATCATAGTGGGCGTGGCCAATGGCAGCGTTTTAGAGGCCCTCTAGGCCGCAGAGTTAATTTCCTGAAATTATACACATTTTCCCATGTCATATTCCTTGTTCTTATGCTCTGAGTGACTCAAAGATAATAACAAAATCAATGGGGCCCACATTCCATGCCATTGTGGGAATTTTAGATTCTCCCGGAATGTAGTTTTATTTTGGTGATTATTAGTTCTCAAAAATCGTATAAAAAAAAAATACTGAGTGTACATAACATTACGAACACTTTCCTAATATTGAGTTACACCTCCTTTTGCCCTCAGAACAGCCTCAATTTGTAGGGGCATGGACTCTACAAGGTGTCAAGCGTTCCACAGGGATGCTGGCCCATGTTGACTCCAATGCTTCCCACCGTTGTGTCAAGTTGCCTGGTAGTGGATCTTTATTCCGAATACCTCGTTCCATCTCCTCCCACAGTTGCTCAATTGGATTGAGATTTGGTGACTGGGCAGGCCAATGCAGTAAGCTGAATTCACTGTCATGTTCGTGGAACCATTCCTGGACAATCCTAGCCTTCTGGCATGGTGCATTATATAGCTGAAAAAAATCAATTCGCAGATGGATACACTGCTGCTATGAAGGGATGCATCTGATTTTCAATGATGCTCAGATATCCTGTGGCATTCAAACGTTGCTCCACTTTTATCAAGGGGCCCAATATGTGACATGAAAAAGCATCCGACAGCATGGCATCACCACCACCACTCACCAGCCTGCAATGTCGACATGCGGCATGATAGATGTATGTACTCGTGGTTTTCTCCATACCCTAGTCATCAGCGTGAAACGTCAAGAACCGGGATTCATCAGACCAGACAACGTTTTTCCAATTCTTCAGTGTTTCCACTGCAACTGAGTGTGAAAAACCCAGCAACGTTGCACTTCTTGACACACTCAAACTGGTGAGCCTGGCACCTACTACCATACCCTGTTCAAACACACTTACATCTTTTGTCTTGCCTATCCACCCTCTGAATGGCACAGACACACAATCCATGTCTCAAGGCTTAACAATCCTCCTTTTAACTTGTCTCCTCCCCTTTATATACACTGATTGAAGTGGAATTAACAGGTGGCCTCAATAAGGATCAAAGCTTTCACCTGGTCAGTCTGTCATGGAAATAGCAGGTGTTCCTAATGTTTTGTACACTGTGAATATTGCTCCGTTACCTTTTCTACATACTTAATGTGGTTTAAGTCGTTTCAGTTTACACTGCAAAGATTTTTCATTCAGATTGTCAAACATTCATAGGGGAAACACTGAAATAATTAATCTGAGGCCTATACTCTAGCGACAGCTGGATTTAAGTCGAGGTGTTGATTTGTCCTACAGGAAGACCGATTAGCTGTGAAGTCACTTTGGCCGACGAAAGAAGGCATCACTTCTATCCCCTACAAGATCAACAATGATCTGGGTGAGTGTTGAAGACAGTAGGAGAGGTGAACACTTTAAAACACTAGATGTTTTCTAATACAGTGGGAATGATGTGCGCCGTCTAATGGTAGATTGTCTCTGATCCACACAGTGGCCAGAAAGGAAACTATGCTAGCAGCGTTCAAGATGATTTCAGACCGGACGTGTATCCGCTTCCACGAATACACCAATGAGATTAACTACATAGAGTTCATCTCTGGGAAAGGGTGAGTCCAAAGTGGGCACATTAACACATTCTCTCCATCCCAGCAGTTTACAGTTAACTCACAACCTCTCCTCCCTTTTCCTGTGTTCAATCCTTTATTTTTTCCCTCTGACTGTCATATCCTCTCTTACTCCTCCATTTCTCTCCTCCCCCTTCTCTCACCTTTTTCTCTTTCTTCACAACACTCTAGCTGTGCGTCATATGTAGGTTTTCAGGGCGGGGCCCAGCATCTGTACTTCGGTAGCGCCTGTAACGTGGGGAACCTGTGTCATGAGCTGATGCATGCCCTGGGCCTGCACCACGAACACACACGGCCGGACCGTGACCAATACGTCACCATACAGTGGGACAACGTGGTCACAGGTAACTCGCACCAACACAACCTACTTAACCACCTGATGGGCATTGCATGTGGATCAGGGGCAGGGATGGTCAATGTATCCCATGGATAGCTGCAGTGTGCAGGCTTTTGTACCAGCCCAACACTAACACACCTAATTCCGCTTTTTGTGGTCTGGAGTGAAGACCATATAGGATAACTATTGACATATAGTATTTTATTAGGATCCCCATTAGCTACTGCTAAAGTAGTAGCTACTCTTCCTGGGGTCCACACTACATACAGTTGAAGGCGGAAGTTTATATTTACGTAGGTTTTTCAACCACTCCACAAATGTCTTGTTAACAAACTACAGTTTTGGCAAGTCGGTTAGGACATCTACTTTGTGCATGACACAATTAATTTTTCCAACAATTGTTTACAGACAGATTATTTCACTTATACTTCATTGTATCACAATTCCAGTGGGTCAGAAGTTTACATACACTAAGTTGACTGTGCCTTTAAACAGCTTGGAAAATTCCAGAAATTGATGTCATGGCTTTAGAAGCTTCTGATAGGCTTATTGACATAATTTGAGTCAATTGGAGGTGTACCTGTGGATGTATTTCAAGGCCTACCTTCAAACTCAGTGCCTCTTCGCTTGACATCATGGGAAAATCAAGACCTCAGGAAAAAAAATTGTAGACCTCCACAAGTCTGGTTCATCCTTGGGAGCAATTTCCAAACACCTGAAGGTACCACGTTCATCTGTACAAACAATAGTACGCAAGTATAAACACCATGGGACCACGCAGCCGTCATACCTCTCAGGAAGATGACGCGTTCTGTCTCCTAGAGATGAACGTACTTTGGTGCGAAAAGTGCAAATCAATCCCAGAACAACAGCAAAGGAACTTGTGAAGATGCTGGAGGAAACAGGTACAAAAGTATCTATATCCACAGTAAAACGAGTCCTATATTGACATAACCTGAAAGGCCGCTCAGCAAGGAAGAAGCCACTGCTCCAAAACCGCCATAAAAAAGCCAGATTACGGTTTGCAACTGCACATGTGGACAAAGATCGTACTTTTGGAGGAATGTCCTCTGGTCTGATGAAACAAAAATAGAACTGTTAGGCCATAATCACCATCGTTACATTTGGAGGAAAAAGGGGATGCTTGCAAGCCGAAGAAAACCATCCCAAACCTGAAGCATGGGGGTGGCAGCAACATGCTGTGGGTGTGCTTTGTTGCAGGAGGGACTGGTGCACTTCACAAAATAGATGGCATCTTGAGGAAAGACAATTATGTGGATATATTGAAGCAACATCTCAAGACATCAGTCAGGAAGTTAAAGCTTGGGTCTTCCAAATGGACAATGATCCCAAGCATACTTCCAAAGTTGTGGCAAAATGGCTTAAGGACTACAAAGTCAAGGTATTGGAGTGGCCATCACAAAGCCCTGACCTCAAGCCTACAGATAATTTGTGGGCAGAACTGAAAAAGTGTGTGCGAGCAAGGAGGCCTACCAACCTAACTCAGTTACACCAGTTCTGTAAGGAGGAATGGGCCAATATTCACCCAACTTATTGTGGGAAGCTTGTGGAAGGCTAACTGAAACGTTTGACCCAAGTTAAACAATTTAAAGGCAATGCTACCAAATACTAATTGAGTGTATGTAAACTTCTGACCCACTGGGAATGTGATGAAAGAAAAGCTGAAATCCATTCTCTCTACTATTATTCTGACATTTCACATTCTTAAAATAAAGTGCTGATCCTAACTGACCTAAGACAGGGAATTTTGACTAGGATTAAATGTCAGTAATTGTGAAACCTGAGTTTAAATGTAATTGGCTAATGTGAATATTAACTTCTGACTTCAACTGTAATACATAACATTAATAGACAGCACAAGGACAGAACGACATACGTTTAAAATAAGAATACAGGCTTACATATATTTATGCCTTAGCATTCCATGCATCATGTACTCATTATAACGGTAATACTGCTGCCATTAATTTCCCCATACATTGCAATCCTTTACTCTACTGTTACAATTGCTTTGTCTAAGCAGGTCCTGATATCCTAATGGCAACCTTGAATCCTGATATCCTAATTTCACAACACCAGTTCTGTAAACACCAGAGAGAATCTCACATCAGGAACCAGCAGTGTTCTTCTGTTTGACGCCAATACTATGCATAATTATGTAATTCATAGACTCTACTGAATGCAATTATGTAAATGCAATTATGTGGAGTTTAACTGAAGTCGTCAACTCATTTTCCCTGGCGTGATCAGAGCCACATATTGTATTGATTTACATGTAAGTTTCACCCCTGCTTTGTTCCACTGTCGTGAAGGCAGCAACCTTGTTCGCTAAATTTCCCTGACATGAATAACACTACCTTGTTAGGCTAAATTTCCCTGACATGAATATAGATACCTTGTCATCTACAGTTTCCGCCTGTAATGGGTATCCTGGGGTAACATGTAAGCTCTTGAACTTGTAGGCCATTTTGTTACATTACCACCTGCTATGGGTTTCATTAGGTAAGATGCAATATTCATGCCTTGAATCGTGTAGAGTTTCCTCCTGCTAGAAGGTTGAACTTAATGGTTTCCATCTCAGCACCTTGTCTACATTTCCATTTTCATTCCCCTATATCACATTCAGACCCAGTAGTGTCCACCAGTCAGACACATGCACACATCTGCCTCCTCTATCTCTTTGTCTTCCAGGAAAAGCCAAAAACTTTGTGGTGAAGAAAGGAGACACTCAGGACCTGCCCTATGACTACGATTCCATAATGCACTACGGAATGTCAGTCACACTCCTCTCCTCCTTACTCCCACTAAAGTCCTCATTTTACTCACCTTGTTTTTAAACTGCCGGCAATAAGTAAAGATTCATTTTACTGGGCCTGTGTACAGTATCCAGTTCCAGTAACATTTCTCAGTGCGTCCCAAATGGCTCCCTATTTAGTGCACTACTTTTGACCCGGGCTCTGGTCAAACTAGGTGCACTATATTGGGAGTAGGGTGACATTTGTGACGCAGTCTTTGTGTTAAAGTAGAAAGTTCTCTGACTGGGGGGGTATTGTTGGGTTTCTCCTGGCAGATATTACTTCTCATCAAACCAGAACCCCACCATTGACTCCAAGAAGAGGGGAGTCCAGATTGGACAGAGAAATCACCTGAGCCCCCTGGACATAACACGCCTTAACAAACTCTACCAATGTGGTAAAGACGTGCACACAGAGAGACAGGAAAAATATCAGAATTGGGCTGCCTTTGTAAATGCAGCCATCATATCACACTGTATTCTAACCATGTTCATGTCCCGTCTTTCCCAGAATAACAATGCACAGTTTAGCACTTATTACACCATCGATGAAGATTCCAATACCACTGCTTTTCGACTGAAGATTCCAACACAAAAGGCCTGATATCTAACTTCTCTTCACGACAATGAATTGGAGTTGGACAAGTCTCTTAAAGCTTTCTGATTATGTATTCTACGTGTCTCTGTTTGCATGCAGTAGTTTGCTCTTGCTGCCTTGAATTAGGCCTATACCACTGCACTTGTCTTGTAAATAAATACAATTCCCTATACTGAAAAGAATCCAGTCGGTATGATGTTGCATGCAGTGTTCTATTTCATTCTATGATGGGTCTTCTCAGCTATGCTCATCGTACATCCCAAGGTGGGACCAGAGATTCAGTAGGGCTAGCATAGCAGGAGAGACGACTTAAATGAATGGTGATTTACACCTTGAACTTGGCCGAACAGCTAAGCAGTAGAGGCAACAAATGATTGAAAAACAAAGGCGCTGTAACACAGGACTTAGACAGCAGAATGTCACCCTCTAGAAGGGTGTACTACGAAATAGGTTTGAGGAGTTGGCGAGGTAACTTTTGTCAACTCTTGAGCTCAACTCAGGATAACCGGTAGCACGAAAGGGGTCACCTTTTAGCCAGGTATACTAAAAAATATATAAACGCAAAGATCTTACTAATTTACCGTTCATATAACGAAGTCACTCTATTGAAATTAATTAGGCCCTCATCTATGGATTTCACATGACTGGGCAGGGTTGCAGCCATGGGTGGGCCTTGGAGGGCGTAGGCTCACCCACTGGGGAGCCAGGCCCAGCCAATCAATGAGTTTTCCCCACAAAAGGGCTTTATTACAGACAGAAATACTCGCCAGCACTCGTCTTGGCAAAGGAGAAATGCTCACTAACAGCGACATAAACAAATGTGTGAACAAAATGAGAAATAAGCTTTTTGGTCATATGGAACGTTTCTGTGATTTTATTTCAGCTCATGAAACATCGGACCAACACTTTACATGTTGCGTTTATATTTTTGTTCAGTGTACATTTCCATGGCAACAAATCCTTTAAAAATAACCTGCTCCGGGGCAGGCTAACTCATATATCCTGAATGAAGTGCCTGAGCTGCGAGTTAAGGACCAATGAAATCAGATTCCCTCACTCTCGCTAAGATTGCATTATCATCTCGTTGACCAATATTGGCAATATTACTGTTTGTCTCTGTTGAGCCTCCGTAGTAACAATATAGCCAGAAACACTTCCTCAAAATAGATACATCAAGAAATCTGTAATGAATTTTTACGTTTTTGCCGAGGAGGTCTTTCTCGCGCAATTTGACATCAGCTTAGTGCAGTACTTCTCAAGTGAAAACATTTGCATGAAAACTAGTAGTCCACTGCAGACATTCGGGCCTAGCTGCTGCTCTCTCATATCTCTCGTTGAATGACAGCAAACACTTCATTGAATAATCTCGTCCAAAGTTCCCACCCCTACTGTGAACCAATCACCGATGAAGGGGTGTAGACTTTGACTATCAAACTTAGACTTGCCTCAATAAAAAAAATGTGTGCGCGAACAGCTGAAATGTTTTTATTTTAAAATGATCATAAATTATATGCGCAAACTCTTCGACTGGGAAGCATGTGACATACTTTAGCGGTAGGCGGACGAGCAATATCCACTTTCATAGTACAGATGAAGCCTGAGCTGGAATCTGAAGCTGGCTAGATTTAGAAAACCCTGAGTAGATCTAGCTTCCTTCATGGTATACCACTCTGGGAACACCCTGGACGTAGCTTACTACATGGGTTCTATACTACACCATGGACAGTACTGTAAACTACTCTATACTACGGATGCACACTAACACTGTCTATACTGCACTATGCATGAACAGTAACACAGTCTACATGGTTTCCCACTGTAGATATTTATTTTATGTCAATGATGAGGCCAACATCATAGCCAATATCCACAACACAGGAGTTTGAAGTGTAGGGAGTGCTTATCATGTAATATAATAATAATATGCCATTTAGCAGACGCTTTTATCCAAAGCGATTTACACTCATGTGTGCCTACATTTTTGCGTATGGGTGGTCCCAGGGATCGAACCCACTACCCTGGCGTTACAAGCGCCGTGCTCTACCAATTGAGCTACAGAGGACCACCCATACAGAGCTACATGTCCCTCGAGGAGGCTAAAAAGAGATTTAGACTTGGAAAAGTTTAATATTTTCAGAAGGATTCGGGTAATTGGTTAAGGGAGGAGGATTGGAGGGAAAGAGAGAGGAGGGTGAAAAGACAGGGAGGCAGAGGATGGGTTTGTATCTGTTGAAGCTTGCAGTTAGAAGGGAGAGGGTATGTAGAGGAAGATTGGTGTCAAGTTCAAACAGAGTGGACTAGACATGAGTTCGAGTTCTGAAGATGAAATGGAAGTGGTAGAAGGTGTTGTGAGGAGCTTGGAGCCCGTGCCTTGCATTGATGGACATGGTTATGATGATGATACGTTTGGTCCAGTGGGAGTGAGATTTTTTGAGAGGGTGGAACCAGGCCTTTTGGCTAATTCATCAGTGGTTTCAGGTTGGGTGGAAAAGATGATGGGTGCTGTTGAGCCGGTGAAGGTAACCCTAAGTGGAGGTGTCCGGTGCGAGAGAGGCAGGTTGAGGTGGCCAGGGTCATTGTAGTGCACATGATGTTGTATGCTGAGGCAGTGAAGAAAGTAGAGGAGGTTGGATCAAGGGTGAGAGATTCTGAGAGGATCCCTGTGAATAGTAGATCTGTGCCAGAACAGAGGGATAGGCCAATGAGTGATATATGTTTCAGTAAGGTTGGCTTCTTAGCATTCATAGCAATGGTTATCAACTGTAACACAGAGATGGAACGTAAGTCATAGAAAATAGATGTTGTGGTGGCAGTTGCAGAGAGGTATTTGGGGGTACGAGATTTGATTTCAGAAGAGTTAAAGGGTGTGTTGAGTGGTAGTGTCCGGTCCTCTCGGGTCGTTGGCCTGTGTTAGGATCAGATAGGGTTAAAGTAGTGGAATAAGGTGGTGGGTTTCAATGAGTGTAGGGTTAGTTGGTAGGGAAATTAAAAAAATATTTTTATTGCATTCTTCTCGTTTCCCCTTTTCCCTTATTGTATCACAAAGTGTAATGGATTTATGCTATAGTTCAGTTGGGGGCGGTAATGCAAGATATTGGATGCAAACCATCTCTAAACCTCAACGAAGAAGAAGAAGAAGAAGAAGCATGCACCTGTTCTTTTGTGATTGCTGCCCTGCCCACTCTTTGACTGGAAGGAGAGTGAGTACACAATTTGTTTGTGCAGCTGCTTTGGTTATTTTCTCCCAAATCCTGGTGGACAATCGTCGTTGCAACATGCTTTGGCTTCTGATTCTCATCTGGTTTGTCCAAGGTAGGACCAGTCATTTTGTATTTGTGACATCCTACTTTTGAGTATTTTCCATTTGATGTAGTCCAGCACAATCCCACTGCAGGCACCAATTGGTTGACCATGTTCTTATGTAACATATATTATGTTTCACTTCTGTATTTCAGTGGGCAGTGTTCCCATCGACAATTCCACAAATTCTACTACTTCAAATGCTACTTTCCCTGCCACAGGTAGGTAGGCTTGCATTGGGGACCAGTTATTTTGTTAGGTGATAAGCTGAATGCTAGGCCTATCTTCTGTTTTCCATTTTTTTATTTAACGTAGGCCAGCACCACTGCAAAACTATGTTTTCTCTTCCTCTTTATAATGTTTTTTCTGTATTTCAGTGGACAATTCTACAAACCCCATAAACAATTCTACAAATGCGACGTTCTCTGCCACAGGTAGGCCTCTATTGTGATTCTCAAGTCAGTCTCTTGGCGTGATGGGCCTAAAGAAACAATTCAATCGCTTGTCTTCAAGTTTATGGCTTATCTATCAAACATAAAATGATATTGCAAAATGAGTTTAATGTTCACAATTCCTTTTAGGTTCTGCTGCCTCAATGGGGCCACGTCACAGACAAAATGATTGGGTTAAAGCGGCTGAAACCAGAGAAGGTAACACATTTATTAGATGAAGCAGAACCTGGACCTCTACCATGAGGTCTGGAGTTTAATGGCACTGGAGGTAGTGACTTGTAACGAGTACATGTCGTGTCAGTGTGGTTGTTTCAGACCGACTCTCTCTGTTACAGAGGACTTACAGTTCGACCTTGCTATTGTGGAAGGAGACATTATGATTTCGGTGAGTCTATGATCCCTACTGTCTAGGTCCTGTTACTTCGTCTTTTAGGCTGATGAATCAGACTGTGATACCAGCTTCTGGTATACACAGCCAGAAACTAATGACTGCAAAATCGTTCAAGCCAGAATGTTGAATAAAATTACATTTGAACTTACTCTACGGGTAAGTTTGAAATTCACTGCTCGACTGAGGGACCTTAAAGATAATTGTATGTGTGGGGTACGGTGATGAGGTAGTCATTCAAAAATCATGTTAAACACTATTATTGCACATTGAGTCCATGCAAATAACTGTGACTTGTTATGCACATTTTTACTCCTGAACTTATTTGGGGTTGAAATACTTGACTCAAGACATTTCAGCTTTTAATTTTCAATTAGTGTAAACATTTCGAAAAACATAATTCCACTTTGACATTATGGGGTATTGTGTGTAGGCCAGTGACGACAAAATCTCAATTTAATAATAGTGGGCGTGGCCAATGGCAGCGTTTTAGAGGCCCTCTAGGCCGCAGAGTTAATTTCCTGAAATTATACACATTTTCCCATGTCATATTCCTTGTTCTTATGCTCTGAGTGACTCAAAGATAATAACAAAATCAATAGGGCCCACATTCCATGCCATTGTGGGAATTTTAGATTCTCCCGGAATGTAGTTTTATTTTGGTGATTATTAGTTCTCAAAAATCGTATAAAAAAAATACTGCGTGTACATAACATTATGAACACTTTCCTAATATTGAGTTACACCTCCTTTTGCCCTCAGAACAGCCTCAATTTGTAGGGGCATGGACTCTACAAGGTGTCAAGCGTTCCACAGGGATGCTGGCCCATGTTGACTCCAATGCTTCCCACCGTTGTGTCAAGTTGCCTGGTAGTGGATCTCTATTTCCGAATACCTCGTTCCATCTCCTCCCACAGGTGCTCAATTGGATTGAGATTTGGTGACTGGGCAGGCCAATGCAGTAAGCTGAATTCACTGTCATGTTCGTGGAACCATTCCTGGACAATCCTAGCCTTCTGGCATGGTGCATTATAATGCTGAAAAAAATCAATTCTCAGATGGATACACTGCTGCTATGAAGAGATGCATCTGATTTTCAATGATGCTCAGATATCCTGTGGCATTCAAACGTTGCTCCACTTTTATCAAGTGGCCCAATATGTGACATGAAAAAGCATCCGACAGCATGGCATCACCACCACCACTCACCAGCCTGCAATGTCGACACGCGGCATGATAGATGTATGTACTCGTGGTTTTCTCCATACCCTAGTCCTCAGCGTGAAACGTCAAGAACCGGGATTCATCAGACCAGACAACGTTTTTCCAATTCTCCAGTGTTTCCACTGCCCTGCCGTTGGCCGGATGTCCTTTAGGTGGTGGACCATCTTTGACACATGGGAAACTGAGTGTGAAAAACCCAGCAACGTTGCAGTTCTTGACACACTCAAACTGGTGAGCCTGGCACCTACTACCATACCCTGTTCAAACGCACTTACATCTTTTGTCTTGCCTATCCACCCTCTGAATGGCACAGATACACAATCCATGTCTCAAGGCTTAACAATCCTCCTTTTAACTTGTCTCCTCCCCTTTATATACACTGATTGAAGTGGAATTAACAGGTGGCCTCAATAAGGATCAAAGCTTTCACCTGGTCAGTCTGTCATGGAAATAGCAGGTGTTCCTAATGTTTTGTACACTGTGTATATTGCTCCGTTACCTTTTCTACATACTTAATGTGGTTTAAGTCGTTTCAGTTTACACTGCAAAGATTTTTCATTCAGAATTGTCAAACATTCATAGGGGAAACGCTGAAATAATTAATCTGAGGCCTATACTCTAGCGACAGCTGGATTTAAGTCGAGGTGTTGATTTGTCCTACAGGAAGACCGATTAGCTGTGAAGTCACTTTGGCCGACGAAAGAAGGCGTCACTTCTATCCCCTACAAGATCAACGATGATCTGGGTGAGTGTTGAAGACAGTAGGAGAGGTGAATACTGTAAAACACTAGATGTTTCCAATACAGTGGGAATGGTATGCACCGTCTAATGGTAGATTTGTCTCTGATCCACACAGTGGCCAGAAAGAAAACTATCCTAGCAGCGTTCAAGATGATTTCAGACCGGACGTGTATCCGCTTCCACGAATACACCAATGAGATTAACTACATAGAGTTCATCTCTGGGAAAGGGTGAGTCCAAAGTGGGCACATTAACACATTCTCTCCATCCCAGCAGTTTACAGTTAACTCACCTCTCCTCCCTTTTCCTGTGTTCAATCCTTTATTTTTTCCCTCTTCCTGTCATATCCTCTCTTACTCCTCCGTTTCTCTCCTCCCCCTTCTCTCACCTTTTTTCTCTTTCTTCACTTCACTCTAGCTGTGCGTCATATGTAGGTTTTCAGGGCGGGGCCCAGCATCTGTACTTCGGTAGAGCCTGTAACGAGGGGAACCTGTGTCATGAGCTGATGCATGCCCTGGGCCTGCACCACGAACACACACGGCCGGACCGTGACCAATACGTCACCATACAGTGGGACAACGTGGTCACAGGTAACTCGCACCAACACAACCTACTTAACCACCTGACGGGCATTGCATGTGGATCAGGGGCAGGGATGGTCAATGTATCCCACGGATAGCTGAAGTGTGCAGGCTTTTGTACCAGCCCAACACTAACACACCTAATTCCGCTTTTTGTGGTCTGGAGTGAAGACCGTATAGGATAACTATTGACATATAGTATTTTATTAGGATCCCCATTAGCTACTGCTAAAGTAGCAGTCACTCTTCCTGGGGTCCACACTACATACAGTTGAAGTCGGAAGTTTATATGCACGTAGGTTTTTCAACCACTCCACAAATGTCTTGTTAACAAACTACAGTTTTGGCAAGTCGGTTAGGACATCTACTTTGTGCTAGACGCAAGTATTTTTTCCAACAATTGTTTACAGACAGATTATTTCACTTATAATTAATTGTATCACAATTCCAGTGGGTCAGAAGTTTACATACACTAAGTTGACTGTGCCTTTAAACAGCTTGGAAAACTCCAGAAATTGATGTCATGGCTTTAGAAGCTTCTGATAGGCTTATTGACATAATTTGAGTCAATTGGAGGTGTACCTGTGGATGTATTTCAAGGCCTACCTTCAAACTCTGTGCCTCTTCGCTTGACATCATGGGAAAATCAAGACCTCAGGAAAAAAAATTGTAGACCTCCACAAGTCTGGTTCATCCTTGGGAGCAATTTCCAAACGCCTGAAGGTACCACGTTCATCTGTACAAACAATAGTACGCAAGTATAAACACCATGGGACCACGCAGCCGTCATACCGCTCAGGAAGATGACACGTTCTGTCTCCTAGAGATGAACGTACTTTGGCGCGAAAAGTGCAAATCAATCCCAGAACAACAGCAAAGGAACTTGTGAAGATGCTGGAGGAAACAGGTACAAAAGTATCTATATCCACAGTAAAACGAGTCCTATATTGACATAACCTGAAAGGCCGCTCAGCAAGGAAGAAGCCACTGCTCCAAAACCGCCATAAAAAAGACAGATTACGGTTTGCAACTGCACATGTGGACAAAGATCGTACTTTTGGACGTATGTCCTCTGGTCTGATGAAACAAAAATAGAACTGTTAGGCCATAATCACCATCGTTATGTTTGGAGGAAAAAGGGGATGCTTGCAAGCCGAAGAAAACCATCCCAAACCTGAAGCATGGGGGTGGCAGCAACATGCTGTGGTGGTGCTTTGCTGCAGGAGGGACTGGTGCACTTCACAAAATAGATGGCATCATGAGGAAGGACAATTATATGGATATATTGAATCAACATCTCAAGACATCAGTCAGGAAGTTAAAGCTTGGGTCTTCCAAATGGACAATGACCCCAAGCATACTTCCAAAGTTGTGGCAAAATGGCTTAAGGACTACAAAGTCAAGGTATTGGAGTGGCCATCACAAAGCCCTGACCTCAATCCTACAGAAAATTTGTGGGCAGAACTGAAAAAGTGTGTGCGAGCAAGGAGGCCTACCAACCTAACTCAGTTACACCAGTTCTGTAAGGAGGAATGGGCCAATATTCACCCAACTTATTGTGGGAAGCTTGTGGAAGGCTAACTGAAACGTTTGACCCAAGTTAAACAATTTAAAGGCAATGCTACCAAATACCAATTGAGTGTATGTAAACTTCTGACCCACTGGGAATGTGATGAAAGAAAAGCTGAAATCCATTCTCTCTACTATTATTCTGACATTTCACATTCTTAAAATAAAGTGCTGATCCTAACTGACCTAAGACAGGGAATTTTGACTAGGATTAAATGTCAGTAATTGTGAAACTGAGTTTAAATGTAATTGGCTAATGTGAATATTAACTTCTGACTTCAACTGTAATACATAACATTAATAGACAGCACAAGGACAGAACGACATACGTTTAAAATAAGAATACAGGCTTACATATATTTATGCCTAACCATTCCATGCATCATGTACTCATTATAACGGTAATACTGCTGCCATTAATTTCCCCATACATTGCAATCCTTTGCTCTACTGTTACAATTGCTTTGTCTAAGCAGGTCCTGATATCCTAATTTCACAACACCAGTTCTGTAAACACCAGAGAGAATCTCACATCAGGAACCATCAGTGTTCTTCTGTTTGACGCCAATACTATGCATAATTATGTAATTCATAGACTCTACTGAATGCAATTATGGAAATGCAATAATGTGGAGTTTAACTGAAGTCGTCAACTCATTTTCCCTGGCGTGATCAGAGCCACATATCGTATTGATTTACATGTAAGTTCCACCCCTGCTTTGTTCCACTGTCGTGAAGGCAGCAACCTTGTTCGCTAAATTTCCCTGACATGAATAACACTACCATGTTAGGCTAAATTTCCCTGACATGAATATAGATACCTTGTCATCTACAGTTACCGCCCGTAATGGGTATCCTGGGGTAACATGTAAGCTCTTGAACTTGTAGGCCATTTTGTTACATTACCACCTGCTATGGGTTTCATTAGGTAAGATGCAATATTCATGCCTTGAATCGTGTAGAGTTTCCTCCTGCTAGAAGGTTGAACTTAATGGTTTCCATCTCAGCACCTTGTCTACATTTCCATTTTCATTCCCCTATATCACATTCAGACCCAGTAGTGTCCACCAGTCAGACACATGCACACATCTGCCTCCTCTATCTCTTTGTCTTCCAGGAAAAGCCAAAAACTTTGTGGTGAAGAAAGGAGACACTCAGGACCTGCCCTATGACTACGATTCCATAATGCACTACGGAACGTCAGTCACACTCCTCTCCTCCTTATTCCCACTAAAGTCCTCATTTTACTCACCTTGTTTTTAAACTGCCAGCAATAAGTAAAGATTCATTTTACTGGGCCTGTGTACAGTATCCAGTTCCAGTAACATTTCCCAGTGCGTCACCAAATGGCTCCCTATTTAGTGCACTACTTTTGACCCGGGCTCTGGTCAAACTAGGTGCACTATATTGGGAGTAGGGTGACGTTTGTGACGCAGTCTTTGTGTTAAAGTAGCAAGTTCTCTGACTAGGGGGGTATTGTTGGGTTTCTCCTGGCAGATATTACTTCTCATCAAACCAGAACCCCACCATTGACTCCAAGAAGAGGGGAGTCCAGATTGGACAGAGAAATCACCTGAGCCCCCTGGACATAACACGCCTTAACAAACTCTACCAATGTGGTAAAGACGTGCACACAGAGAGACAGGAAAAATATCAGAATTGGGCTGCCTTTGTAAATGCAGCCATTACACAGTGGGGAAAAAAAGTATTTAGTCAGCCACCAATTGTGGAAATTCTCCCACTTAAAAAGATGAGAGGCCTGTAATTTTCATCATAGGTACACGTCAACTAGGACAGACAAAATGAGAGAGAAAAAATCCAGAAAATCACATTGTAGGATTTTTAATGAATTTATTTGCAAATTATGGTGGAAAATAAGTATTTGGTCAATAACAAAAGTTTCTCAATACTTTGTTATATACCCTTTATTGGCAATGACACAGGTCAAACGTTTTCTGTAAGTCTTCACAAGGTTTTCACACACTGTTGCTGGTATTTTGGCCCATTCCTCCATGCAGATCTCCTCTAGAGCAGTGATGTTTTGGGGCTGTCGCTGGGCAACACGGACTTTCAACTCCCTCCAAAGATTTTCTATGGGGTTGAGATCTGGAGACTGGCTAGGCCACTCCAGGACCTTGAAATGCTTCTTACGAAGCCACTCCTTCGTTGCCCGGGCGGTGTGTTTGGGATCATTGTCATGCTGAAAGACCCAGCCACGTTTCATCTTCAATGCCCTTGCTGATGGAAGGAGGTTTTCACTCAAAATCTCACGATACATGGCCCCATTCATTCTTTCCTTTACACCGATCAGTCGTCCTGGTCCCTTTGCAGAAAAACAGCCCCAAAGCATGATGTTTCCACCCCCATGCTTCACAGTAGGTATGGTGTTCTTTGGATGCAACTCAGCATTCTTTGTCCTCCAAACACGACGAGTTGAGTTTTTACCAAAAAGTTATATTTTGGTTTCATCTGACCATATGACATTCTCCCAATCCTCTTCTGGATCATCCAAATGCACTCTAGCAAACTTCAGACGGGCCTGGACATGTACTGGGGACACGTCTGGCACTGCAGGATTTGAGTCCCTGGCGGCGTAGTGTGTTACTGATGGTAGGCTTTGTTACTTTGGTCCCAGCTCTCTGCAGGTCATTCCCTAGGTCCCCCCGTGTGGTTCTGGGATTTTTGCTCACCGTTCTTGTGATCATTTAATCCCCACGGGGTGAGATCTTGCCCCAGATCGAGGGAGATTATCAGTGGTCTTGTATGTCTTCCATTTCCTAATAATTGCTCCCACAGTTGATTTCTTCAAACCAAGCTGCTTACCTATTGCAGATTCAGTCTTCCCAGCCTGGTGCAGGTCTACAATTTTGTTTCTGGTGTCCTTTGACAGCTCTTTGGTCTTGGCCATAGTGGAGTTTGGAGTGTGACTGTTTGAGGTTGTGGACAGGTGTCTTTTATACTGATAACAAGTTTAAACAGGTGCCATTAATACAGGTAACGAGTGGAGGACAGAGGAGCCTCTTAAAGAAGAAGTTACAGGTCTGTGAGAGCCAGAAATCGTGTTTGTTTGTAGGTGACCAAATACTTATTTTCCACTATAATTTGCAAATAAATTCATTAAAAATCCTACAATGTGATTTTCTGGAGAAAAAAAATCTCCATTTGTCTGTCATAGTTGACGTGTACCTATGATGAAAATTACTCTAATCTTTTTAAGTGGGAGAACTTGCACAATTGGTGGCTGACTAAATACTTTTTCCCACCACTGTATCACACTGTATTCTAACCATGTTCATGTCCCGTCTTTCCCAGAATAACAATGCACAGTTTAGCACTTATTACACCATCGATGAAGATTTCAATACCACTGCTGTCGACTGAAGATTCCAACACAAAAGGCACTGACATCTAACTTCTCTTCACGACAATGAATAGGAGTTGGACAAGTCCCTTAAAGCTTTCTGATTATGTATTCTACGTTTCTCTGTTTGCATGCAGTAGTTTTATTTCTCCTGTGTGCTCTTGCTGCCTTGAATTAGGCCTATACCACTGCTCTTGTCTTGGAAATAAATAAAATTGCCTAGACTGAAAATAATCCAGTCGGTGTGATGTTGCATGCAGTGTTCTATTATATTCTATGATGGGTCTTCTCAGCTATGCTCATCATACATCCCAAGGTGGGATCAGGCGCGTGTGTGTATTTTGTGTGGAGTGTACTGGGTCATTATGTCTCGGTGACCGTCAGAAGGTCCGCTGCCTAACGCTGCGTGATGTCACTCCCGGGGTTGTGAGCGAGGCGCGGTTATTAACCCAACCCTGGAGGTTAACGGGGCTCAGTCGGACAGTACGCCGAGCAGTGGGTCTTTGTGAAAGGAAAAGTAACCTGCCTGCTACTATCGCTACAAAACAGACAAAGGTCTAAACAACAAACTGGATGTGCAACAGATGGCACTTATTCAACCACTATTGAAGGGAAAAGGACGTTATCCGTGCGTCATGGAAAGAAAGTGGACCTAGTCGAGTTGCGCCTAATCAAAAACCGGGAAATACAATAGAGGAATAAATCAGTATCATGGTGATAATTATTATGACATTATCACCATGTAATCAGTTTTGTAATTACCCTTTTTACTTCAAAGACTTTGACAGCACTCAAAGGAACTATAAAGCATCTATCCTATCAAACACCCCGAAAGACGAAGGAATATGTTATTTTCTTATTCTACAATTGAATGAACTGATTTGATGTTTGTGGCTGAAGAATTCTCGGACCCATCCCTTATCTGCTGACGATGACAGCTCAGTGCGGGTCTCGTTTCGAAACTTTTGGACAGATGGAAGCTGAGGAACGCAGATTGTTGGATTACTTTTTACATCTTTAAACTGAAGTTGTTTAATGTTTCTGATGCGTAATATGGTTACTCTACGAGTATGAATAGCAACTTTTTTTAAAGGCATTTAATCCGCTCAAGTATCATTCCGTGCATCTCTGGGCCATGGCTGACATTACACTGGTGAGATTCGGGGAGTGTTCCGATTTCATGGTATAATTATGGACGTTTTACTTCAGTGAATTTAATTTACACCGAGCAAGGTCTATGGATTGCCTGAAGGACTATTACATTTGTTGAAGCAATCAATTCCCCCCAGAATAATAACTATCCAAGCATCAGCGGTGTGTGTGTGAGTTAATCTATATTTAGTAATTTAATTGAATGATTGGATGAAATTATTATTTATGTATTTTTCTTTCGTTGAATATCCAATAACCATTTCGTGGATCTTTACGCTGGATGTGTGAAAAGAGACATGAAAAGAAAGTGCGTGACTGGAGGAGTAAAATGATCTGTTTTACACTGGAAAACTTTTCAGTCTCGATGACGCATTTAACAAAGAGGCACAAGCTTTTTCTCTTTCTCTCATTTTAATAAAATCGTCTCGTGCGTAAAGTTCTAAGTTGACGCCTCTTGAGCCCATCAGCCATGTCTCTGTTTTTGCGTCAGACCCCCCCCTCTTTACTGCACTCTCACTAGACAACGAGTCTTCCTCAAGGGATTAAGGTAGCAGATAACAGAAACCTATATATCCATTTTTTCGCCTTCACTCACTATAACCAGACTTCATGGTCCCCTTGAGTTTCTGAGTTTTCTCTAATCAACTTGCTCCTGCCGGCGTCGCCATGGCTGCGGCCCCGAAAGTTACATGCCTGTCAGGGCCAGAGGTAAATGTGGTTACCAACCTGAACCTCAGTGTCTCCTCCGGACCCGCCCCCTACAACCAGACAGCACTGCGAACCCCACCGTATTCCCCAGAGGCCACTGCGTTGTTCGCAATGGCGATCACCCTCATGATGATCCTCACCATTGTCGGCAACATCCTGGTCATCATCGCAGTGCTGACCTCACGCTCGCTCCATGGCCCGCAGAACCTTTTCCTGGTCTCCCTGGCCGCAGCCGACATCTTAGTGGCTACCCTCATCATCCCCTTCTCATTGGCCAATGAGCTTCAGGGATACTGGGCGTTCCGCTCACTGTGGTGTGAGATCTACCTGGCGTTGGACGTCTTCTTCTGCACATCCTCCATTGCCCACCTGTGTGCCATCTCATTGGACCGCTACCTGTCCATCTCCCAGCCCGTGTCCTATGGCATCCAACGGACGCCGGCACGCATCAAGGCAGCCATCGTGGTCGTCTGGCTTCTCTCGGCCGTCATCTCCTTCCCTCCTCTCCTCTCCCTGGATAAGAGCAAGGGAGGGGTGGAGGTGTGTGAGCTGAACAACGAGCGTTGGTATATTCTCTACTCCACCATTGGATCGTTCTTCGCCCCGTGTCTCATCATGATAGGGGTCTACATCAGGATCTACCAGATTGCCAAGCAACACACAAGATGTCCACTAGGGGAGAAACCCAACCATAACAAAACTCCTGGAAACACATCTAGCAACCCCACAACCCACGCACCTGGACCTGTCATCATCCCCCAACCCAAGCATCTCAGCCAACCACAGAACCGCAGAGGGGAGGGGGGGAAAGCAGATGGACAATCTACAGACGCCATACCTCTGAAGAGTCTCCCTGTCTCCTCCCCCTTGTCACCTCCTCCCCAGAGTGAGACCCAGGTCAAGAGTCATCCCCAACCCCAGACCTCTTTACCAACCCCTGTCCCCACCTCACCCCAGCCTACCTCACCCACTGTAGCTCTCTCCCTCACACTCCTCCCCCCAGATAGCCAACATGAGGAGACCCACAAACAGGATGACAGACAGGAGGAGAAACATAGAGACACCACCAATGATGACAGCTTCAGCTTCGAGGCAGAGACGAGGGGAAGAGGAAAGGGAGGGCGATCGGGAGGGAACGGGACAGTTAAGAATAATGGAGGATCAAAGTCTGGAGGAGCACCTCTCTCTTCTCTGACCTCTCACGAGTTAAAAAAGACTGTAGCCACACCCACCGGTACAGTGCTGGCCTCTGATAGGCCGGTTAAGCCACAGGCCACACCCATGTCTCGGCGCAAGGCCATGGTGAACCGAGAGAAGCGCTTCACGTTTGTCCTGGCCGTGGTGATTGGAGTGTTTGTCATCTGTTGGTTCCCTTTCTTTTTCTCCTACTCGCTGAAGGCCATCTTTCCTGAGACTTGCTTGGTCCCTGCTCCCCTCTTCACGTTCTTCTTCTGGATTGGCTACTGCAACTCCTGTCTGAATCCCGTCATATACACCATCTTCAACCAGGACTTCAGGAAGGCCTTCAAGAAAATCCTCTGTAAGGACATCAAGTGGACATTCTTCTAGAGTGGATACAGATGGTACAATGATTCTCTACACTGTACATTGCTTGTTTTGCCACATAAACTGAAATTAGGCAAACTATTAGAATGTTAGCAACCAGGAAATGGCGGAGCGATTTCTGCATATTGCACCTTTAAGACATTGTCAGCTATACTCTGGTCATCATTTGAAATGGCTAGCCAGCTAGCTAGCTAGCAACGAACCAAAACATTGTTTAGAAAATAGCTTTTAGTTCCCTGGCTTGCTAGCTTGACATTTACTGAAGTCATTTTTTAAACTGATGGGTTTATTGGTGATACAATAGAGATAGTATGCTATTTGGAGTACCGGGCTGCTGATGTCATGCAGACGCTGTCATTTTTTTTACATACTTTATCATAATGACAAACGACAAGTTTGATGTTGGACGACAATAGTATGCTCATGCTACAACAATTTTTTACAGACATGTCACTAGACTGACCGTAAACCAGCCCTTAGCCTACATTTGAGCACCACTACAGAAGCTTTGCTATTCAGCATCTTCCCAATGATATAGCCTACATTAATTTTTACATTTGAGTCATTTAGCAGACGCTCTTATCCAGAGCGACTTACAGTTAGCGAGTGCATACATTATTTATTTTTTCATACTGGCCCCCCGTGGGAATCGAACCCACAACCCTGGCGTTGCAAGCGCCATGCTCTACCAACTGAGCTACACAGGGCCCATTAATTGTTTGGCTACTTGAAGAGAACTAGGTCCTATCCCTCGCAGCCTACCTCTTCCAATGCATTTTGGAAAAGTGTGCATCAAATTCTACTAGATGAAGAGCCAGAATGAGTATAACATCCTGGCATTTAAAGGCTACTCAATTTTCTAAAATGGACATACTATAAAACGTTCTATTTTCCCATACTGAGAATGTGTCATACACGATTGCATTGTTTCCCGCTATTTTTGATTTTGATAGCTCATCCCCATCTCTAATTGATCAACTGTTGTCAAAGCCAAGATGAGTATGCCATCTGGGCATTTCATTTAAGTATACTCGATTTTCGAAATGTCGCATACTATTAACTTTATTTTATAGCGTACTTAAATGGCCTACTATTTAGGACGTAAGTATGGGTATTCTGACACGGCCACTGTGTAGAGACACCAAGGGGACGTTTATTCTAGATTATAAACTGGGTGGTTCAAGCCCTGAATGCTGATTGGCTGACAGCCATAGTTTATCAGACCGTATACCACGGGTATGACAAAACATGTATTTTTACTGCTCTAATTACGTTGGTAACGACTTTATAATAGCAATGAGGCACCTCGGGGGTTTGTGATATGGCCAATATACCACGGCTAAGGGCTGTGTCCAGGCACTCCGCATTGTGTCATGCATAAGAACAGCCCTTAGCCGTGGTGTATTGGCCATATACCACACCTCCTCGGGCCTTATTGCTTAGGTAGATACTTTGTAGAGACACACAGGGGACATTCTTCTAGAGTAGATACTGTGTAGAGACACAAAGGGGACGCTCTTCTAGAGTAGATCATGTATAGAGACACCAAGGGGACGTTCTTCTAGAGTAGATACTTTGTAGAGACACACAGGGGACGTTCTTCTAGAGTAGATACTGTGTAGAGACACAAAGGGGATGCTCTTCTAGAGTAGATACTGTGTAGAGACACCAAGGGGACGTTCTTCTAGAGTAGATACTGTGTAGAGACACCAAGGGGACATTCTTTTGGAGTGGATACTGTGTTATCCTAGTCCCAGATCTGTTTGTGCTTTTGCAAGCTAAACACTGTGTAGAGACACCAAGGAGACATTCTTCTAGAGTAGATACTGTGTAGAGACACCAAGGGGACTTACTGGATATAATGTAAAGACAGATTTTAGGTTACCTGTGCAGGGAACCACAGACAAACTTCTGAGTCTGTCCTTTGTTGAACGTTCTTTTTTGATCTGATAACAAAATGCTGAACTCTGAATTCTGGAATAGATGAACATGCTCTGATGTACACATTGAGGGGCAGTGGAAGAGGAGGAAGGTGATGCAATCTGTCTGTGAGAAAGAAAACACCTTTACAGCTTGTTTAGCGATCAGCACAAAACAGGGCCATCAGTCATGAGGACATGTTGCTCAAATGACAGTATAACACTGCTCTTGTCGTTCCTCTGTAAGTCGCTCTGGATAAGAGTGTCTGCAAAATGACTCAAATGTAAATGTATAAGGAAAGGAAGGCAACCAACTGAAGGTTGATTCAGTTGGTTGTCTGGGTAACTGCTACCCACAGCCATTACCTGTAGCCTTGTGACTGGCCACTATCAACTACAAGGACACAATGTGGGGAGAGTGTTCTAAGACATGATCACCTTGTACGGTCCACTTCAATGACAGAGTGGGCAGGAGCATGTGCAGTAGAATGTGTTCCCAGAGTTCTCTGTGTTCGAGAACTTGTAGTGTGTGAAGGCAGTTTGTCCAGCTGTACGGCCTCAGTCATAAACTCATACACTATGGAGGATGTCTTTTATAGGGAACTACCAGCTCTAAGGGTGTGTTGTTTTGAGTATTAGTATTAACCTTTATGTTTTAATATAAGTATGAAATTAATATAAACACACGAAAAGTGGAATATGAAATGTGTATGGAATGGGTTGTTGATGTGACCAAGGCCTCAGTAATGTAATTAATTGGGTTAGAGACAGTCTGCAGGGAGGGGTGGGTATGGCAGATGGGGTCTTCCCGGGGCATACATCTATACATCTACATTCATTTAGCTGCATCTTTAATGTTGTATAACACACTTCCCAAGCACACTTCTATGTTATAACAAATACACACCATGTGAGTCAACAACATTCTGTATAGCCTCCTGTTATCTAAGTCTATTAGATGGAAGCCTCCAGACTGCCAAGAGGTCTGGACCTTTATGGCACAGGAGGTTGTGTGTGTGGGCCATCTAATCACAGGGTTGCTGGTTCAATCCCCATGCACTCCTGAAATTCCCTCTGAGACTAGATCCCTCGGGACCCAATCCAAGGCCGCATTTAGAGTATGAGGTCAAGATGAAGACTCGATCACTTTGTGGTCCACTCAAGAACAGCATTAGACCCAGTGATGCTCCTCACTTTGAGGACTGTGTTTTTATTCGTTTTGAACATGAATAATTCCTGTTTATTTCTATTGTTCAGCTTTCTGTTTGTCTTCTCATTGCAGTTTCAAGTTTCTATTGTGTTGTGATAGTTCCCTGTCTTCCTGTCTCTATAGATTGAAGCAAAAGTTGTGTGGTGTCTCTCTGAGCACAAAACACAGAAACGGAACATCTTTGTGTGTGATTCTAAGAACTTATTCAAGGGCAGGAACAAAGGAAAAGGACAATACAGAACCTTCAATCTCTATGGGTAACACGAACACACGCTCAAACATGCATATGTGCGTATGTGCGTGTGTGCATGCTTGCATACGTTCATTCCTGTTGTCCTTCACTCTCTATCCTTCTCCAGTCCTTGAAGGTGTTCTCCAGAGGAGGTGATAGGGCTCAGGTCTGCTGGAGTTTCTAAATCAATTCTCTTTGATTAAAGCAAATAACCCTGTTACCATGGTTATCAAGGGGAAGTGCTACTTGGTGGTCCACTGTGACACACTTAAATGTCACTCCACATTACCGTGGAAACAAATGGGGGATAGAACAAGGTCTGGGAGCCTGGGACTGCCCTCTACATACACACACACACACACGCGTGTGCCCATGCACACAGGAAGAGCGTCAAAGTATCTATATCTCTGAATTCCAACATAGATCGATCTCAATCTACAGTATTTGCAACGGTCTGTGTAATTGAATAGACATTCTAATTCAAAGCAATGCAGGTACAGTGCGGAAAAAAAGTATTTAGTCAGCCACCAATTGTGCAAGTTCTCACACTTAAAAAGATGAGAGGCCTGTAATTTTCATCATAGGTACACGTCAACTATGACAGACAAATTGAGAATAAAAAATCCAGAAAATCACATTGTAGGATTTGTAATGAATTTATTTGCAAATTATGGTGGAAAATAAGTATTTGGTCACCTACAAATAAGCAAGATTTCTGGCTCTCACAGACCTGTAACTTCTTCTTTAAGAGGCTCCTCTGTCCTCCACTCGTTACCTGTATTAATGGCACCTGTTTGAACTTGTTATCAGTATAAAAGACACCTGTCCACAACCTCAAACAGTCACACTCCAAACTCCACTATGCCCAAGACCAAAGAGCTGTCAAAGGACACCAGAAACAAAATTGTAGACCTGCACCAGGCTGGGAAGACTGAATCTGCAATAGGCAAGCAGCTTGGTTTGAAGAAATCAACTGTGGGAGCAATTATTAGGAAATGGAAGACATACAAGTCCACTGATAATCTCCCTCGATCTGGGAGATCTCACCCCGTGGGGTCAAAATGATCACAAGAACGGTGAGCAAAAATCCCAGAACTACACGGGGGGACCTAGTGAATGACCTGCAGAGCTGGGACCAAAGTAACAAAGCCTACCATCAGTAACACACTACGCCGCCAGGGACTCAAATCCTGCAGTGCCAGACGTGTCCCCCTGCTTAAGCCAGTACATGTCCAGGCCCGTCTGAAGTTTGCTAGAGTGCATTTGGATGATCCAGAAGAGGATTGGGAGAATGTCATATGGTCAGATGAAACCAAAATATAACTTTTTTGTAAAAACTCAACTCGTCGTGTTTGGAGGACAAAGAATGCTGAGTTGCATCCAAAGAACACCATACCTACAGTGAAGCATGGGGGTGGAAACATCATGCTTTGGGGCTGTTTTTCTGCAAAGGGACCAGGACGACTGATCCGTGTAAAGGAAAGAATGAATGGGGCCATGTATCGTGAGATTTTGAGTGAAAACCTCCTTCCATCAGCAAGGGCATTGAAGATGAAACGTGGCTGGGTCTTTCAGCATTACAATGATCCCAAACACACCGCCCGGGCAACGAAGGAGTGGCTTCGTAAGAAGCATTTCAAGGTCCTGGAGTGGCCTAGCCAGTCTCCAGATCTCAACCCCATAGAAAATCTTTGGAGGGAGTTGAAAGTCCATGTTGCCCAGCGAGAGCCCCAAAACATCACTGCTCTAGAGGAGATCTGCACGGAGGAATGGGCCAAAATACCAGAAACAGTGTGTGAAAACCTTGTGAAGACTTACAGAAAACGTTTGACCTGTGTCATTGCCAACAAAGGGTATATAACAAAGTATTGAGAACTTGTGTTATTGACCAAATACTTATTTTCCACCATAATTTGCAAATAAATTCATTAAAAATCCTACAATGTGATTTTCTGGATTTTCTTTTCTCATTTTGTCTGTCATAGTTGACGTGTACCTATGATGAAAATTACAGGCCTCTCTCATCTTTTTAAGTGGGAGAACTTGCACAATTGGTGGCTGACTAAATACTTTTTTCCCCCACTGTATATCCTTTCTAAGACTTACTTGCCAATTCTATGGGAAACCCACATAATATTACCCAACCTCAGGTCAGATCTTAAAGTAGCTGGTGTAATATCATTATTTACCAGAGCGTGTTATAAAGGCTGGTGCCTCGGGCTAACGCTGTTGTCCAGGATATGTCAGGGGCTCTGTACGGCAGTTCTGAAAGGAATACTTTGCTTTATGTTGTTACCAGTCAAAAGTTTGGACACACCTACTCATTCAAGGGTTTTTTCTTTATTTTTACTATTTTTTACATTGTGGAATAATAGTGAAGACATCAAAACTCTGAAATAACACATATGGATTCACGTAGCAACCAAAAAAGTGTTAAACAAATAAAAATATATTTTATATTTGAGATTCTTCAAATAGTCACCCTTTGCCTCGATGACAGCTTTGCACACTCTTGGCCTTTTCTCAACCAGCTTCATGAGGTAGTCACCTGGAATGCATTTCAATTAACAGGTGTGCTTTCTTAAAAGTTAATTTGTGGAATTTCTTTCCTACTTAATGCGTTTGAGCGAATTAGTTGTGTTGTGACAAGGTAGGGGGGGGAGTATACAGAAGATAGCCCTATTTGGTAAAATACCAAGTCCATATTATGGCAAGAACAGCTCAAATAAGCAAAGAGAAATGACAGTCCATCATTACTTTAAGACATGAAGATCAGTCAATACGGAACATTTCAATAACTTATAAAGTTTCTTCAAGTACAGTCGCAAAAACCATCAAGCGTTATGATGAAACTGGCTCTCATGAGGACCGCCACAGGAATGGAAGACCCAGAGTTACCTCTGCTGCAGAGGATAAGTTCATTAGAGTTACCAGCCTCAGAAATTGCAGCCCAAATATATGCTTCACAGAGTTCAAGTAACAGACACATCTGTTCAGAGGAGACTGTGTGCATCAGGCCTTCATGGTCGAATTGCTGCAAAGAAACCACTACTAAAGTACACCAATAAGAAGAAGAGACTTGCTTGGGCTAAGAAACATGAGCAATGGACATTAGACCGGTGGAAATTTGTAAATTTGGTCTGGAGTCCAAATTGGAGATTTTTGGTTTCAACCGCCGTGTCTTTGTGAGACGCGGTGTGGGTGAACGGATGATCTCCGCATGTGTTTTTCCCACCGTAAAGCATGGAGGAGGAGGTGTTATGGTGTGGGGGTGCTTTGCTGGTGACACTCTCTGTGATGTATTTAGAATTCAAGGCACACTTAACCAGCATTGCTACCACAGCATTCTGCAGCGATACGCCATCACATCTGGTTTGTGCTTAGTGGGACTATCACTTGTTTTTCAACAGAACAATGACCCAACACACCTCCAGGCTGTGTATGGGCTATTTTACCAAGAAGGAGAGTGATGGAGTGCTGCATCAGGTGACCTGGCCTCCACAATCCCCCGACCTCAACCCAATTGAGATGGTTTGGGATGAGTCGGACCGCAGAGTGAAGGAAAAGCAGCCAACAAGTGCTCAGCATATGTGGGAACTCCTTCAAGACTGTTGGAAAATCATTCCAGGTGAAGCTGGTTGAGAGAATGCCAAGAGTGTGCAAAGCTGTGATCAAGGCAAAGGGTGGCTATTTGAAGAATCTCAAATATAAAATATATTTTGATTTGTTTAACACTTTTTTGGTTACTACATGATTTCATATGTGTTATTTCATAGTTTTGATGTCTTCACTATTATTCTACAATTTAGAAAATATAAAAAAATAAAGAAAAACCCTGGAATGAGTAGGTGTGTCCAAACTTTTGACTGGTGCTGTATTTCACAGACACACAAACAGACTCGTGCGAGTGCAGACACACACACACTCTTATATTTCTGCTGTTGTGTTGTGCTGTGTGGTCAGTCACGCTGTATTGTGTCATCCTCCGCTGATCATCTCTCAGGAAAGTACTGTGATTGGGTTTGTTCAGCAGTTTTAAGGCCTGACTGCTTGTCATTCAGTTCCAGCCCAGTGATCACAGGACTCAAAGGTTGAGCAGTCAGAGATGTGTCCACCACTGCGTTATGTCATACAATGCTACTTTGCTCTACTGATGAGACAGGCAGGTATTGTTAGTGTATAAGGGAAGAGGAGGACCTGGGCTTGAACCAGCAACCCTGTGGTTATCACCTGTGCCATAAAGGTCCAGACATCTTTGCAGAGGTTAAAGTACACTACTGGAGGGACCACTATAGCATCCACTGTAGGACCAGGTTAGAGGCCAGGTTAGAAGTCAGGTTATAAATCAGGTTAGAGGCCAGGTTAGAGACCTGGTTATAAATCAGGTTAGAGGCCAGGTTAGAGTTCAGGTTAGAGACCAGGTTATAAATCAGGTTAGAGGCCAGGTTAGAGGTCAGGTTAGAGCCCAGGTTATAAATCAGGTTAGAGGCCAGGTTAGAGACCTGGTTATAAATCAGGTTAGAGGCCAGGTTAGAGTTCAGGTTAGAGACCAGGTTATAAATCAGGTTAGAGGCCAGGTTAGAGGTCAGGTTAGAGCCCAGGTTATAAATCAGGTTAGAGGCCAGGTTAGAGACCTGGTTATAAATCAGGTTAGAGGCCAGGTTAGAGGCCAGGTTAGAGACCAGGTTATAAATCAGGTTAGAGGCCAGGTTAGAGGTCAGGTTAGAGCCCAGGTTATAAATCAGGTTAGAGTTCAGGTTAGAGCCCAGGTTATAAATCAGGTTAGAGGCCAGTTTAGAGGTCAGGTTAGAGACCAAGTAGTCCGCATCAGTAGTATTGAGTGAACAGGAGGTAGCTCAGTACTGTAGCTCAGTGTAAGTACTGTATTGAGTATAGCAGGTTAATGTATCTCTGAGAGGTGGCTGACCCTCTTTAGACTGCACTGCCCAGATACAGACTCCCACTAAGACTGGCCTGAGCTGAACCAGGGAGGTGTGTGTGAGCGTGTGTGTTTGTGTACGTGTTTCCTGTGTGTGGGTTGGATCTTCTATCCTTGTGGGGACCTAAAATCCCCAAAAGTTCCCACAAGGGTAGTAAAACAAGGAAAATTCTCCCTCATGGGCAAATTCCCCACGTCCCCATGAGGACAAAGGCTATTTTAAGTTTAGGGTTTAGATTTAGGGTTAGGGTTACTATTAGAGTTAGGGTTAAAATTAGGGTAAGGGGGTTAGTGGTTGGGTTTAGGTTAGGGTTACAGGTTAAAGATTAAGGTTAGGGTTAAGGTTAGGATTTTGAATGGAAATTAATTTTAGGTCCCCATGAGGACAGAAGAACATAACGTGTCTGTGTGCGTGTATGTGTGTGCATGAGCGATATGTTTTCAGTGCAGTGAATTATTAATGATGAACCCTGTGATTGCTAACTGCTGAGAATGATTAATCGAAAGAGTTCAGTGAGTGTTGATAACTGACGTTTGATTACATTTACTACTGAGACAGCATCTCTCCCACTGGGCGCAAACTGGTTGAATCAACGTTGTTTCAACGTAACATCATAGATTTCACCTGGATTTACCTGGTCACTATGTCATGGAAATAACAGGTGTTCTCAGTGTTTTGTATACTCAGTGTATATATGTTCCCAATAATGTAATAGTCTTGTTTAATAGCCACTATATTATTGGGAACATTTCTAGATTATCTTTAGTTTTTCATGAGTGGAGCTACTACCATACAGATGTAGGGCTCTATTTGAACAAACCTAAAGCAATGGTCAATCTAAGCGCTGGGCGGTCTTGATGAATAAACAAGTTGTGGGTGTGTCGAGGATTATATATATTTTTTAACCTTTATTTAACTAGGCAAGTCAGTAAAGAACAAATTCTTATTTACAATGACTGCCTACCAAAAGGCAAAAGGCCTCCTGCGGGGACAAGGGTCTGGGATTAAAAAAACAATAAATATATAAATAAATATAGGACCAAACACACATCACAACAAGAGAGACAACACAACACTACATAAAGAGAGACCTAAGACAACAACATAGCATGGCAGCAACACACGATAACACAGCAAGTTAGCAACCCAACATGACAACAACATGGTAGCAACACAACATGGCAGCAGCACAACATGGTAGTAGCACAAAACATGGTACAAACATTATTGGGCACAGACAACAGCACAAAGGACAAGAAGGTAGAGACAACAATACATCACGCGAAGCAGCCACAACTTGGCCCCTCACTGGCCAATCAGAATGTGCTACATGGCTGAATATGCCGTTGCTTCAAGTTCTGTATTTACGGTATTTAATGTATTGCATTGGAATCAATTCCAATTCCAATGTTCATTTTTTATAGTTTTTTAAACAGCTTACATAAACAAAATAACAAAATGTAGACCTATCCCATCTTTGCAAAATATGTTCACTTGAAACTGTTTGCAGTCCACATTGTTCTTAGTAATTGCATGGCTTCAATGTGGAAATACACTATATATACAAAAGTATGTGGACACCCTTTCAAATGAGTAGATTCGTCTATTTCAGCCACACCCGTTGCTGACAGGTGTATAAAATCGAGCACACCGCCATGCAATCTCAATAGACAAACATTGGCAGTGGAATGGCCTTACTGAAGAGCTCAGTGACTTTCAACGTGGCACCGTCATAGGATGCCACCTTTCCAATAAGTCAGTTTGTCGAATGTATGCCCTGCTAGAGCTACCCCGGTCAACTGTAAATGCTGTTATTGTGAAGTGGAAACGTCTAGGTGCAACAACGGCTCAGCCGTGAAGTGGTAGGCCACACAAGCTCACAGAATGGGACTGCAACACTTACTATTGGAAGCAATGTCAGCACAAGAAGTGCTCATTGGGAGATTTGTGAAATGGGTTTCCATGGCCGAGCGGCCACACACAAGCCTAAGATCACCATGCGCAATGCCAAGCATCGCTGGAGTGGTGTAAAGGTTGCCACCATTGGACTCTGGAGCAGCGTTCTCTGGAGTGATGAATCATGCTTCACCATCTGGCAGTCCGACGGACAAATCTAGGTTTGGCAGATGCCAGGAGAACACTACCTGCCCGAATGCATAGTGCGAACTGTTAAGTTTGGTGGAGGAGGAATAATGGTCTGGGGCTGTTTTTCATGGTTTGGGCTAGGGCCCTTAGTTCCAGTGAAGGGAAATATTAACGCTACAGCATACAATGACATTCTAGACAATTCTAGAACTTTGTGGCAACAGTTTGGGGAAGGCCCTTTCCTGTTTCAGCATGACAATGCCCCCGTGCACAAAGAGAGGTCCATACAGAAATGGTTTGTGGAGATCGGTGTAGAAGAACTTGACTGGCCTGCAAAGAGCCCTGACCTCAACCCCATCAACCACCTTTGGGATTAAGTGGATAGCCGACTGTGAGCCAGGCCTAATCGCCCAACATCAGTGCCCAACTTCACTAATGCTCTTGTGGCTGAATGGAAGCAAGTCCCTGCAGCAACATTCCAACATTTAGTGGAAAGCCTAGCAGCAAAGTGGGGACAAAGTCCATATTAATGCCAATGATTTTGGAATGAGATGTTCTGAAATAAAAGATCCCAAAAATGTTCCATACACACAAAAAGCTTATTTCTCTCAAATTTTGTGCACAAATTTGTTTACATCCCTGATAGTGATTATTTCTCCTTTGCCAAGATAATCCATCCACCTGACAGGTGTAGCATATCAAGAAGCCGATTACAGTTTTTTCCAACTGCTTACACACAAAATCTTTTCATGTCACACGATTTTTTAAACCTCTCACTCAAAGTGCAAAACTACACACCAAATCTCCAAAACCATAAGCTATTTCTCAGCCTTTCAGTTGTCAATTGCATAAAACACTTTTTTTCAAAACACTACACACAATTCTCTACCTAAAACACAAAAATCTAACAGGAAGTGACTTGCTTTCCTTTTCCAAACACAACCAATCAAAATGCTACACTTATTCACCAGGTCACACACACACACTCCTCACATGTGCAAACACTAATTGCTTAACTGATCACTAACCAATCACTGCTTTACTGTAGTATAGGCCTATAAATAGGTCAAAGGTCAGATTACCTGTTTTGAACAATGGATGCCAACAATGGACAGAGAGCAAGAGGAGTAGGAGGGAGAGGCAGGGGACAACAACGAGGACAAATTCAAAGACGAAGAGTTGGAGGAGAAGGAGAAGGAGGAGGAGGAGGAGGAGGAGGAGGAGGAGGAGGAGGAGGAGGAAGAAGAGGAAGAGGGCAAAGAAGAGAAGGAAGGAGATCCATCTCTGATGAGATTAGGGCAACACTTGTTGATCATGTGATCAACCACAGTTTGACCATGAGAGAGGCTGGACTGAGAGTCCAGCCCAACTTGAGTCGATTTACAGTGGCGTCCATAATTCGAACCTTCAGAAATGAGAACAGGAATGCAACTATCTAATGACTATTTTATCATTACAGTAATGTACTGTAAAATATGTATGACTGCATAAACATTTGTAACTCTAAGCCATCCATTTACTGCACTACATTGAATGAATAAGGTTGGTTATCATGCTGTACTAAACATTTTTGTACATTGTTTACAGTTCCTATGCTGAACACATTTACATTTTAGTCATTTAGCAGACGCTCTTATCCAGAGCAACTTACAGTTAGTGAATACATTTTTTTTTTTTTCATACTGGCCCCCCATGGGAATCAAACCCACAACCCTGACGTTGCAAACACCATGCTCTATCAACTGAGCTAAATCCCTGCCGGCCATTCCCTCCCCTACCCTGGGCCAATTGTGCGCCGCCCATGAGTCTCCCAGTCGCGGCCGGCTGCAACAGAGCCTGGATTCGAACCAGGATCTCTAGTGGCACAGCTAGCACTGCGATGCAGTGCCTTAGACCACTGCACCACTCAGGAGTACTGTGTTTGAATTCTGTACAGAGTGGAAAGGCAAAGACGTCATGGAGGACGAGGACGCTTGTTTACAAGAGACTGTAATTATAAATATGGCTTTGGCCAACAATGCAATTAGGATTCGAAAGATAATAGATCTGAATAATGACACTATATTTAACAACATCAATGCTGTAAGCCTGTCGACCATACAACGCATCCTCCAACGGCACCAAGTGACGATGAAACAACTTTACAAGGTGCCATTTGAGAGAAACTGACAGAGTCAAAAATCTGCGACATGACTTTGTAGCGGTATGTATGCAACACTACTTCCAGTACTTCAGACATACCATATTTACTCATCTGTATATCCTTTTGTCTGTTACAGAGAGTATTGGAGATGGATGCCCATGTAATTCGCCATTCATTTATTTATGTGGATGAGGTTGGCTTCAACCTCACCAAAACCAGGCGCTGCGGAAGAAATGTGATAGGACAGAGGGCAATTACCAATGTCCCTGGACAGCGTGGGGGTAATATAACTGGGTGTGCTGCCATCACTCAAAACGGGGTCCTCCATCACAATGCCACACTGGGTCTGTACAACACCGGCCATATGCGCACTTTTCTGGATGCAATTTATACAATGCTTGTCCCTGATCCAGATCAGGAGCCTGCTAGATTTGTGGTTATATGGGACGATGTTAGATTTCACCGGGCTGTTCTGGTCCAAAACTGGTTTGCCACCCATCCACAATTTGTAGTTTTGTACCTACCCCCCATATTCACCTTTTCTAAATCCCATAGAGGAATTATTCTCAGCCTGGCGCTGGAAAGTGTATGATCGCCAACCCTATGCCCGCATGCTGCTTCTCCAGGCAATGGAGGACGCATGTGGGGACATAGAGGTTGCCTCTGTCCAAGTTTGGATACGCCATGCTAGGAGATACAGTGGGGAAAAAAAGTATTTAGTCAGCCACCAATTGTGCAAGTTCTCCCACTTAAAAAGATGAGAGAGGCCTGTCATTTTCATCATAGGTACACGTCAACTATGACAGACAAATTGAGATTTTCTTTCCCAGAAAATCACATTGTAGGATTTATAATGAATTTATTTGCAAATTATGGTAGAAAATAAGTATTTGGTCACCTACAAACAAGCAAGATTTCTGGCTCTCACAGACCTGTAACTTCTTCTTTAAGAGGCTCCTGTGTCCTCCACTCGTTACCTGTATTAATGGCACCTGTTTGAACTTGTTATCAGTATAAAAGACACCTGTCCACAACCTCAAACAGTCACACTCCAAACTCCACTATGGCCAAGACCAAAGAGCTGTCAAAGGACACCAGAAACAAAATTGTAGACCTGCACCAGGCTGGGAAGACTGAATCTGCAATAGGTAAGCAGCTTGGTTTGAAGAAATCAACTGTGGGAGCAATTATTAGGAAATGGAAGACATACAAGACCACTGATAATCTCCCTCGATCTGGGGCTCCACGCAAGATCTCACTCCGTGGGGTCAAAATGATCACAAGAACGGTGAGCAAAAATCCCAGAACCACACGGGGGGACCTAGTGAATGACCTGCAGAGAGCTGGGACCAAAGTAACAAAGCCTACCATCAGTAACACACTACGCCGCCAGGGACTCAAATCCTGCAGTGCAAGACGTGTCCCCCTGCTTAAGCCAGTACATGTCCAGGCCCGTCTGAAGTTTGCTAGACTGCATTTGGATGATCCAGAAGAGGATTGGGAGAATGTCATATGGTCAGATGAAACCAAAATATAACTTTTTGGTAAAAACTCAACTCGTCGTGTTTGGAGGACAAAGAATGCTGAGTTGCATCCAAAGAACAACATACCTACTGTGAAGCATGGGGGTGGAAACATCATGCTTTGGGGCTGTTTTTCTGCAAAGGGACCAGGACGACTGATCTGTGTAAAGGAAAGAATGAATGGGGCCATGTATCGTGAGATTTTGAGTGAAAACCTCCTTCCATCAGCAAGGGCATTGAAGATGAAACGTGGCTGGGTCTTTCAGCATGACAATGATCCCAAACACACCGCCCGGGCAACGAAGGAGTGGCTTCGTAAGAAGCATTTCAAGGTCCTGGAGTGGCCTAGCCAGTCTCCAGATCTCAACCCCATAGAAAATCTTTGGAGGGAGTTGAAAGTCCGTGTTGCCCAGCGACAGCCCCAAAACATCACTGCTCTAGAGGAGATCTGCATGGAGGAATGGGCCAAAATACCAGCAACAGTGTGTGAAAACCTTGTGAAGACTTACAGAAAACGTTTGACCTGTGTCATTGCCAACAAAGGGTATATAAGAAAGTATTGAGAAACTTTTGTTATTGACCAAATACTTATTTTCCACCATAATTTGCAAATAAATTCATAAAAAATCCTACAATGTGATTTTCTGGATTTTTTTTCCTCATTTTGTCTGTCATAGTTGACGTGTACCTATGATGAAAATTACAGGCCTCTCTCATCTTTTTAAGTGGGAGAACTTGCACAATTGGTGGCTGACTAAATACTTTTTTCCCCCACTGTACTTCCCTCGATGTTTGGCAAGATAACTTATCTTGTGATGTGGACGAAGTATTGTGGTGATTTCCAAACGCTTGAAGGTACCACGTTCATTTGTACAAACAATAGAACGCAAGTATAAACACCATGGGACCACGCAGCCGTCATACCGCTCAGGAAGGAGACGCGTTCTGTCTCCTAGAGATGAACGTACTTTGGTGCGAAAAGTGCAAATCAATCCCAGAACAACAGCAAAGGACCTTGTGAAGATGCTGGCTGAAACAGGTGCAAAAGTATCTATATCCACAGTAAAACGAGTCCTATATCGACATAACCTGAAAGGCCGCTCAGCAAGGAAGAAGCCACTGCTCCAAAACCGCCATTAAAAAGTCAGACCACTGTTTGCAACTGTGCATGTGGACAAAGATCGTACTTTTTGTAGAAATGTCCTCTGGTCTGATGAAACAAAAACAGAACTGTTTGGCCATAATGACCATCGTTATGTTTGGAGGAAAAAGGGGGACCTCGCAAGCCAAAGAACACCATCCCAACCGTGAAGCATGGGGGTGGCAGCATCATGCTGTGGGGGTGCTTTGCTGCAGAAGAGACTGGTGCACTTCACAAAATAGATGGCATCATGAGGAAGGAAAATGATGTGGATATATTGAAGCAACATCTCAAGACATCAGTCAGGAAGTTAAAGCTTGGTCGCAAATGGGTCTTCCAAATGGACAATGACCCCAAGCATACTTCCAAAGTTGTGGCAAAATGGCTTAAGGACAACAAAGTCAAGGTATTGGAGTGGCCATCACAAAGTCCTGACCTCAATCCTATAGAACATTTGTGGGCAGAACTGAAAAAGCGTGTGCGAGCAAGGAGGCCTACAAACCTGACTCAGTTACATCAGCTCTGTAAGGAGGAATGAGCCAAAATTCACCCAATTTATTGTGGGAAGCTTGTGAAAGGCTACCCGAAACGTTTGACCCAAGTGAAACAATTTAAAGGCAATGCTACCAAATACTAATTGAGTGTATGTCAACTTCTGACCCACTGGGAATGTGATGAAAGCAATAAAAGCTGAAATAAATCATTCTCTCTACTATTATTCTGACATTTCACATTCTTAAAATAAAGCGGTGATCCTAACTGACCTAAGACAGGGAATATTGACTAGGATTAAATGTCAGGAATTGTGAAAAACTGAGTTTAAATGTATTTGGATAAGGTGTATGTAAACTTCCGACTTCAACTGTACATAGCATTCACACTAATATAGGGGCTAGGCCTACTGTAAATTGCATTATGGCTGATCATGGACATGCCAAACGTTGTCAATAAGCTAGATTAAATTAATTATTGATAAGGCCTAAAAGTGAGTGAATAATTTTTATCAAATTCTAAACAAAACGAAACAACAGCTTGTTTTAAATAGCCTATGTCTAAATACACTTACAGGCACCATCATTGCTTCCTGTGGGCATGTAATATTAAAACAACACAGACTATGGAGGGTTTTACGTACATCTAAACTTTTCACAATAGCTGGACAAAGATCCAATATAAAGAGAAAGGGAGAATGTCCACGTTATACTGCTCCCAAATGTAATGTTCTATATACATGTTCGAACCATCATATAGATCACATTCACACTTCTCCAGAAGTTGCATTGCATGCACGCCACGGATGTTCTCACCATAAAGCCAGGACAGTTAATCATTCTAATACGTTAGTTTTTAATTAAATTAAATGAAAAATAAACAATTGTTTCAGGAAAATAACTTCTAAATACAAGGTCCATCTGTATTCGCCAAGGTTCTCATCTCTCCATCTCTCGTTTCATGATGGGCATGGACACATGTAGCCTACATCATGGAGGGGGTTTTGCGCACGTCCAAAGCATGGTTAAAATAATGTAGACCTGCCTACAATACATAGATAAAAAGGTGTCAGCTCACTGTTTTGCTCCTCTCAAACTTAAATTTTAAAACTATTTTAATAAAGCTTTGTGATTAAGATTTATTTCCAAGCGGTCTCACAAGCCAAACCCTTTATCAATGGTCGTGACTAGCCTACTTGCTTACATTGGGCAGGACAAAAAGAAAACAGCCTTCATTGAGAGGAGGATAGACTATGCTTGGTTTTTAATCAAATAAAACGAAATGGGGATTTTTTTTTTTACTGTTTCATGTTTCTAAATACGAAGTATACAGGCATGAATAGCACATCTTGTTCCAAACTCTTAGAAAATAAGGTGCTATCTAGAACCCTTTGAAGAACCCTTTTTGGTTCCAGGTAAAAACCCTTTTGGGTTCCATGTAGAACCCTTTCCACCCAAGGTTCTACATGGAACTCAAAAGGGTTCTACCTGGAACCAAAAATAGTTATCCTATTGGGACAGCCAAAGAACCCTTTTGGAACTTTTTTTTCTAAGAGTGCATGCGCATATGGGCAGTGTGTGTCATGGCTGGATAGGCTGCGTTTCCGATATGAAAATGAATGCCATAACCAAATGTGTTACCTCCAAAACCAGCTTTTGATTGGTCTCAAATATCCCTACCAGCGCTGCTTGAAATTAGCACTTTGGATCACGTTTCTAAGGACACACCTCAAATATTTCCACCCCGCCCATCTGAGCACAAGCGAGCTGATATAAGCATTGGTGTAAAGTACTTAAATACAAATACTTTTAAGTACTACTTAAGTCGTTTTTTGGGGTATCTGTACTTTAATTTACTATTTATATTTTTGACAAAATTTACTTTTACTCCACTATATTCCCAAATAAAATAATGTACTTTATACTCCATACATTTTCCCTCACACCCAAAAGTACTTGTTACATTTTGAATGCTTAACAGGACAGGAAAATGGTCCAATTCACGCATTTATCAAGAGAACATCCCTGGTCATCCTTACTGCCTCTGATCTGGTGGACTCACTAAACACAAATGCTTAGTTTGTAAATTATGTCTGAGTGTTGGAGTGTGCCCCTGGCTATCCGTAAATTAAAAATAAAATAAAATTGTGCCATCTGGTTTGCTTAATACAGTGGCTTGCGAAAGTATTCACCCCCCTTGACATTTTTCCTATTTTGTTGCCTTACAACCTGGAATTAAAATGGATTTTTGGGGGGGTTGTATCATTTGATTTACACAACATGCCTACCACTTTGAAGATACAAAATATTTTTTATTGTGAAACAAACAAGAAATAAGACAAATAAACAGAACTTGAGCGTGCATAACTATTCACCCCCCACCTTTTGCAGCAATTACAGCTGCAAGTCTCTTGGGGTATGTCTCTATAAGCTTGGCACATCTAGCCACTGGGATTTTTGCCCATTCTTCAAGGCAAAACTGTTCCAGCTCCTTCAAGTTGGATGGGTTCCGCTGGTGTACAGCAATCTTTAAGTCATACCACAGATTGTCAATTGGATTGAGGTCTGGGTTTTGACTAGGCCATTCCAAGACATTTAAATGTTTCCCCTTAAACCACTTGAGTGTTGCTTTAGCAGTAGGCTTAGTGTCATTGTCCTGCTGGAAGGTGAACCTCTGTCCCAGTCTCAAATCTCTGGAAGACTGAAACAGGTTTCCCTCAGAATTTCCCTGTATTTAGCGCCATTGTGGTGTCGAGACAACGATGCTGATATGCTGTGATGACAAGAAATCCGCTGACACTGTCCTTGATTATAATGGTTTATTACATCAAAGATTACAGTATCAATTTACAGACTCCTGCAGAAATCTGGAGAACAACTAACCCAATCTCAAATATGATTATTCTCTCCGTCCTTTGTTCAAAAACATGGTATTTATATCCTATGTAACATAATATGGCGTGATTTTAATAGACCAATCCCTGGCCTCTACATAGCAGACTCTCCACTGTTTTAGGGGGCCCCTATAATAATGTTTTCCAGATGTTTCCGCAAGCAGAGCCAAGTTCTGGAATGTTCAGATACTACACCATCCATCATTCCTTCAATTCTGACCAGTTTCCCAGTCCCTGCTAATAAAAAACATACCCATAGCATGATGCTGCCACCACCATGCTTCACTGTGGGGATGGTGTTCTCGGGGTGAGAGGTGTTGGGTTTGGCCAGACATAGCATTTTCCTTGATGGCCAAAAAGCTCAATTTTAGTCTCATCTGACTAGAGTACGTTCTTCCATATGTTTGGGGTGTCTCCCACATGCCTTTTGGCGAACACCAAACGTGTTTGCTTATTTTTTTCTTTAAGCAATGGCTTCTTTCTGGCCACTCTTCCGTAATGCCCAGCTCTGTTAAACATAGGCAGGTTGATGTTTATTGTCATGAATCCTGCCCTGGAGGCAGAACTGAGCGTTTTCTGCTAGATGGGCCAGCTGCAAAGTCAAAAGTGGCTATATTGTAGGAATTCATGAGGCATGTGGTTCCAGGTAATCTCACGTGTCATCTATGAGAATCTGATCCATAACATACAGAAAGAGCTATACGTTGATCCATTATTATGGTTTGGAGCAGAATAAAGATTACTATCACCCACGGCTGATGTCATGAAGATCTTCAGGACATTCCATTTTACTGTGCTCTTGGTAGTCAGAGAGAGAGAGCAAAGAGAGAGCGAGCAGAGAGCGAGAGCAGAAAGGTAGAGCGAGTGAGAGAGAGAGAGCAGAGGTAGAGAGCAGAGCGAGAGAGAGCAAAGAGAGAGTGAGAGAGAGAGAGAGAGAGCAAAGAGAGAGAGAGAGCAAAGAGAGAGAGAGAGCAAAGAGAGAGAGCAAAGAGAGAGGGAAAGCAAAGAGAGAGAGAGAGCAAAGAGAGAGAGCAAAGAGAGAGAGAGAGAGTTTTGAGTTTTTATAAAACCTTTATTTTATACTCAAGTGTTAACATAAATTATGGCACACTGCCTTTTCAGAAATGAAACAACAAATGTAATTCCTAAATTAAATAAATTAAATAAAAATACAAAAGAGCATATACATTCAACTCATTTCATCAACAAAAAATAGTTTCCCCTCTTCCACAAAACAAACCGCTCCTTCGTAGGCCCACTTCTCTTCAAACAATGGGAGATCTTTTACCGCTGAGAAGAACTCAAAATCCACTTTTATTCTTGCTTTCACTAATCCTTTAAAAACACATCTTACATCCTGCCCATATCCCGTTTCTATCTTATGTTTCCATCTTAGCTTGTCCCAAAATAAAATGTAACAGTTGACATTTTATTTTCTGTTGCTTACTATATTGAAACCCCAAAATAAAAACAGTGTTATTGAAAATCTCCCCTACAGCTTTAAACAAAGACTCCAGCATTTCCAATATAGGTTTTATCCTCTCACACTCCATAAAACAGTGAAAAATTGTTTCTCTTATATTACAAAAAGGACATCCATCTCCAACATCTGAGTTAATAACAGATACAAAAGCATTAACTGCAATGATGCCATGCAAAACCCTCCATTGCATATCCCCAGTACCCTTTTGTAACGGTGGCTTGTACAGTGCTCTCCACGCTGGCTTTACCTTGTCATCAATGCCCAATTTTACCCTCCATGGAGTGTCTTTTCTATTTTTCAATGTATCTTTATTCAACACCTTGACACACCCCATATATAAGTCTTTCCCATTCACCTCATCCAAACCCACCTCTTCCAACTCTCTCAAATCCAGTAATAACGCCTTTCTTTCTGACTCTGGGATATTGGGTGTAATCCCTAGTCTTGGAAATGAGACGTTTTCATCTTGTACCTTCTTCTTGTGACTATTCAGCATACCCCACTCTTCTGCTGACAGAGCCTTCCTGCAGCTTCCCAGCAGTTGTCCGACAATCCTTTCCGAACTCACCAGAGCTGAACCCAAACGCCTCAAAAGTGTGCCATAAGTATTGATGTTCAACTCGGTCAAATGCCTTTTCCTGATCAATTGAAATTAGACCAGCATCCAATCCAATAGCCCTAGAGACGTCCAAAAAATCACGAATCAGAGAAATGTTATCCCCTATCTGCCTGCCAGGACCACAGTAGGACTGGTCCGTATGTATGATCTGCCCGATCACCTCCCTCAGCCTGTTGGACAAAGCCTTTGACAGGATCTTATAATCAGTGCACAATAAAGCCACCGGCCTCCAGTTCTTCACCTCCCTAGGGTCACCCAAACTATCATTAACTACTGCTAGCCAATCCTCTCCCAACATAGCCCAAAAAGACTTTAAAAAGTCAACAGGAAGCCCATCAATGCCTGGTGCCCTTCCATTTTCCATGCCTTTTAATGCAGTGTATAACTCCTGCAAAGACAATGGTTGCTCTAGCTCAACCTGAGCTTCTGCAGCCACCTGTGGGAGCCCATCAAGGAACTGCTGTGTCACTGTTTTATCCTCTTTGTACTCACACTTGTAGAGCTCAGCATAGAACCCTACTGCACTCTTTCTAATTTCACTAGGGCTAGTGAGCTCCTGTCCAACAGCTGATTTGAGACAATGAATCATTTTTCTTTGTCCATTCTTTTTCTCTAAACCAAAGAAACATTTGGATGAGGCATTCATTTCAGAGATTCCCTGAAATGTACTTCTCACCAATGCCCCCTGTGCTCTGACACCCAGCAGGTCTGCAAATGCAGCTTTTTTCCTCTTGAGGGCCTGAGTATGGCCTCGATCTCCTGTGGTCTCAACCAACGTCATGAGTTCCACTATTTCAGTCTCTAGGGCTTTCATTGATCTAGTGATATCCTTGGTGACATTCCTCGTGTATTGATGAATCTGGATTTTCCCTATATCCCACCACTGTTGAAGGGATACAAAACTGGCCTTTTGAGACCTCCACCTCTCCCAGAAAAAACTAAAACATTTCCTGAAGTGAGCATCACTCAATAAAGTTATATTAAAATGCCAGTATGCGCTTTTGGGTTTTACATCGTTAATGAACACCACCTCTGTTATTAAACAATGGTCAGAAAATCCCACTGGGGTTATCACACTTGATCTACAGACCTGAGATTGATGCTCAAAATAATAAAACCTATCTAACCTGGCCATAGAGATGGTGTTCTCTCACACATGCGCCCAGGTGTACTGTCTCGTGCCTCCATGTTGACTCCGCCAAATATCACACAGTTCATGTGTTACAATGAGGCGTTTTAAAAAAGTCCTATTTGAGAAATATATGAAAAAGGCTATATGAGGTTCTTTGTGATTTCTATCTAAATCACTGACTGTGCAGTTAAAATCCCCAGCAATAAATAAATCATCTTCATTATTACATTTCTCAATGGTATTTGATAATGTCTCTAAAAAACATACCCTCTCAACTGCCACCACTGGGGCATATACATTTATCAGACACATAGTGATGTTTTCATACCTCGCTCTAACTTTTAATAACGTCCCCTCAACTACCTCTTCAACCTCATATGACAAAGGCAAAAATCCTTTGAGAACAAGATGGCCACACCCCCACTTTTTGAGTTTTTATGACTACACAAAATCTGTTACATTATAATCCTGCATATATTTCTTCCCTTTTGTCAACTTCAGAAATTGACGTACCTTCTCAATCCCATACCTCCTTTCCACCTAATTTATCTCACTATTTTGTTGTGACGCATCAGATGACTCACTCTCGCTATCCTCCCCAGAAGAAAACTCCACCATCTCTACAACCTGTTTATCTTCAACTGATTTATCAATCTCTACCTTCCTCTTGGAATTAGACCCTTCACCACCCCTTACATTCTTCCTCTTACTCCTCGGTACTTTGAAAACAGCTGCTTCCTTTTCCATTATTTCAATCTCCTCTTGACCTCCAATTTCATTTTCCAGCACCACCTCAGCAACGGCAGTCGCAATCTCACCAACTTTTTCCCCTCCTTCTTTGTTCTGATCTACCACAATTGCCCTCCTATCCACACTGCCTTCCTCTCCTACTTTTCCAACCACATCTGCCCACCTTCTCCCTTCCCCTGCACCCTTAGCATGTTCATCCCTTCGCGGTGGTGCATTAGCTGCACCAGCACTAGAGCTGCTACCAGAATCTGCGCCCTCATTCTCGGGACAATTACGCACCAAATGCCCCTCTCTTCCACAGCCAAAGCATTTAATTGATTCGGTAGAAGCGTAGAAGACATAATCAAATCCATCAATCTTAAAACTGAATGCTAAATTCAGTTCATCAATGTCCTTTAAAAAAATAAAATGCACTTGTCTCCTATGAGACACGACATGTTTCAGCAATGGAGATTTACATCCAAAAAGAACCTTCTTTATTGTTGATACAATTTGACCATGACGAGATAACTCTCGCTCCAACACTTCATCTCTAACAAATGGTGGCACGTTAGAAAGTATAACTTTCTTCGCCGGATTCATAAACGAAAATACCAGCGTCTGTGTCTCTTTGCAACACAACACCACTCTCAACTATCTTATTCACCTTTTCAATGGAATCTAAAAATATCACTACAGCGCTATTCATCCTTGAGGCTGATTTGATGCTATCATACCCAATGATAGCACCCACTGCCAAGCTACATTCTTGAGCTGAACACCCGGCCGCAGCAGGAATCTTTACTCCATGTCGACGACTAAGTTTTTCAAACTCCCAACTTCCGCGAGTCGCCATTGCAACCAGCCCCACCCGCTGGTTGTGCCCTCGCGAAAACCAAACTCAACGATCCCACCACCCCTATATGTGCTTAGTGATAGTTAGACAAGATAACCTTAAAACAACTAAACTAATCAATGTATTTATATATATATATATAGAGTCTGGCCAGTCCTCTAATTTAATATCATGGGCAGGGCTAATACTGTCATACTCTTTGTAAATTACCATTTATATCAATAGAACATATACACTGAGTACATTAAGAACACCTGCTCTTTCCATTACATAGATTGACCTGGTGAATCCAGGTAAAAGCTATGGTCCCTTATTAATGTCACTTGTTAAATCCAGTTCAGTCAGTGCAAATGAAGGGGAGGAGACATGTTAAAGTAGGATTTTTAAGCCTTGAGACAATTGAGACATGGATTGTGTATGTGTGCCATTCAGAGGCTGAATGGCCAAGACAAAATATTTAAGTGCCTTTGAATGGGGTATGATAGCAGGTGCCAGGTGCACCGGTTTGTGTCAAGAACGTTTCTTGTGTGTATCAAGAACGGTCCACCACCCAAAGGACATCCAACCAACTTGACACAACTGTGGGAAGCATTTGAGTCAACCTGGGCCAGCATTCCTGTGGAACACTTTCAACACCTTGTAGAGTCCATGCCCTGACAAATTAAGGTTGTTCTGTGGCCAAAAGGGGGGGCTGTGATTGACTTATTTAGGGCCAGCAGTGTAAGTGTGTATTTAGCCTTTGCTTCCATGTTAAGGGAGGCATAAATATCTCTCAAATTTCAGGTGATATTTGATCACATCTAACTAATATTTACCACCACCTGACTATAGCCAGGCTAGATATAGACCTGATATAGACCTGATCTATATGCTGGTAACATAATTGATTACATAGACAAGATGGCGCCGACAGACATGATCACAGTGTTTCTAGCTCCTGGCCAACTTTGCAGTATTTAGTATTTTTTAGTTATTTCTCACAGTATTTGCTCAGAATGTTTCTTGCATTATTACAATAACTTTGGGATATTATATCGGCGGTCCCTCACCAGCATTTAAACCCGAAATTTGATGTTCCTGAATTGGATCCTTTGTTTGAACTCCCTGAGGCAATTCCATTCATCTCATGGGAGTCCAAGACGCCGTCGCCGGAGAAGAGGAAGAAGGAGTGGGCTTTTAATCTGACTCAGGATGCGTTCATACCTTCCACCACTTCCGAGTGTACACGCTAATGTTTAGTCCATGGACAATAAAGTAGCCGAGTTCAGACAAGTTGTTTGACGGAATCATTGCTCTTTCCGGACATACTGTCCCAATCCATTCAGCCTGCAGGGTTCTACATCCATCGGGCAAACTGGAACCGCATAACCTGAGGCAGCATTTATTGTAGCTGGGGACTTTAATAAAGGAAATCTGAGGAAAACGCTTCCATTGTTTTATCAAGACATCTCCTGTGCTACTCGCTCATCCAGCACTCTTGACCATTGCTACTTCCCCTTCCAGGAGGCTACAAGGCCCTCCCCTGCCATCCTTTTGACAAATCAGAACACGCCTCCATTTTGCTCCTCCCCTGCTATAGGTAGAAACTTAAACATGAAGTACCTGTGATAAGGACTGGTTAACGTTGGTCTGACCAATCGTAATCTTTGCTTCAAGAATGTTTTGATCATGTGGACTGGGAAATGTTCCGGGTTGTCTCTGAGAATAGTATTGACGTATACATTGACTCAATGATTGAGTTAACCAGGAAGTGCATAGAGGATGTTGTTCCCACTGTCACAATTAGAACTTATCCAAACCAAAAACCCTGAATTGATCGCAGCATTCGCACAAAACTGAAAGAGCGAATCACTGCATTTAACCACAGCAAGGTGACTGGGAACATAGACGTGTACAAACAGACCAGCCATGCCCTCCGTAAAGTAATCAAACAGGCAAAACGACAGTACAGTGGACAAAGTGGAGTCGCAATTCAACGGCTCCGACACGAGATGTATGTGGCAGGGAGTCCAGACAATCTCAGATTATATAAAGGGAAAGCCAGCCACGTCGTGGACACTGATGCCTAGCTTCCGCACAAGCTAAACACCTTCTTTGCCCGCATCGAAGAAAATACAGTGCCGTCGATGCGGACCACCGCCGCTCACGCGGACTGTGGGCTATCGTTCTCCGTGTCTGACGTGAGTACGACATTAAAGCGTGTTAACCCTCGCAAGGCTGCTGGCCCAGACGGCATCCCAAGCTGTGTCCTCAGAGCATGTGCAGACCAGCTGTCTGGAGTGTTTACGGACATATTCAATCTCTCCCTATCCCAGTCTGTTGTCCCCACTTGCTTCAAGATGTCCACCATTGTTCCTGTACCCAAGAAAGCGAAGATAACTGAACTGAATTACTATCGCCCCGTAGCACTCACTTCTGTCATCAGAAGTTTAAATGTAAATTACATTTCCCAGCATAGTTAAGGATAATATCACCTCCACCTTACCTGACACCCTAGACCCACTACAATTTGCATACCGTCTCAACAGATCTACGGATGATGCAATCGCCATTGCGCTGCACACTTCCCTATCCCATCTGGACAAGAGGAATACCTATGTAACAATGCTGTCCCTTCATGTTGGTTTAACACAGCTCCAAGGGCATTGAAGCTTGCATCTGTGGTCCAAATAAATGGCTCTGAGAAGTTAGGGTGCGCCAAGATAGGCGCTCTGGTAAATTTACCTTTGAGTTCGTCTAACGCCAGCAGACAGACCGCATCCCATCGGGACAAACTTTTGATAATAGCTCATAAACCCCAAAGACTGGCGGACATCATGAGGGCATTTGGGGGTGGGCCAGTCTCTTACCCCTCTGTTTTTTCCTTCATCCACATGGACACCCTCGGCTGAGATTATGTGTCCCAGGAACTACACATCTTGCTTGATAAGACAGAACTGGGGGCACAATCTCTGAAGGCCTGCTTAACCCAGCCGCTCTGGCTCGTGGATGCAAGTGTACACTAGGTAAAACACACCAGGTTTAGTGCTGACTGTGTGGAACTGTGTGGAACTGCACTGGGGCTTTCTAGGCTGATATTTAATTCAAGGCATGTTATAGGGGAGCACACTGTACTATACAGCCAACAATGCACTTTTTAAAGGCATTTTCCCAGATGTTCGCGGAGACCGCAATCATGGTAAACGCTGTACATGTCGATTGAAGTGTTGATTACTTTTAACACACCTTGGATTGAATCCAATCGTCTTTCTCTGAAAGAAATCTTGAACACAATCGTGGTTTTCTCGATCTTCTCCCTCAGTGAATCTGAGCTCCTCAATTGTGTGTCTGTCTCTCAGTGCTGTGTGTGGTTGCTGTGATGTCTGTCTCCTACGTGGGCTGCCATTATGTTTCTGTTCCCTTGTCATAGTGAATTGTCCCTATTGGGGTGGTGCAACTGTAGGAGCCTGATGAGCCATCATGGGGCCTGTATGACTTCTGCTACCTGGGAGCTATACTGTCTCAGTTGCTCTTTAAGTGGTGTTAAGGTCCTTTGGTGCACAGTTAGAGCAGATAATCATCTGAGTCCAGTGGAGGCTCCTCAGAGGAGTAAGGGGAGTACCATCCTCCTCAGTGAATTTCATAAAAATACAAATTGTAAAACATTGAAAAAGTTATCCTTTTTAGATAAAACTATACTAAATATATTCACGTCACCAAATAATTGATTAAAACACACTGTTTTGCAATGGTCTACAGTAGCCTCAATAGCACTCTGTAGTGTAGCACCATGGTGTAGCCGGAGGACATCTAGCTTCTGTCCTCCTCTTGGTACATTGACTCAATACAAAACCTAGGAGGCTCATGGTTCTTAGCCCCTTCCATTGACTTACACAGTAATTATGACAACTTCCGGAGGACGTCCTCCAACCTATGAGAGCTCTTGCAGCATGAACTGACATGTTATCCACCCGATCAAAGGATCAGAGAATGGATCTAGTACTGAAAGCATAAACTACAGCTAGCTAGCACTGCAGTGTATAAAATGTGGTGAGCATTTGACTCAAAGAGAGAGAAAGACAATAGTTGAACAGTTTTCAACAAATTAATTTCTTCAAAAATGAAGGAGAAGCAAGACAGAGAGAGAGAGATGTCATCATTTTTTAAAACTTTCAGTTTCACTTACTTAGCTAGCAAATGCAGCTGGCTAGTTTAGTTACTCAAACACCTGGCTCAAACAGAGGGATGCTATGTTAGCTAGCTGTCTATCCAACACAAGACTGGAACTCTTCCAAGTCAAGGTAAGCTTTTGGTTTTATGAATTTATTGCCACCGGGTACCACCGGTGTAACTGCTTACTGACTATACACTAACATTACTGCATGATTGTAGCGGGTTTACTAACGCATTATTTATATTAGCTATGTTGACTAGGACGCTACTTTAGCTAATATGGGGACAACGATGTAGGCTGTGTGTAGTGGTTATGACATGGTTTGGCTTGGAAAGGTTTTTTCGCCTGGTCACATACAGCTGATTTGTTGTTCATTGAAGTCCACAAACGAAGGGAAAAGGTGAGAGGAGGAGAATGCATAGAGGTGAGAAGGAATACAACGTGGCTGCTAAAAAAGTGAATGTGTTTATGCGTGATCAGTGGAGTATTATTTCCACCGATTCTGTTGAAAAACTTTTCTTAAAATGGAAGCAAACGAAACAGGGATAAAAATACCTGAATATGACCAATATAAACTCTTGTTTGCAACTGTTGGACTAATGATTACACCCTAGATCAGCTAGATGCAGGCAAGAGTGTGCAAGGCAGTATTGAATGTGTCACTGTCTGTCCATGTGTCACTGTCTGTCATCTCAAATTTGTATCTCGCCTTGTATGCACCTATGTTATAAACTTTAATTCATAGGCTAGGTTGTAGCAAACTCATGATGGGTATAGGGAAAATGTGAGTATCATGTAGTAGCCTAAACCTATCACTGTTACATTGAACAGGGTGAATGGAATATGAATGACAGTCATCCAACATGCAGTAATATAAATAAGGCCATGCTCATGGAAAGAAAAATGGTCCTCCCTCATCATAAACGGCACTGACCGCCACTGTCTGAGTCTCATTAGCGCTTCTCTCTTGCGTACAACCTTTTTGCCTGCTGTTTTCTGTTATTCTCCTTCTCTAAAGGGGGTAGAGTGTTCATTTCCTCCCAACACACACACAAACACACACACACACCACAATGCAGGCCGCATAAATTAGATTCCTAACATTTCAACAGTGGCACTGGCGTCACCATGTGAGAGGTATATAGTAGTTGTGTCTGCCACAGACCATTACAGTCATAGTTATAGCTGCCTGTAATATATACAGTGGTCAGTAGCTGTTTAGGTACGGACCCCTTAAGTCATAGTTATAGCTCAGAGATAAAGTATGAAGGATGAACCCCCCCCACACACACACACACACACACATACACACACACACACACTATGGCACCGTAACCATATCAGGATACAAGCAGTGCTCTGTGTTCTATGTAACTGCACCACATTCTTCAGTGAGTGTGTCAGGCTGGGGCTGGAGGATTCTGAATGTCGTGATGGAGGCTGTGTGTGTGTTTGGAGGTTGTCGGAGTCTCGAAATTATTACTGCATTACACACCTCACTGCACAGAACACACGCACACATACACATATGCACACACTCACACACACATACACACAGTTGCAACTGTGTGTGTGTGTGTATGTGTGGGTGTGTGTGTGTGTGTGCACGTATGTGTGTGTGTTGTGTTCTATCTATCTATCTATCTATCTATCTATCTATCTATCTATCTATCTATCTATCTATCTATCTATCTATCTATCTATCTATCTATCTATCTATCTATCTATCTATCTATCTATCTATCTATCTATCTATCTATCTATCTATCTATCTATCTATCTATCTATCTATCTATCTATCTATCTATCTATCTATCTATCTATCTATCTATCTATCTATCTATCTATCTATCTATCTATCTATCTCAATTCAATATACATATTGCCAAAGCTTACTTTCGATATTTAAAATATGACCATAATTAAAATAATAATAATCAATATTGTCAACGGGACAACAGTAACAACAATAATCAAGGGTCAAAATAACCATACATTGAACAATAACAATAACAATAAGCATAGAGGACATGTGCAGGTTGGTTGGTCTGTCAGACACTGTCCCTCAGCTTATGGCAGGCAGCAATGTAGTGCGCTGCCAACCCACAGCTCTCTGCATCCTCCCCCAACAGGACGGGTAGCCTATTCTCATCAGAGAGGTCTTTGAAACCTTGAAAAACGGTTTCAAATTTGGGGAAATTACACTCTCTAATTATTTTATATTTTGTACATTTTGTCAGGAAATGCAGCTCTGTCTCGGGTTCTGCTGTGGTGCAGTGGTTGCTCAGCCTTTCTTCTACAGGGAGCCAGGTTTACCTGTGTCTACCCTTCTCAATGGCAAGGCTGTGCTCACTGAGCCTGTACTTTGTCAAGGTTTTTCTAAGGTTTTGATCAGTAACCATGGTCAATTAGTTAGCCACGGCGTACTGTCGATTTAGGGCCAGATAGCACAGCATTTTACTTTGTGCTTGTGCTTGTGTTTCCCAATAAGCAATGTAGTTTTGTTTTGACTGTGTTGTAATTTGGTTTATTCTGATTGATTGGATGTTCTGGTCCTGAGGCTGTAGTTTTTCTCTGGACATGTAGGAGAATCTTACAGAACTCTGCATGCAGGGTTTCAATGGGGTGTTTGTCCCATTTGGTGAAATCGCTGCCATAAAGTGCAATTGGTTCAAAAACACATTCAATTAGTTTTAGCCAAATTGTAATGGTGTGGAATACCCTGCGTGCTTTCTCTCTCAGTTCATTCACTGCATCATTAAGGTGTCCAGTTTAGCTTATTTTTAAACCTAAGTAATTGTAGTGTGTGCAGTACTCTATATATTTTGTTCCAATTGAGAACTTTGGTCTAATTCCCTGAGATCTGGATCTTCTCTGGAAAATCATTATTTTAGTATTTTTGGGGTGCTGCCAGGGCCCAGGTCTGGCAGTACTGCTCTAGCAGGTCCAGGCTCTGCTGTAGGCCATGTGCTGTGGGTGACAGCAGGCATAGGTCATCTGCGAAGAGCAGGCATTTAACCTCTGAATTGTGGAGACTAACACCAGGGGCTGAGGATTTTCCTAGAATAGTGGCCAATTCGTTGATGTAAATATTGAAGAGTGCAGGGCTCAGATTGCAACCCTGGTGAATGACCCTCCCCTGGTTTAAGACTTCTGTTATTTTCTTGCCAATTTTGATGCTGCACGTATTGCCAGTTTAATTATGTAATATGTTTTACCCCCTACACCACTTTCAATAACTTTGTAGAATGTATGCCAAATAGAATCAAATGCTTTTTGGAAGTCGAAAAAGAAAGCGTACATTTTGGTATTATTTTGGTGGACATGTTTATCTGTCAGGGTGTGTAGGGTGTAAATATGATTGGCCGTGCGATGTTTTGGTATAAATCCAATTTGGCTTTTACTCAAGACATTGTGCTTATTAAAGAAGTTTAGAACTCTTACATTTATAATACTACAGAAAACCTTCCCCAGGTTACTGTTCACACAAATGGCTCTGTAATTGTTAGGGTCAAATTTGTCTCCGTTTTTAAAGATTGGGGTTATGAGTCCTTGATTCCAGATGTCAGGGAAATAACCTACACTCAGGATCAATATAGCCAATTGACATTTTGCACTAGTGAATTTGAGCATCTCATTTAGGATGCCATCAGGTCCACATGCTTTTTTAAATTTGAGGGCCTGAAGTTTCTTATAGAGCTCCTGGTCAGTTATTGGGGAGTCCAATGGTTTTTGATTGTCCTTTATAGCTTTTTTTAATCCATTCAACTGCTCATGAATTTGGCATTGTTCTGCGTTTGTGTCAATTTGAACGGTATTGTAGAGTGTTTTAAAATGGGTTGTCCATATGTCACCATTTTGTATCGCTAATTCCTCTTGTTTAAATTTTTTTCAATTTTGCCAGAAGTTGTTTGTGGACTCCTCAATTAGTGTCAGCTTCTTGCTGTTGTACTGTGCTTTTTTGGTTCTGAGTGTACGTTTATAGAGTTTTAAAGTCTCACAGTAATGAAGGCGTAATTCACCATTATTTTGGTCTCTGTGCTTTTGGTTTTGTAGTGTTCTAAGTTTTTTATAATTTTACAATCTGCATCAAACCAGTTGTCATCTGTGATCTTTTTTGTTTTGTTTTTTATGAATGTCAGTTGTGCTTCTTTTGCCGTTTGCCTGAATATATAGTTTATGTTCTTTACTGTTAGATTGATGTCTTCTTTACTGTGAGTGAATGTGGTATCCAGAACGTTATCTACAAGTGTTTGCTTTCTGGTATTCTTCTGTGCTGTTTTGGGCCCATCTGTATGAATTTCTGATGTTGTACAGCTTACTGGGCTGTGAATATGTGGTTGTTTCCATGTCTGTTCTTTTGAGGAACAACATAATTTGGCTGTGATCAGACAGAGGTGTTAGTGACTTGACGGTGAATGAGCTGAGAGAGAAAGGGTCAATGTCTGTAATCATATACATTTACATTTTGCAGACGCTCTTATCCAGAGCGACTTACAGTTAGTGAGTGCGAACCCACAACCCTGGCGTTGCAAACGCCATGCTCTACCAACTAAGGTACATCCCTGCCGGCCATTCCCTCCCCTACTCTGGACGATGCTGGGCCAATTGTGCACCGCCCCATGGGTCTCCCGGTCGCGGCCGGCTACAACAGAGACTGGATTCGAACCAGGATCTCTAGTGGCACAGCTAACACTGCGATGCAGTGCCTTAGACCACTGTGCCACTCGGGAGACTACTGTGAGCAATAGGTGAATCTCCCCAAAGAGTCCACCGTAACCTACCATTGACAAAGTACAAACCCAGGCTATTGTCTCTCTCTCTCTCTCTCTCTCTCTCGCTCTCTCTCGCTCTTATTTTTATATATTTCTCTCTCTCTCACTCTCTCTTTCTTTTTCTCTCACTCTCTCCTTCTCCCTCTCACTCCTCTCCCTCTCTCCCCTCATGCCTGTGATTAGAACTATCTTCATCTACATTCATCTTCATTCTCCTCTGTTCCCCTCCCAAGAATTATATTAGAACCCACCCGGAGCCAAAGATAGAACACATGCACGTGAGCACACACACACACACCGAATGAGTGAAAAATGTTTCTCTAAAGCTCCCTGTATGTCAGCGACACCAGAGATATAAGATATAATATGAGTCTAGGAATGTTCTGCTTTTCTAAGAATGGACAGGCAGAAAATCCATCATGTATAGTCAACAGTGCATTCTTAGAAAAAAGTGTTCCAAAATGGTTCTTTGGCTGTTCCCATAGGAGAACCCTTTTTGGTTCCAGGTATAACTCTTTTGGGTTCCATGTAAAGCCCTCTGTGTACAGGGTTCTACATGGAACTCAAAAGGGTTCTACTTGGAACCAAAAAGGGTTCTTCAAAGGATTCTCCTAAGGGGACAGCCAAATAACTATTTTAGGTTCTAGATAGCACTTTTTTTTTCTAAGAGTGTACTCTCTGTGTGGATGATGGGCAATGTGAAGTGTAATAAACATAGGTATTGTGGTATTTTATCTGTTTATGTATCTTAAGCATGGTGACCTGATAAGATAAACTGAAATACACTATCAAATACATTGTTAACATGCTGTTTATACAGTATATTAGGCTGAAATGTTACCCCAACTAGTTCTAATCTGTCAGTTTAGCTACATTTGTATTAGAGGATCCCACGGTATTGGCAGAACAGAATTGCCACATACACTCTAGAGTCTTCGGATGATAGTTTGTCTAAAATAATATTTACTGCGGGCTGAACTAACTTTTTAGTGTACAATGTACACTGCAGGGTGCAGCTTGCTAGTTAGACCAGTTGAAGTCTTGAGCTCCCCAACCATTAATGCCATGGCTTTTATATACCATGGCCATGTCGTTGTAAATATAGTATGGTATTGTATACCGGAGTGGACCAGTACATGCTATATGTTTATGTTTATGTTTGTTTACAAACTGGCACTTTCAATTTTGAATAGATGCAGCAATCTCATAAATAATCGCAATTCTATGTAACGCTAACATATAGAATTATTATTTCCTTCATGCTTAACTGAAGGCCTGCTTGGAGCCAGTGGTGTGCATGAGGTTATATATCTATGTATGCATGTGAACCTTCTTTAGGGATGTTTAGCTACCTTGTGTGTGTGTGTGTGTGTGTGTGTGCGCGTGCCATGCCTGTATATGTGTGTGTGTGTGCATTCATGTGTCCGTGCGTGCCTACATACATCGGTGTGTGAGTATGAGTGAGCGAGCAATATTCTTTCCTGTGTGAATGCTGAGGTAGCAGAGGCGTGAAGCGAGGGAAATCACAGAGGCATAGTTTCAATCTCTCTTTATTTCCGTCTCCTACTCTCTCTCTCTCTCCCACACTCCCTCTCCCACTCTCCTACGCTCCCTCTCCATCTCATTCTCTATTTCTCTCCCTCTCCTACCTTTCCTTTCACCCTCTCTGCACTTTTTCACTCTCTTAATTCCCCCCCCACACACTCTCTCTCTCTCTTTATATCTTCTTCCTCTCACCTATTTTGTTGCAGAAACAATGAGGTCCTGACACGTTAATCAGTTTATATTACCTCTGCCCGACACTCTATCTCTACTTTCTCTCAATGCCTCTTTCTCGTCCCTCCCCCCACCCCCACACTCTTTATCCCAATGTGATTATCAGTTCTTATTTCCTTTTGTCAGGCAGACAGAAGCAGGGTAGCTGTGGCTATAGTGTACCAGGACCAGGGGTGAACAAAATCCCAGCCGCTCTGCAGTATTTTTCAGTAGCTTGTTTTACCATGCTCATATAACATCAACAAATGGTTGTGGGTACGAAAATAAAAGAAATGACGAAAAAGATGGAGGCTAAACTTGTAGGCCAGGCTCACCCCTCCAAAAATAACTATTATTGCTATCGGAGAGCTTCCCTTACAGTCTGTAAACAAATACACTGCATAAACAGGTCTTGATCATGTTTCTGTGACACGTACTGAGGATACGAAGAGGCAGGACGCAGACGCAGGAATTAACAAGGTCAAGGTTTACTTAACAATGAGAACGAGAAATAACAACGATAGCGTAAACGACACGAAGCTTAACAATCACACACAATATCATACAGAACAGTCCAGGGCTAAATAGGGGTGGTGATGGGATGATGAGGTGCAGGTGCGCTGGAGGTGATTAGGGTGCATTGGGTTTCCTTTCCGGTGTTGCCGATGTGGTGCGTTCAGAACGGTGGCTCAGTAGACCCGGCAAATCAGAGCGCCGGAGGGGAGCAATGGGAAGAGACGTGACAGTTTCATTGAATTCCATCACAGTGACCTAAAAAAAGAAGAGAGGCAGAGAGTAGGCTAGCTGTATACAAGATAATGTTTGCAGTTGTTTGGACCCAGTGATGAAGGCAGAGACTGGCCAGACCTCTCTAATTCAGTTTGGCTTCTGAGGTTAGTTCTGGGGATTTCAGGACACTAAGAGAGTCTCGGTGTCAACGATCTACAGCCCAGAGATGACAAGACAAACATCAAATCCCAAAATGGCCTTATCAGATTTTTTAAGCTGCACAAATATTCAAAGATCAGTTGTTTTGCTAACCGAACTGGTCAGCGTGAGAGAGCAGGGAGTGACCTTGGGTTCCCTTATCATATTAGCAACTTCAGACACTGTCTGGGATAAATACATTTTTTAAATACATATTCAAAGATGATAGAAAAAGTTTTGTCTCCCATTCATTTTTTAAAAAGTGTGACGAAACAACTTAGGCAAATGTGTGTGTGTGCGTGTGTATGTGCGTGTGTGTGTATAGTGGTCCAAGGTGATGCGAGGTTATAGAGAGAGGGAGAGAAGGAGATGGACAGGGGGAGAGAGAGAGGAGAGAGAGAGAGAGAGAGAGAGAGAGAGAGAGAGAGAGAGAGAGAGAGAGAGAGGAGAAGAGCGAGAGAGAGAGAGAGAGAAGGAGAGAGAGAGAAGAGAGAGAGAGAGAGAGAGAGAGAGAGAGAGAGAGAGAGAGAGAGGAGAGAGAGAGAGAGAGAGAGACGAGAGAGAATAGATCTAGAGAGAGAGAGAGAGAGAGAGAGAGAGAGGAGGGGCAGGTTGATGGGTGAAATGAGGTGTTATGGCTCGTTATAGCTGCAAAAACACCCCACATCACACACCATTATCCTTTAAATTACTGTCATACAGATACGACGCGACATGAGCTGTCTGCCTGGAAAACACACTCTGCAATGAGTAAATAACTTCCTCTCCAAGACGTCCCCATCATCACTGACGCACACACACACATAAACACATGTACGTACACACATACAAATGCATGTGCGCACGCACATACATGCACACACACATGCACCCTCCCACACACACGCACTCACACACCAACGTAATCCTACACACACATCCCAACATCCCCAGAATAATCATCCAGGATCAATTAGAAATAAGCATCTTTGCAGCCTTGAGATGTCTGGTCTTGTCTGATGTCTGATGGACCACAGCAGCCTGTTTTAGTATTCAACTCTGGTTTCAAATTCACACCTTCCACCTATTCATCACCTGTCTATGTGGATAGAGTAGAGTCCCCTAACTTTGCTCTGTTGCCCCCGTTGCTGCTCATTAAAACTGAAACGTCTCCTGGTTTCACTTGTTATTTGGAGCCCTGGATATTGTTTTGAATGCATTGGTGACCTGTCAAAGAATTGGTCTAGGGCAGGGATGGGAAAATGTCGGCCCGCAGCCGCCCTTTTGTAGGCCCGCAGACCAATTTCCCAAAACAGCCTGGTCCAATGCCCCCACAGCGACGGGGGTTCAAGTCTCCCCACTCTTCCTACTGTCCTGTCATGAAAACAATAAAATACGCATGGAGATCGGAACATCCGGTCTCCTTTAAAAAACAACAACTGTGCTCTTTTCCCAACAACTGAAGAGAAGGGAGTATCCCATGATGAAGGTCCTACCCGATTCTGGCCATGATGCTCCTTGGGGGGTCTGCCATTTTGCTTAACGACCTAAACTCCACCGGTACAGTAGCCCTCATCATCTCAACACCACAGTGACTGTTGTAGCGGCATGCAGTTAGTTGTAGGCCGACTGATCAATTTCCAAAAACGGGTCCGGTTTTTTATTTTTTTTATTTTTTATTTCTTTTTAAGAACTCAGTCGGGGTGTCAACTAACTGCTGAGAGTTAGAATACGAGTATACACAAGGTGCAATGTCGAACTTTGGTTGTGCATCAGCCGTTTTTCTCTTGTTATATCGGTCACTGACAGTCACTCACCCATGTCAGCAAAACATTTTTAGATTGGTAAATTAGTCTAGCCAGCTATCTAGACTTGTGGTAATCATGGCCCCTCATGATGAGTTCAGATTTCTTGTGGCCCCCACCCCCATCAAAGTTGCCCATCCCTGTTCTAAACAACGTTTTTAATGATTTTATTCAGTTAGCTAATGGACAATGTGTAATGCGAAGCCTCATGAAAAAGTGCTGTAGCTCGCTGATTATGGTGGTAGGTGGGTTGACTTGACTCCCATGGTTGACTTGACTCCCATTACCAATGGCATTGGACATGTGTTGAAACTAAAGCAGGCTAACTGCAGCAATACAGTGTGTACAGTTGGCCCACTTCCATTAGGCTACATTGTTAGGAGGAAATCACTTCTTTATTGCACAATAGCTACAATAATGTATCAGCTATTGTGCATGGTAACGAGTTGTCAAATGAGCTTGTGAGAACCTGAGAGAAGTAGAGATGCGCACATTCACTTAGTTATTTCACAGTTCATTTTGGAGCTTTGCACATTGTAGTGTGGGGTTGGCTGGACCATGCTTTGGTTGGAAGTTGGTAAAATAGTTCAACATGTCTTGGGTCGTTCCACGAAATGGGTGCCTTTTGGACATGCAAACTTTTAAGAAATGTACTTTAAAATATCTATTCTTTCAACATTCAATTGCATGGAGTGTACTGTATGTTTAGCCTACAGAAAAGCACATCACTGACTTAAATGCATCACTAATCTCCATGCTTCACTGTGGGGATGGTGTTCTTGGGGTGATGAAAGGTGTTGGGTTTGCGCCAGACATAGCGTTTTCCTTGATGGCCAAAAAGCTCAATTTTAGTCTCATCTGACCAGAGTACCTTCTTCCAAATGTTTGGGGAGTCTCCCACATGCCTTTTGGCGAACACCAAACGTGTTTGCTTATTTTTTTTTTTTAAGCAATGGCTTTTTTCTGGCCACTCTTCCATAAAGCCCAGCTCTGTGGAGTGTACGGCTTAAAGTGGTCCTATGGACAGATACTTCAATCTACGCTGTGGAGCTTTGCAGCTCCTTCAGGGTTATCTTTGGTCTCTTTGTTGCCTCTCTGATTAATGCCCTCCTTGCCTGGTCCGTGAGTTTTGGTGGGCGGCCCTCTCTTGGCAGGTTTGTTGTGGTGCCATATTCTTTCCATTTTTTAATAATGGATTTAATGGTTCTCCGTGGGATGTTCAAAGGTTTGGATACATTTTTATAACCCAACCTTGATCTGTACTTCTCCACAACTTTGTCCCTGACCTGTTTGGCGAGCTCCTTGGTCTTCATGGTGTCGCTTGCTTGGTGGTGCCCTTCCTTAGTGGTGTTGCAGACTCTGGGGCCTTTCAGAACAGGTGTATATATACTGAGATCATGTGACACTTAGATTGCACACAGGTGGACTTTATTTAACTAATTATGTGACTTCTGAAGGTAATTGGTTGCACCAGATCGTATTTAGGGGCTTCATAGCAAAGGGGGTGAATACATATGCATGCAACACTTTTCTGTTATTAATTTTTTAGAATTCTTTGAAACAAGTAATTTTTTTCATTTCACTTCCCCAGTTTGGACTATTTTGTGTATGTCTATTACATGAAATCCAAATAAAAATCCATTTAAATTACAGGTTGTAATGCAACAAAATAGGAAAAACGCCAAGGGGGATGAATACTTTTGCAAGGCACTGTACTGTCCATCTTTCAGCTAGTGATGTGGGGAGATGGAGGCACAAGAAAAAATACCTTTGTGAAGAGGCATTTATCGGGAGATTTACATCAAAGAGAAGAAATGCATCTCTCTCTCTCGCTCTCTCTCCCCATCAGTACTATGACATCTCGGCCAAGAGTAACTACAACTTTGAGAAGCCCTTCCTGTGGCTTGCCAGGAAGCTGGTAGGAGACCCAAACATGGAGTTCATGGACACCTCCCTGGCCGCATGTCAGTGGAGGTGAGGAGGTTGTTGGGTTGGTCGCAGGAGTGTCAGGGGAGGTGTCTCTCTGTGTCAATCTGTGCCACCTCCGTAGAAAGTCTGGACCAGGCCACCCACGCCCCTATCCCAGAGGAATACCGGGACCTACAGGTGGCTTTCCGAAGACTCCTGCCTCGTGCCTGCCCCCTCATCACCCATGGGACTGCACTATCGACCTACTGCCTGTTTCTACCCTCCTGCGGGGGCACATCTACCTTTTCTCGAAGCCATGGAGGCCTACGTCCAGGAGGCACTGGCCCAAGGATTCATCCATCCGTCCCCCTCTCCGGCCTCCTCCAGCTTCTTTTTCGTGAAGAAGAAGGACGGAGGTCTCCGCCCCTGTATCGATTACAGGCTCCGCCCTGTATCGATCCAGGCTCTGTCGTAGCCGGCCGTGACCGGGAGACCCATGGGGCGGCGCACAATTGGCCCAGCGTTGTCCAGGGTAGGGGAGGGAATGGCCGGCAGGGACGTAGCTCAGTTGGTAGAGCA